AGATAGTTATTAGATTAGAAAACGCATATTATCATATACTGGGTCCATATAATATCCAAATAATATAGAAATCAAGTTCAGTTCATATATTAAGGTTAGTTTGCTTTATTGTAAAAATCTATAATGTATATTATAACTATTTGAATTTATTTGGCCTTTTCTTGGTGGACAAGATATCCAAGTCTTTTTTGCTATAGTAATGTGGGGCTAATTCGTTCAACCAATTTTCATCTATTAACATACAATTTCTCATGAATTCCTTACTTGTGAGTACCAACTCATGGTATAATATAAGCTTCGGGGGTGGCTTGATAGGATACAAGACAGACGAAGGGTGTATAAACACCGCCTGGTTTTTTTTTAGAGACCTATATGAATCACCCATTTTTGATAATCGTGCTATGTTAGGAAAGAATCCCGCAGTTATAGACTTCTGTATCATGAGTTTCTTGTTCACATTATCATTTTCGACAACAGGAATTCCAGTTTTTTTACATAATCTCTCTAATTGCTGCCTAACCTCTTTCGAGCGCTTTAAAGTCTTATACTGGATGAAGTTATCCTGGCACCACTGATTCGAATATCCAGTATCTTGCCATTGGTCCCAAAGGTTTAACAAAGTCAAGTGGTCACCTTCATCAACCTGAAATGATTCTTTTTTCTTATCAGCTTGTTCTCGTTTATCTTTGGGCCTATAGAAGAGACTAGAACTTTCACTTAGCATAGAAATTATAGTCAATATTTCATTTGTTACCCCATAATTTGAACTAGATATCAAGCATTTCGCAAACATTGGATCAATAGGAAATTCAGCCATTTTTCTTCCAGTTTTTGTTAACTCTCCTTTGGAATTTAATGCTCCCAAGGCATAAAGCAATTCAAGGGATTTTATTAATGTATCAGAACTTGGAGGATCAATAAATTCAAAATTAATTAGATCAGTTATACCCAATGATAATAATAAAAGTATGATGTGTACTAGATTGACTCTCAAAATTTCGGGAGTAGGATTAGCTTGAATTTCATTGTAGAATGACCATTTTGTATATAGACGGAAGCATTTACCAGGACCGACTCTACCAGCTCTACCAGCTCTTTGATTTGCCGACGCACGGGAACACGGAACAACAACCAAGCTTTCCATACCAGTTACAGGATTGAACACATTTTCTTTTACATAACCTGGATCAATAACGTAAGATATACCTTCGATAGTAATAGATGTTTCTGCAATATTTGTCGCTAGAACAATTTTCCTGGAATTAGGAGGAGTTGGCTCGAATATATTCTTTTGAAGATCTGTTGGAAGACTTGCATAAACTGGACATATTATAAGGGGTTTTATCAGAGACCCTAATTTATGACATGCTTCTTCTAAGCTCTCTTGCATAGTTTCAATTTCATCTTGTCCTGTTAGGAAAACCAAGATATCACCAGGTAGTTCTTGTGTTGTGTGGATCTGAAAAATTGTTGTAAGGGCTGCTTGTATGTAGTTTGCTTCTGGATTTTTCGTATAATGGATATCAACAGGAAACCTTCTACCCGGAATATTAAAGATTGGTGCACCATCAAAATAATTAGAAAATTTCTCTGCATTCATAGTAGCTGAAGCAATGATTAATTTTAAGTCTTTTCTAATTTGAATGATGTCTTTCAAGAGACTAAGAATTATTTCGGTGGATACTGTTCTCTCGTGAGCTTCATCAATCATTAATGCTCCGTAGGAAGATAATTCAGGATCAGTCAAGAACTCTCTTAATAACATACCATCAGTTAAATATTTAATTAAAGTCTTATCGCTAGATTTATCTTCAAAACGAATACTATACCCAACTTCTTCTCCAATGGATACACCCATTTCATCAGCAATTCTGTTAGCAACGGAAGTTGCTGCAACCCTACGAGGTTGAGTACAACCAATTTTTAAAATTTTTCCATCATTACCCTTTGAATAGCCTGCTTCATGTAAATATTGTGGAAGCTGAGTAGTTTTACCAGAACCAGTTTCACCAACAACAATTAAAACTTGATATTTTGATATTGCATCTAGGAACTGTTCTCTGTATTTGTACACAGGCAATGACTTTCTAACTTCATCCATTGACGCTTTTTGTTTCGAGGTTTGGGTGTTCTCATCTGGCTTATCCCCTTCCAACGGCTGGTCTTGATCAAATGAAACGAATTGAGATTCATCAAAGACAAATTCGTAATCATCTTGATTAGGGAGGTTGATTTCATCAGTTGCAACAACATTTGAAATTTGTGCTTTGTTCAATTGATCTAATTCCCACTGGTTTTCATATCTATTACGTTTAGTTGTTTCCCCTTTTTCGGTCTTGTCATAGTTATTTTTTGCATTCAATGCATTCAACTTCCGTTTCTTGTCTAGCTTACCTTCAGTATTGAAGTAATCGTCTGGTAACTGATATTCATCGTTTCTTCCAATAGACTGAAGAGATTCATCAGTCTCTGTAATTATTTTGAATATTTTTTGTTTATATTGAAAGTCTTCTTGCTCCTGCTTAGTTAATGCTCTCTCTTTAATAACGGATTTATACTTCTCTATATCTAGTGATAAATCGTTTAATTTCGTAGTTTGCCTCTTTTTAAGATAATTCTGACGTGATAGGTCCCGTAAGTCATCGTAGTTTTCTTTTTGTTCTTTAGCAGCCAGTGCTTGCAATATTCCTGGGGAAGGCATCGCAACATCATCACCAGCACCAGGCCCAACTTTTAAATTAGACTTATCATCTTCCTGTTCATTGTCTGATTCAGAAAGCCATTGGTCTTCATCAGTCCTTTTTCTTCGTTTACCCTTTCCTTCCTTAATTTTATCTGACATAATTTACTACTGTTAAATGGTAAACAAAAATAAGCTCATCGAAAATTGCCTTTTAAATAAATCGAGAAAGTTTCAAAAACTGAAATCAAAATTATTTCCTTAGGAGAGTGGTATTTCCCAACGCTTTTAATATGCCAAACGAAACTTCCAAGGCTAGAAGGACATCAAGAATATCTCCATATCACGAAGATTCATCATCTTTTTTTAACATTGCTTCTGTAATAGAGCAACATAAAGATACCGAAAGAGTAAATACAGATCTTCAAACATGTTCGTATATTCCACCCTGGACGGAGCCTTATATCATTGGTATAGCTGGTAATTCGGGATCGGGTAAAACTTCTTTATCGCAAAAGATTATACAAGAAATCAATCAACCATGGACGGTATTATTATCATTTGATAATTTCTATAATCCGTTAAGTCAAGAGGAACGACAAAAAGCATTCAATAATGAATTTGATTTTGATACGCCAGAATCTCTTGACTTGGACCTTTTATATAAAGTAGTGAAGTCTTTGAAAAGTGGTGAAAAGACTGAAATTCCAATTTATTCATTTACTAAACATGATAGAACAGACAAAACTACTACAATTTACGGAGCTAATGTCATTGTCATTGAAGGAATTTATGCTTTGTATGATCAAAGATTACTCGATTTAATGGATATAAAGATCTATGTAGATACAGATCTTGATATCTGTCTTGCTAGAAGACTAACAAGGGATATTTTGTATAGAGGAAGAGATTTAGGCGGTGCTATGAAGCAGTGGGAGACATTTGTGAAGCCAAATGCAGTGAGATATGTTAACCCTACCATGGATAATGCAAATCTAGTTATACCTAGAGGTTTGGATAATTCTATTGCAATCAACTTAATGATCAAACACATTCAAAAACAATTAGCTTTAAAATCATCGCTGCATTTAAAAAGTTTGAAGAGTTTGGGTATGAATAAATTCAACATTGAAAGCTACGAAAGCCTTACTTTATTACCAAACAATAATCATACGAGAGGAATCCATTCCGCCTTGTTCAATATATCCACTGAGAGGTCTGATTTCATTTTTTATTTTGATAGAGTTGCAATTTTAATTATAGAGAATGCTATGGAAACCTTTACAAATTACAGATCGAAAATGGTGAATACCAATGGTAATTATCAATACCAAGGATTAGATCACGTTGACGAAATTTTTGCAGTTAATATAATTAGATCCGGAGATTGTTTTATGAATTCAATTAAGAAAACTTTTCCAGAGATATCTATTGGTAAATTATTGATTCAATCTGCTGCATTAACAGGTGAACCACAGTTACATTTCGAATCGTTACCATCAAATTTGGATAAGGTTGATAATAAGAAGATATTGTTATTTGACTCACAAATTATAAGTGGAGCTGCAGCAATAATGGCTATTCAAGTATTACTCGATCATAAGGTAAGAATGGAAGATATAGTCTTTTGTTCGTATTTGTCAACAGAGATTGGGTTGAGGAGGATTTTGAACGTGTTTCCTAATGTTAGGGTTGTAATTGGGAAATTAAGCACTATTGACGATAGTACGAAGTCATATAATCCAGAAAATTTTAAAGACACAGATTGGTGTTTCAGAAATAGATTCATCGATTCTCTTTACTTTGGTACTTGAAGTGGTTTTACGAATGAGAAATAGAAAGCATAATATTTATTAAATTTGAAACTATTAAGCTTGTAGGCCTGCTATCAAGAGATAGCAGTATCGTAACAGTAGAAAGCCCGAAGAAGAATTCTATTAGTCACAGCAAGAAGTAAATGTTGGTAAGAAAGCAAAGCAATAAAACATCCATGTGTTGAAACATTTTTGGCGTATTCATTAAAATCGTAATTCAGGAAAACTTCTTTCGTTATCTCATTGCACATCGTCTTAATTATTGTCGTTACAAAAGATTCGTTATTGCATAACGAATAGAAGTATCATAAATGCTAAGTATGTCTATTGTTCGGTCTCTATTGAGTTATCAATAGACCGGGGATTCTGAAACTTAAGGGCCACCGAGTTGCGTCTGCAATGCTTTTTAGGGAAATATAAATTTGCATTAAGGCCCCTACCTTCGCTAATCGAGCTTGATGGACATGTTGCTGGCTCAGAAAAAAAGGCTTTTTCATGCTTGGAATGATGCATAATGCTTGGTAATTCGCTGTCGAATGTATTTAGGTCGCAAATGGAAAACCTCCGTTTTGGAACCATTGCAAACACCTTATTATCGTCACTTTGTAGTCTGCATGTCGCCTCAAGCATATCATTGATTACAGGAGCCGATCTGGACTTTTTCAATTGTATGTTGTTGCGTACATCGTCCGGCTTCAAGCACGGATTTGAATTTTCATAGTTAGCATAACTCTTATCGATCAAAAATGCTGTGATGGGCTTGTTTGTATCGCTGTTATCCGAGACGTGCTCCAAAGCTAGTGAAAACCGTCTAGAACCCATTATTGCATAACTATACTTTATAATGCCTTTTTTTTGGATGATTTTCTATATTAGGGGATCCTATAATGAGATGAGGTATTAAATGCTAGCAACAATTCAATTGCCGCAACTTGATCTGCTAAATGGACTATTTATTCCGTTATATTACTATTATTCAATCAACCACCGATTGCACCTTCCAAATTTATTATATATTTACCCCTTATATCCAATATTTAGCTAGTAAAGTCTAGATCAATTGTATACTAGTCGTATGGTATATATACTGATAAAGTTTGCGACAGCAACATCATATATATCATTTGCTTACGTAACAAAAAGACATTCCATTATCTATTTCCTCAGCATACTCCATTTATTGAGTCGAACATATTTGTGCCTTACAATGCCGTGTTGATGGACCACAGCAAAGAGGTACCATAAAACCACATAGCGTGTAGTTTCAGGACCAAAGAGTTCTTTGAATTTCGCAACCACCTTGTCTCTGTAGTACAATTAGATAAAATTTGATAATTAGTACATTCTATATGAGTCACACTACTTAACCTGAGGTATGCTTTATTAATTACTGTATTATTCTAGTAGATATCTCTTTTGGCGCTAATATATAGATAGCGTGTTTTGCCATATACGGTGTAAGGCAAATAGTACAGATAGGAATATAGACGGGTATTTAAATCCGTTGGCCGTGGATATATTCGGTTACATTGTTAAGCTCGATTTGGTGAAAAAATCAAAGATAACCGGGGTAAAAGTATATAAGTAATTGAAAAGAACATAATCGTATTCCATATTACATTTCATTTTGACTTAGTATTCGGATACCATATAGAAGAGGTAACACAGAAAGTAATTAATTGGCATGTTGAAAAGGTTCGTTTCATTTAAGGCAGCTGGTAAGTTGAAGCTAGCAGATTTGAACAAACTGACGATAAATGCAAAATATGCTGTCAGAGGAAAGATTCCTATTAGAGCCGACGAGCTTAAAGAGCAATTAAATGACAAGAATAATGGTTTGCCATTTAAGGAGATCATTTATGCTAATATTGGTAATCCACAACAATTGGACCAGGCTCCCTTAACATGGTATAGACAGGTGTTATCTGTTTTGCAAAATCCCAAGTTATTGAATGCTCAGATTGATTATCCGAAGGATGTGATTGACAGGGCGAAGACATTGTTGGAGAATGTGGGATCCGTCGGTGCATATTCCCATTCACAGGGGAATCCACATGTCAGAAAATCCGTTGCAGATTTCATCACAAGAAGAGATGGGTTCCCCAGTAACCCATCAGACATTTTTTTGACTGGTGGTGCTTCTGCTGCGGTATCTTATTTATTACAGGTTTTATCGAGTAGTAATACTTCAGGGTTTTTGATCCCAATCCCCCAGTATCCGTTATATACGGCCAGTATTGCATTGAATGACGCAGTTCCAATTGGATATTACTTAAACGAAGAAAACAATTGGTCCACCGACCCTACACAGATTAGAGAGTTGATTAATGAAAACAACGAGAAGGGTATTCAGATCAAAGCGTTGGTTGTTATTAACCCAGGTAATCCTACTGGTTCTATCTTGTCATATGATAATATTGTTGAGATCATAGACATTGCTGCTGAACATGGAATAGCCATTATTGCAGATGAAGTATACCAGGAAAATGTATTTAAAGGAGAGTTTGTTTCTGTGAAAAAAGTTTTATCAAAGTTAAATGAGCTTGATCCTGAAAAGTATGGTAATGTGCAGTTAGCTTCATTACATTCCACATCTAAAGGGGTGAGTGGTGAATGTGGACAAAGAGGTGGATACATGGAGTTAGTTGGATTTTCGAAGGAAGTAAGAGATATCATTTTTAAATTGGCCTCCATTAATTTATGTTCTGTTGTGTCAGGACAAACTTTAGTAGAACTAATGATTAATCCTCCAGCTCCAGGGTCCCCATCATACGACTTATACAAATCGGAGACTTCCAAAATTAATAAAGATTTGCAGACCAGGGCCGATTTATTGTATAATTCTTTCATTGAAATGGAAGATATAACTTGTAATAAACCTATGGGTGCTATGTATCTTTTCCCTAAATTAAATTTCACTCCAAATTCATATTCAAAATTATTTAAATCTTCAGAACAGATGGATTCTACTATTGATGAAACATATTGCATTGAATTATTAGAGAGCACTGGTATTTGTTGTATTCCTGGTTCAGGATTTGGCCAAGTACCAGATACGTATCATTTAAGAACTACTTTCTTACCTCCAGGGTCAGAATGGATTAACAAATGGTCTAAATTCCATAATGATTTCGTCAAGAAGTACAAAAATTGAAAAGGATTTGATATTCTTTTTTTAATCTATAGAAGTATTGTATAAATATAATATAGTGGTAGAATAAATACCACCTAGGGCAAATTATATATTTTGTAATTGTGACTTTATTCAAGTAGAATAAGTAAGAATTTGATTTGAATTATAGATTATTGGGACTTTTTAAGGTCTAATTCAGTTTGATTCGTTTCAAAGTCACCAATGATACAACTAAATGCAATAATTAACCAAGCTGGTAGCCACCCCAATATTATAACAAACCAAGTCCAACATTGTAATTCATCCCATGAAGTAAGTAAGCCTCTCATCAATTTTGTAACCCCTTGATCTTCATGAATAAAAACCATTCCTATCAAATAAATGATGGAAATTGGACTTGACATAAGTAAACATGCAGCCACTTTAATCCTTGATAAATCCTTTTTGTTAAAATAATTAATTAGTTTACTAAATGGGTAATTTTTCTTTGTAGATGGATTATTGTTACCTAATTTCTTGAGGTTTGCATTGGTAATGATTGGTTGTACAAATGTAAGCGGTAATGCAAAAAAGCCGATAGATAACGCTAACGCAAAATGAACAATTAGTAAAGTAGTGATCAACATCGCTATCCAAAACAAAGACATTGCAATTAACATATAGGTCAATTCTTTGCTTAATTTATATTTCTTCAAACCCTGAATATTGAAATTAGGCAGAATTGAAATTGCAATACTATTGTATATAAGCCCATATAAGACGATAGTTACTCCTAATTCCTCTGAATCTGCTGACAACTTGATCAAATAGGGTAATAATATTGAAATAAGGAAACATATACCTTCCACACTGGTAAACATTATAAGCAATTTATTAATTGTTCCTAAAAACAAGCTCATTTCAAGACCACTGTTTAATAAACATCCAAAAGAACTAATAGCAAAAGCCACAGCAATTAAAATGGCTGACGGTAAGTACGTTCCAATTGATACAAAATGATTAGGCGCTAACATTAAATAGAAAAAGAACGATTGATGAAACTTCTCCAATAAATTGTTTACAGATCTAAAAGTTGAATCAACTATTCTTCCGAACTGTGTAACATCGGCAGGCCCAGAAGTACCTCTGGCCTTAACTGTAAATGCTTGGATCAGCCATCCAGAAAAAGCTTCACACCCAGGCGTGTTCCTGTTTAGTCCTGCTAAAGCCAAGTTCAAAATACCACTAAACAAAACACGTAATCTGGAGAAATAAGAATTAGTCAGTAATTGGTTTGCTGATGTTGATTGAATGGAGCACTGAAGGTTTTCATGACGTCCTACGGTATTCGCAGTATTTAATAAATCTAAGTTAGGTAATTGGCCGTTTAATCCTTCGTAATTTATTTCATAATAGTCAAAATAATCAGATACTCCTTCATACTCCATTACAATTGCAGCCTCAATTGAGCCTGCAGTTCTATCCAATGAAGTGTGATATGCTTCTACCCATGACCGCAACGATGCATGTCCATCTTCTGGAAATACTAATATGATATTCTTTGACCATATGGACATTTTATTAAAATATCTCAATAATGCAACACTGATTGCTACTCCACCTTCATTATATTGTCCAGTAGATGTCGTCCATGGAACTGCTAATACCATAGATTCAGTATCATCACCTCTAGGCGCATGCATTATACCATATAATGTGTTATTACCGTTTGGATTAATGTGATAAGACGTCTTTAGGCCAATGTCAGTCAACCATGTCTCCACTATTGAATTTCTTTCGTCGATTGGCTTATGTTCAAAGTCATGAACATCACCTCTATATCCTCTGACTATATTCCACTCACTTTCTCTGAAGTATGAAGTTACTTGTCCTGGCATTAATGCATTTTCAGAGATATACGTGTTTCTATAAAACCCTTCGTAAGGCAAAACAAACAACCATGCAATACTAGATACAGCAAGTAAAAATGAAATTACCGGAATTAACTTGACAACCTTTGGTATAAGTCCAGACTTATGGACCTTTCTTAATATGGTTTCAGCTAATGCCATATTGCTTACTTGTATATGCTTTAGTACTTGATTTTTAGATCGATCTTAAAAATTACGCTCAAATATTTTTTTCTGGGACAATATTGAAAAATCTCTATCAGTAATATTATGGAATATGGGACTTAGCATACGACAATATTATAAGCAGATATGCCGACGCATACATAGACTTCCACTTGACCATAAGACAATAGAATGCCTTCGACTACACTGTAAGAGTAAGTTCGTAACACAATTAAAGAAAGGTCAATATCAGCATACTTCTATCGACAAGAGTTCATTTGATAAAGGAATAAAGGTATTAGATGATGTATTGGTGAATGAGAATTACGATTCTCTTAACACCATATTAGATTTTATTTATAAAGAAGCTTTACCTCAACCGCAATGGGTTTCTGATTTTATGAAGTACAAGTATACAGCATTTAGGCCATGTTGGCCCCAAGTCCATTTGTTTAACGAATTAACTACCACACCAAAACAATCTAAGTTATACGAAGAAGCATTAGAGAAAGATAAGGATATGGATTTATCGTTGGTTAGCTACTTCGGAATTAAACCTGCATCAATTGATACTGATTTAAAGCCGCTAAAATTGGCTATTGATAAGACTTCACCAGTTAGTAAGATTTTACTGGAATTTAAAAAGCTTCATTCATTTGTATTCAGAAACCAAGAGAAATTAACGCATTTAAAAGTACAACCATTAGAGGTGATATATCCTGCTAACAGGTTTGGGTTACCAATTCATGTAACTCAGCGTGATAAGTTGTTGAAGCAGAAAGTGAACTATGCAAAAAGCTTATGTCAAGAATTTAAGCCTATATACGAAAATTCTTTGAACCATTTGGTTGAATTCGCCATATATAAACCAGGGAGTACCAAAGGAAATGATGCTTACAAGATAAATGAAAACTTTTTTAAGTACATGATTCGGAAGCATAATTATGAACGTGATAATTTAAATCCTCTTTACAAGCACCATCTAAGAAATAAAAAATTAATTCCGAATGATAATAATATTAGAAAATATATGAGAGAATATGTTAGGAAGCAATTCTATTATGATTCTAAATTAAAGACTTATAAAATGTGTTGGATGCAAAATTTTTATGAGAATGAGAAAAGAATTGTACCAGGTATCGAGATACCAAGCTAGTCACTTGATAATCATTTAAGCTCAAACACTATATAATTTTGTTTGTTAGAATCGAGCAAACACCCTATACGTCTGGACTTATCAGAGTTTATAGCTAAGTATTTTGGCTCTGAAACTCTATTTATTGCATTACCATTGAACATATTCCGGTTTATTGGTGAAATCGAAGCATAAGAAATGACGCTTGCATCTTGTAATATCACATCCTCAAAATTAAATGATTCTAGATAATACTTTGGTGAAGAATTAATCAATAATAGAATTTTACTTTCATCAATTATTTCGTATGTAATTATGGGATCTTGTAATTTTATTGTCCTCGATTGTATGTCAGAACTTGATAATGAAAACTTAATGAGAGATAGTGTTGATTCTTCATTGTTAATACATGATATAACACCAAAATTGGAACCACTAAAAATTTTCATTTTTTCTATGTGAGTTGATGATATATTCAATGGAATTAAATTGTTGAATTTTACAATAGACTTGATGTAATCCTTGACATTTATCAATAAATTACTTTCCACAACATTTTCTAGTTCGATAAATTTCTCCATTAAATTAGTTTCAACAGCGTCTTGAAGTAGAAGTTCGTTCATTGGCAATTTTATTTCAAAATAATTGAATAACTTACTCTTGAACAAATATTTGTTGAAATACTTAATTAGATTCGAAGTTTTATAATTCACATGCAATGATTTATAATATGAGTCTATATCATCTTCCTTAGCAAGCTTATCTATAACACCAATTTTAACCCAATTTATAAATTCATTAAACAACTTTTGCTCTTCGTTGACATCCCATATCAATTGATAAAAATATTTTAATAATTCCTTTGTCAACACCACTAATGAATTTATAGATTCTAAGTCTAAACCGAGATATCCATTCATACCATTATTACCAATTTCCATGCTTTCAAGCCATTTAACTAGACCTTGCAATAAATTCAAAATAATCAACAATCTTTCTAAGGATGAAACTAGTTGATTGAAACAGACTTTTCTAATCAAATCATAGATAGAATTACCAGTTTTACTCAACTTCTTCAAACCTCTTTCTCCCAACTGATTTAGCCAAAAATCTTTCAAATTTGTAGGGATTAATCCAGTTAATAATAAATCAAATAGAGAATTAATTACTTTGCATTTCAGTTCTTGATCAGTAGGAAAATTTGTAGTTAAATCAACGTTAGAATACAAGCTATCTTTAAGATTGGATAGGTGACGATCAAATAATTGAATAAAGGGCTTTACTTCTTCATTTAATAAAACAAGTTGCTCATTAATGTAATTCATAATTGATTTTATTTTACATGATTGTTGTATAATTTCCATCAAATAATTTCGAAGATAATCGCTATCAGGTATATCCAAGAACATCTTGAGTAGATATAACGAAGCATCACGCTGGTTATTAATAAGGAAATATTGATTTAGCAAATCCGAATTATCGGCATGGCATACAAATTTTAGATGTTCAGGACATTTAATGCTATCAACGGTAAAGAGACCATTGAACGTGATCGATAACTCAGAGTGTGATCTAATTGTAATCATAAAACTTAGCAGACCTTCTGTATCATTTATTACGTCTAGCTGGTAATTATTATTGTTACCATTAGTATTTGATGCATTTGTGTTTGTCGATATTTCATTGTTTAACGATAACTTGGGTAGATTAGCTAGAACATCTACTTTGAATAGATTATCAAATCTTCCAGGTTCCTCTAGAGATTTATGGCAGCACCAATTAATCAAATTAATTGACTTTTGTTCACTATTAATAGTGTTTGTCAATTTACCTGAATTTGAATCATAAATTTTGCAAAATCCGTCAATACCAGATACACAGAAGAATTTGCCATTAGGATTCCAAGAAATATCCAATATAAGGGACTTATTATTAATCGAATAGATTCTCTCTCCATTGATTCTGAATACCCAAATCGACATTCTATTCATTGATATGGCTAACAAATCCATTGTAGGACACCAACTTAATATATTTCCATCAGCAAAGCCTATAAACTTATTATACGCAATCACAGGAAATGGTTGAGGTTTCATTCTTCATATTTTTATGTTATACAGCTATTATAGAATTGAATTTACCCTGGGCGTCAAGACTATTTACATTTGAGATTGATAATTTGGGAACGGAAAAATCGATCTCGATTTTGATAAACATATTTTAAGACGAATATTATAAACTTCAAGTAACGAGAATGTTATATTTAATTAGTATTTATATACAAGAGCACAATTTACATGCTATATGAATTAATGTGCAAATCAGTTTCTAAAATTAATCACTACGGATGGTCCAATTGTAGATGATAAGCAAGTTTGACCAATTAAGTTTGGCTTCTTGGTACCAGGAGGTTGACAGCCGTAGATTGCATCCGAAGCCGCTTTCAAGTTTTGTAATATCTCTTTGTCACTGAAGTCACATCTACCAATTGGTATAGACAAATGTTGATCCCTCTGTTTGAAAGGTAAAGCACCCACATTTTCTTCCATTAATTTTGAAACATCTTCAGAAACAGTACCTTTTTTAGTAGAAGGCATTAAGTTCTTAGGACCCAAGTATCTAGCAATTGCTTTTAAATCTTTAACAATATCAGGTGTAGCGAAACATTGTGTGAACTCGTCTAACTTTACGTTTCCTGCTTTTATTTCTTCAATTAATTCTAAACCTCCAGCAGTTGCACCTTTTGCTTTAGCCTGTTCGAGAGATTCCAGTTCCAAACTGAAGACCAACATATTATTATCCTTTATTGGTCTTGGTAAAAAGACTGACCCACTTATTGGTTTAGAACCTTTATCAGGAATGATAGTCATTAAAATACTTAATGTGGTCTTCTTTGCTGGGTTTCCAACTTCTGCGGCTCTCAAATATTTCAATGCATTTGGTACATCCATATATAATGGATGTAACTCCGGATGCTGCTTATTCTTGTTCTTAATTAATTGCATTCTTTTCAACTTCTTTTTAGTCTCTTTTTGCTGATCTCTATTGTGCTTTTTCAATTTTGCTTCATTTGCATCATACAATCTGGACGTGTTTGATATGAAACGGATATACGAATGCGCTTGAGGCAAAGTAGCCACCGGTTTCATACAACCAGTTAATTTAAACATGTCTATGTTCTATATACTTGGTAGCTTACTTTTCATTATCGTTATGCCAAAGTTCTGAAAATTTTGTTCAGTATAAATTTTTCGGTTTCCGCACACAAACCCAAGTTTAAATAACCTTTTAGTATTAACCTATACAACCTATAGAAATATCCGTTCAATAAAACCCATCGCAACGTAACACATATAATACACATAATATACAATATCCAATTAAATAGTAAGTCATAACATTTATAGTTTCTTTGATTTCATTTTCATGGAAAAGTTTCTCTTTAGGAAATTTTGTTGGTCGTGAACAATCGGATTCTTAGCGATTAATACACTGTCTGCCGAGTTGTTTAAATGATTATAAATTGGGTCTTTGGTATCATCTGAATTTATCGAGAACGAGGAAGAGTTTCTGAATAAAGCAATAAAGCTCTTTCTGTTTGATTTCTTGGACTTTAATTCTGGCTTTACTGGGTTGGTGGAGTTCGTCGTAGAATATCCCGTAGCATCACTAATATCATTCATAGATATTGATTTCACATCAACGGATTTAGGATCAATTGGCTTGAGTTCAGCTGGCTTGGAATTGGAAAGCTGGTCGACTGAAATGGACAACGAAAAACGCTTTGGTTTTCCAGTAGCCGTATTACCTATTGGACTGTAGTAACTGTCAAGCAAAGTCGAAAATCTATTTGAAATCGATCTTTTTCTAACAGGAGAAGACTCAGTTTCAATATAGGTATCCGTACTGTTACCGTGATGCGTTATAGGACTATCAATAGACATTAACGAATTGTTATCATGAAGGTTCGCCACTTCAATAGAATACTCATTTATAAGAACATGTGAATTCTCTATTAAAGTTTGCAATATTTCTTGTAAGAATGGTAGAGCTTGAATGTTGTTGATATCACTGTTATCAAAAAAATAAGGCTGGAATATTATTGCCAAATTTATGCTTGACATCTTTGTTTTTACCGAATGCTCCATTATCAAGCTCAAATTGTAGACTATGTAGATGAACAATTGGTTTTTGTCTTGCGATCTTTCGCTTATCATTGACTGGACAACTTTTTCCACAAATTCGTTCAAAGGATTACAGTCATAGGACGTCTTGGCAGTTTTGAAAGAGTTAATACTCGCATCATCGTTGTGATCAATAACCAGTATCTGATTCAAATATTCGTTATAATGACTCTTGATTTCCTTTGTGGTTTCCCCGTCGAAGACACTAGTCTCATATAAATAATAATTTAAATATTTCTTAATCACTCCACTAATATCATGAGGACTTGGGTTAGCAGCAATCCAGTTTTCAACATTATGATTCGAAAAGTATTGTGATATTCTTTTTACTGATCCATTAACGCGAAATATTCCTTCAACCATTCCGTTAGATTGTAGGTAGTCAAAGCATTGCACTAAGCATTTAGGCACCTTAACGCTGAGCCCATCAACGCTTGTCGTCGTAAAATTAGATTCCAACTGTGAAACAGATGACCTGGAGCGTGAAAATGAAATTCGTTTGTAGGTAGAGGGTGCCGGAAACGAATCCACTGAATTATTTATGTTTAATGTCATTTCGTAACCTATTTACTAACAAACAAATTTTGTCAATATCGAATTCGTTCGATATAAATATGAGGAATTTAATTTGGTTTCATATTCGCTGGCTTGAGTAAGTCATGATACGCGTGAATATCTGGGGCATTGTGCTTGACCTTCCAACGGCTCCTCTCTATTTTTAAGCGAGTCTAGAACCGACTTTCTAGAACTTCGCTTCTATTATGACGGACTTCTTCCCAGAATAGAAATATTCTCCAGGCTTACGTGTCGCGTGCGTGCTTACATAACGGTCGATGCCAATGCTTATATCATCTCCCAACCTGTCTGACTTGTTGTTGTGTTTAATCGTATACTCTTCACTCCTGTTAACTTGGCATTTCAATAGCGGTTTATTGCTTGCTTCGCAATACCGAAGTAATTCTATTAATTACTATAGTAGCCAACTTAACAATAAAAGTTATCAATTGGCATTTTTTTTTTTATGATAGATCACTTAATTACGATTAGGTCAATCATATTTCCTTCATATACTAGAAAACTCTAATATTTGAACCATTTGCATTGTAATCCTTGTAGCATATAAGGCGCTTGAATTTTCTGAGTCAATAATTGCAATAACAGCATCATTAAAGAACAATCATGCATAATGTACTGATAGATGGTGGGAATAATCGAAACGGCGGGAGAAATGCGAAATTTGGGCTGTTAGGGTTATATGCACTCTGGGGTTTACATATTTCCTAACGGTTACTAAAAAAAAGTTGCTTTAGAGAGAAACATAGTAGTTTTGAAAGATAAACAGAGGGTAATATGGTATCAATAGGGATAACAAAACGTGGACTGGGGTTTATGCCTTCCAAACCATCCCCCTTGTCTACTTACAGTCATGGACTGACAAAAGAGTATGGGGGAGATGGCGCAGGTTGGAAGAAGCTAATGGCTAAAGGACAGACTGAGATACGGCATGAACAAGAAGAAAGCAGGGAAGAAGGTAAAAACACGGGGGAATCTGGTGATACAATCAGAAATTATACTGGCTACGTTATTGATAGTGATGTAGAGCAAAATAAAGTGCCAAGGGAGGTATTAGACATTCTACAAGCATTTCCAATTTTCAAGCAAGCACCGGAGTCGTTTGCGATGAAAGTGGCTTCGCAGCTCAGATATAAGGTCTATGGACCAGATGAATACGTGATTAGGAAGGGAGAGCCATCGGAGTCGATGTACTGGATTTTGAAGGGAACAGTGAATATTGGTGACGGAGAGTCGATACATGCGGAGCTCGGACTGGGGAGTTTTTTTGGTGAAGTGGGAGTTATATACAATAGACCGAGAACAGCTACAGTCGTGACCAGAAGTAAAGTTGTGGTGGGAATAATGGGGAGCGAGTCACTCAATTTGGTATTGCAATACTATCCTTCGATAGAGAGGAAGATCAGAGACGAGGCACAGGGAAGACTAGCTCTGCAAGAAAAGAAATACAATACTGGACTACTCAAATGTAATAAAACATATCACAGTAAAGTTGAAGGTTATCGAGACGAGCATCAGACCCATCCTATTCCGTTTCTCAGAATTCTTAAAGATTTTACCCTTTTTCAACAAATGCCAAGTTATGTCGTTGACGAATTACTATCATGTGCGGAATTTGTAAAGGTTCCCATGTTAGATTATGTTTTTAAGAAAGGTGATAAGGACGTAGATGTTTACTTCATTGTTAGGGGTAGAGTAGAAATAATCGATAATGAGTTGGATCCTAAACTGGGTAACAAATTGACAGCGTTAGAGTCAGGTAATTCTATTGGCATTTCATCATTCTTATCTTATATGAAAGGAAATAAGAGCATTAGGAGATTCGCTAGTGTTATGTCTGTTTCACCATTGGAATTGCTTAAAATTCGAAGTGTTAAGTTGATGTCATTGTGTAAACAGTTTTCCTTTATTATAGATGAATTAGAACATGAAAGCTTTAATAGGGCTTTCTTGTTTTCTCCCCGTAAAACTGATACAAAACCAAACAGCCCACCTTCAACCAGACTTTCTATTGAATTTCTCATGAACGAAAATGAAGATAATTTACCTGAAATTACCAATCATTCACAGTCTAAGAAAAAGAAATTACAGAACCAGCTGCCATCGTACACTACAAATAGTTCAGGGTACGAAAATGTTTCTCCCATTTCACCTATTTCCCCGTTGGAAAACATAGATTCATTTTCTGCGCAAACGCAGAAAATAACCACAGCCGAGGCACATATCAATACTAAAAAGAGGAAGTTAACGGCAGATATACACTCACTTGATTTTCTTGATGAGAGACATTCTGCAGAACCCGAAAGAGAAAAGTTCTGGGACCATGATTATAGATACGACGATAATAGAATGAAATTAAGGAGCAAAAATGAAGTGCACTCAAGACATGCTGCCGAATCACTATTTACAATGATAATGCTGAAGGTGTTTGAATATTTGACCATTCCTGAATTGATGAAATTGAGAATAGTATGCAAGCAATGGAACGAAATACTATCTACGGCCCCAGGGTTATGCAAGAAGTTAGACTTAACACCATGGAATACATCGATTGATGATAAATCATTAATATCAATAACAAACTTTGTTGGGGCGAGACCACAGGATATTGACATATCAAATTGCTTTCATATAACGGACGAGGGCTTTAGTTATATGGTCAATGAGATTGGTATATCCGGAAAAATAAAAGGCTTGAAAATGGAATCTAATTGGGAAATTAGTGGAATGGCTATAATGGATTTAAGTGTATCAATAGTTGGTAAACATTTGGAAAATATTGATTTGGCAAATTGTCGGAAGGTTCGTGATGATGTATTAGAAAGGCTTACCGGTTGGGATTCAAGAGAGAGAAATCAAACGAATAAAGAACTCGAAGAAGGCAATAAAATATCAGATGTCAGTGTCGGGTGCAAGAACTTGAAAGCAATTAACGTTGGATATTGTAAGCATTTGACGGATAATATAATGTATCATATATCTCAGAATGCTAATGAAAGATTGGAAAGCTTGGATTTAACAAGATGTACGACTATTACTGATAAGGGATTCGAATATTGGAATAGAAGACATTTTCCAAATTTGAGAAAGTTATCTTTGAAGGATTGTACTTTTTTAACTGATAAAGCAATAATATCAATTGCAAATTCAGCAAATAATTTAGAAGTTTTAGACTTGAAATTTTGCTGCGCTTTATCAGATGTTTCAATTGATATGTTGTGCTTAGGTTGCCCAAAATTAAAACATTTAGATTTGTCATTCTGCGGAAGCGCTGTTAGTGATTTCTCGCTCGCTAATATCTCGTTGCATTTGCGATTCTTAGAAAAATTAATCCTAAAAGGTTGTATTAGAGTTACTAGAGCTGGTATAGACTCATTATTGAGTAGTTGCTCTATGTTGAATTATCTCAATGTTAGCCAATGTAAAAATGCTCATGTTTATCCAGGTGGTGTTCAGGCTCAAATGTTGAAAATTCACAGTCAGACGAAAACTGCTTTTGTTACTGCTGGGTCTTATAAAAATATTGTTGAAATTGCGGTTTAAACCTCTTTTTTCCATATTTAGTTTGCTACATGATCTTACCAGCACCATTGATAACATGATAAGCTATATTGTACATTATATTATTTATTCTTATTATAGCTAGGTGTATTATAAAATAAATTGTAAATTATATTGTTATTTAGCGCTTCTTCCTCTTTTTTACTTTATCCTCAAACTGGATAAATGATATTGGGATTCCTTTAGAATTCAACAAATCTACAATCAATTTGCCATGTGGACCCTGAACTGTAACTTCAGTTAACTTTGGATTATGAGTACAGGGGCCGATAGTTGTGGAACCAGAACATTTTACTTTTAATTCATCCGACAAAATATGCGGCTTAATGTAATACTTTTCAAAGTCCAGTACTCTTGTAACGACCTTTCTTCCAATTTTCATTTCAGTAATAACCTGAACCTTAGGAGGTTCACCTTTGTTCAATTCGATTTCATCATTGTCAACACTTTCGCCAGGTTTTAAAATTTTATACAACGGCGAAAAATTGGTCAAGAATGACTTGAATACTTTATCTCTTGGATAAGAACCAAGGCCTAAGTTGGAAATGCTATTGAGCGTATCATCGAGCACAATTTTTTTCGGATCTTTTTTATCCATCAATTGTTGAATTTTGATATATTTATCTAATAATGATCTTAATTCAGGTGCAGTGTACAAATTCGAGAATGGATGGTCTACCTTATTGAAGAACATTCTCGATTTATTAGTCGGTTTATACAAGTAAACGATCGATAATTCATTCGCTTTATTCTTCTTATTTCCAACAGGTTTCTCACTAGACTTATTGGAATTATTCGACAAAGAACTTATGGGCTTATGAGGTACAAAGTTTTGAATGATCGGATTTTCTTTTGAGGCTAAACTAACAATTGATAAATCGTCTCCTTTCCCCTTAATTTGCACATAATTCAACTTTTCCATAGCCTTTAAAAATTTTGCTGATTTTTTCCATGAAGTTTTTTTAATGTTGCAATACATGGGGTCAATGATAGGCAAATTTTTATAAATATGGTTAGACATGAACGTTGATGAAGTTATTGGTAACACGATTGTATCTTGTTGAATAGACTGTAGAAGAGATCTAGTAAAAAAATTATCAACATCTTCTACTGATAATTCTGATAATTCTTCAGCAACGTCGTCCATACTAGTACCTATAGAATTTTCATTACTGACTTTATTGCTGACTTCATTTTCTATTTTTGGCTCTGCCTTAGTTTCATTATTTTCGTTTTTATCAGTCTCTTCAGAAGCAGGTTCAGATTGCTCAACATTTAGTGGTATATTAATATTGCATTCAGATGGTACAGGAATATCAACTAGTCTATTTAAATTGTACAACTCATCATGCATGCAATGAAGAACTTCAACAGCGGTACCAGTTCTACCGATAACTGAATCAAATTGAGGCATATTCAATTTGCAGCGGCCTATAGCTTTTATAACTGTCGGATTCTGACTGTCAACCACACCAACAACTTCACCTTTTACTGCTCTGTTGTCAAAAGGAGGAATTGTACCCGGTAACATTAAATCAGCACCATTAGAAAGGATCTTGATAACATGAGGATGAGTCTTAACCATTGGTAGAATGAAAGGACATTTCCACGTAGTGAAAAGGGTAGGAAATAACTGAGAGTCTCTAGATTTAAACCATATAGGTGTTTCGGTTTCATCGAAATAAATTGTTCCAGAATACCCTTGGACACTTTTAAAAGAAGCTTGTTTCGTAGTTACAGGTAGAATATCATGCTCACATTCTTTAGTGATTTCTTGTTGGGGAATTTTGTATATATTGCAAATATTGGTCAACAACTTTCTTCTTTCAGAAGATTTGATATTTGCTGATGCTTTAGGTTGTGGATCCTTCTTAAACATCTTCAAATATAAAGATTAGTATAATCTTTGCTTCATTTCTAACACTCTTTTATAACAATTCTTGAAAATTACACAAAGTACTTTTCAGTGAGATCAGTAGTTAGTTGTACGAAATAATTACAAGAGGAACACTATAATAAATTCAGCATAAGAGATCATAGATGACTGAAAAAGATACAGAGAATAAGAACAGGGAGGAATTATCCTCAATAACTGTTGTTAGACGCGTCATAGTCTTTGTTATTTTGCTGATTATCGTGTTTCTTGGTATACCATTATGGAAATCTACAACAACAATTCATAGGGCTGAATTGCCCATTGTTCAAGTAAAAGAGCATTCAATAAGCCTTCAAGATCAGATTCACTATAAAATACCTGTGTATTTAGATATACCGAACTCATTAGTATGCTTCATACCACAAGCCCAAGAATTGCTTGATAAGAAAATATATAATGAGTATCCAGAACTAAAAGACTTTTGGGCTATTGAATTAAGGAAGATTGATGATAACATAGACGCTCAGGACGACTATATTGTTAAGTTTGAATACCTTCCTTCACCCAATAATGAAGAAGAACAAGATCCAACAGAATCTTTTTTCATATCTCCATTCAGTAAAGAGACAAGGATCACAATTACTGATAATGTGGTCAGACCTAAGAAGGTTGACGAATTTTTGAGCATCGTTTTAACAGAATATATTTTTAAAGGAGAAATTGAACAAATGAGTGATATAGTAAGAGGAAAAAATCATGATTCTAGAAATTTAGTCATGCCATATTCATCTAAATATAACATTGTCATTTCGTTATTAAGTGAAAATGGAAGACCAATAAATTGGGAAATAGAGAAGGCATTAGGATCATTTGAATTGATTTTTTTCAAATTGAACCATTTCGCTAACTTTACAGTAACTTCTCAAATTCAATACTATTCGACATTGACTTACCCTCCAAACTATGATGAAAGCAAACAAGCATTTATAATTCCCGAGTCAGGATTATCGACATTTGTGAATTTTGGTGACTGGAATTTAATTACTCACGATATAAATCCAAGTATTAATTTCATATTATACTTCCCAGAAGCTAACTATAACTCCAAGCCCACTTTAATTGAGAATTCTAAAACGAATTCGTTTTTAATTCCACAATGGGGTGGTGTAGTGATATTTAATAAAGATATGAAAACAGAAGGATCGGATATTAACGAGAATGAATTATTACCCGTAATGGAAACATTTGCCTCACAACTTTTTCAATTATTGGGTATGCCATCTCAACCTAGATCACCAAGTATTAAGATTGATTCGTTATCCAGGACCATGACACATAAAAATTTAAAGCAGTCATTGGAGAATTTAGAAGCTTTATTGACTTTAACGAATTCATTAAATGAAATATCAATTCCTGAGTTGACAAAAATATATGTAGAAAAATCCATACATTACTTAGAGGAATCGATTAATGAATTAAACAATGGCAACTTTTATTTATCGATGAAGTACAGTTCACAGAGTTTAGAAAACTCTGATAGAGCATTCTTTGAAAAAGAAATGGTGCAGCAAGCATATTTTCCAAGTGAACATAAGTTAGCAGTATTCTTGCCATTATTGGGACCCCTTTGCTCAATTGTATCAATTGGAGCTTTGAAAGTAATAAAAGACATAAAAGCTAATAGAAACAATAAGGTTAAGAAAGAGTAATACTGCCATAGAATAAAACAAGTTATATAGTTAATAAAGGCAAAAGATATATAATGTAATAGCTACATAGAGTCATTGTTGGAGACGAATTTAAATCCTCTCATCAAATAAGTATACAGAATCTCTGCTCGTCGTTGTTGTAATCAATCCGCACAATTATGAAAAATTTAGTGAGATGTAATCAATTTATTTACTACGCGGAAATTTCAAACTCTTCTGTTAAATATTAGAATTAAGCATGGGTAAATTATTAGTTAATGGCTTAGGATTAGGATCAGTTGGTATAGCTTCGTACTTCTGGGGAAAATCATCTGCTCCAACTCCAAGTCCAACAGCAGTAGAACCACCTAAATCGGTTGTTCCAGGTAAGAATAACGGCGTTGGTTCATTTGATGCATCTAACATAAGGCCAGAAGATTTTTACAAATACGGCTTTCCAGGTCCAATTCACGATTTAGAAAAGAGAAAAGAATTTATTAGTTGCTATGACAGGAAGACCAGGAACCCATACTGGATTGTTGAGCATATTACGAAAGATTCAATCAGATCAACCCAAGGTGTTGATAGAAAGAAGTCAGTATTTAAGGAAGATGAAAACATACCATTAAAGTTTAGAAATAGATTGAGAGATTACTTTCGCAGTGGTTATGATAGAGGACATCAGGCTCCTGCTGCTGATGCTAAGTATCATCAAGATGCTATGGACGAAACATTTTATTTGACAAATATTTCGCCTCAAGTTGGTGATGGATTTAATCGGGATTACTGGGCTCATTTTGAAGATTTTGCCCGTAGATTAACCAATGAATACGACGGAGTTAGAATAATGACAGGACCATTATTTTTGCCAAAGAAGTGTCCCGAAAATCCAAATAAATACAAAGTTGAGTATGAGGTTATTGGGTCACCCCCAAATATTGCAGTGCCAACACACTTTTTCAAATTAATCGTCGGAGAGAAGAACGGCTCAAAAGACATTGCGGTTGGAGCATTTGTATTACCAAACCAGGCCATCGACAATGCCACGCCTCTCACCAGCTTTCAGGTTCCTGTGGATGCATTAGAAAGGTCAAGCGGGTTGGAATTGTTACATAAGGTTCCATACACTAATAAAAAAGATTTATGTAGAGAGGTGAAGTGTGAAATAATAGTCAGAGAATTTCCTAAGAACGCCAACAAGTTATTACCACAAGCCCCTCCCCAGGGATTGTTACCACCACCTAAATAGACGTATAGAATAATCAACAAACCTGTGATTATGTATATAAGTGAATTTTATACGTGTATTTTTCCTCGTTTGCTTGTTTGTAGGTCTTAAATTGTATAGACAGCATCGAGATTCAGATTGCAAACAATTAATAGGGGTACATTTTGAGCTAACACCCAATTCAGGCGGCCAAAATCAGAGGGATGGAAGTCAAAAGCGTAAAATGTTGCAAAACATTGGATGGCTTCGATAATATGAGACGTTAGTAACCTGGAAGGTGAACACAAATACATTTCTTAGTTCACTGTATAACACAGACACACAAGAACAAAAGAAGCATTGTACGCGAAGTGGCTGCGAAAAGCTTTCGACCTTAAGAGAAATCTATATTGTATTGGTGATTAAAGACCACTATTCGCACTACATGTTTTTCCGGTTTGCGATTATTGCTTTGCTTATCTTCTTCTTGCTTTGATGCTTATTATAACAAACGATCGCTGGATGTCATATAGCCCTGATACAAAGAATGGATAATATATCCAGACATTTGAAACTGACAGTGTATACTATACATCGAATAGTTAAATAGCACATAGTTAAATATACTAATCATACAAAATATAAACTACACCGACTGCAAATGTGACCATGTTATAAAACAGTTGTTATCTATCTCCAGGCTATATCTAATAATCATAGTATATTTCCCACATCCAACATCTGATATTGAGTCTACACAAAGATAATCAACAAACACAAATACAAACTCAATAATACTAAATCCGGACCTTTTTGTTGGTAGGTGTGCACACTGAGCCCAATAGGTCCGATGGTTCGATGGGTCGACCACGGCACGTCCTCATCGCCTACCACCAAAAATGTGCATTAGTTTGGAACCGCCAACCGTTTTTGAACGCCCAGTATCTTTCGCACTCACTACAATATAGTATTAGCCTACATCGTTTGATGATTACATTCGGACATAAACCGTAGATATTTTTGAAATTCATAATTGTCTACTACATATTGTACGTTTCCACACACTCTCTGTTAGTTTTAATCTCTCACATCCCTTTCACACAGTATATTTGACTGCATTATTCCATACTATCTTCTTATCTTCTACAATCCATATAATATTTCACCGTCGTCATACCGTAATAACACATTCTATATCAAGTGTTCATAGTATATACACACATACAGGTCCTGTATTTGTGCTACACATCTACACCTTTCTCTATCTAGTGCCAACATCGTGCCCACAGAGGTTCCCAACAATTTGCAGAATTTGAATCGACACTACTTGGCGCCCATCCTAATTTATTTGCGATCGTCGTAGTACATCATTACACAAAAGGCATGAGTTGCAAATACCCAAAATCTTCAAAACCGCCCATCAATAAAAATTTTGGTGTTATATAGTGTATCAGCGGCTAATTTATATATCAGAGTTTATCTTTCTTTAGGAGTTTTTTTTTTTTAGGATATATCTTTATTTAAGTTCGATTACCAAGCGATTGAACAATTAATACATTATATTGAAAGTAACTATTAGTTTTTAAAAGTACCACCGTTTATATTTATTATAATCATTTAGAACTAATTTTAGCCTATTCCCATCAGATCGCTATAATTGAAAAAGAAGAAATATCGATTTGCTAGAAAAAAAATCCATTAGCAGTTGTTTTAAGTTAATATACTCCCAATAGACAAGTGCTACATTTTACAAGCCACTTTAGCTATAAACAAATATTATAGATTATTTACAGAAACATAATGAGTACCACACATCGTCCATTTTCCCTAAATCATGGAACAATTGAATACACAACGTTGGTTCCAACAAACTTGTTGTTTGGATTCTCTCAATTAAAGGATCAATTCAACAAGACATTGCCTGAACCTACCGAAGGTTTTGCTGGTGACAATGAACCTTCATCACCAGCCGAGTTATTCTCGCAGTTCTTGGGTTATACCGCGTCGTTGGTAGACCCTAAGGCGGACGGACAATTCGATGAAGTGTTGAAATTTAGTTTGCATGAATTTGAGGTCAGATTTTTGTCTACTACCGATGTGCATTCATTTGCAGCCCGTTTGGTAAACGACGAGACGTACCCAACTACCTTGTCAAAGGTCAAGGGTATCATCAAGAATTACTACAATGCTGTGATCAACTCCAATGCTACCACTACTAAAACTGAATCAAACTTGTTGAAGAATGCCATGAGTATTAATTCTGACGGCAAGGCCAAGATTTTCGCCATTTTTGGTGGTCAAGGTAACACTGACGACTTTTTCGAAGAATTGAGAGAAATCAACGATATGTACAGCGGTCTCGTTTCCGATTTGATTTCCAAGATTGCAACTCAATTGAACTATCTTGTCAGAACTACAGAAAATGTTGACAAGATTTATACCCAAGGATTTGACATCTTGACTTGGTTAGCTAATCCTGAAAAGACTCCTGACCAAGATTATTTATTATCAGTACCAGTTTCATGTCCATTGATCTGTGTCTTGCAATTATGTCATTATACCGTGACCTGTAAGGCCTTAGGATTGACTCCAGGTGAATTTAGAAGCTACTTAAGTGGTACCACAGGTCATTCTCAAGGTTTAGTTACCGCTATGGCCATTGCGTCATCTTCTACCTGGGATAACTTTATCGAAAACTCCTTGAAGGCTATTTCTTTATTATTCTTTGTTGGTGCAAGAAGTCTCATAACCTTTCCAAGAACTACTTTACCACCAACTATGTTACAAGACTCACTTGAAAATAATGAAGGCAGACCTTCTCCAATGTTGTCTGTTAGAGATTTATCTATTGAACAAGTTGAAAGCTTTATCAAACAAACCAATAACCATTTACCAAGCGAAAAACACATTGCGATTTCATTGGTGAACGGTGCTAGAAACGTAGTTGTTTCTGGTCCACCAGAATCATTATATGGGTTGAATTTGACTTTGAGAAATAACAAGGCCCCATCTGGTTTAGATCAAGCTAGAATTCCATATAGTGAAAGAAAATTAAAGTTCTCCAACAGGTTTTTACCAATCTTCAGTCCATTCCATTCGCACTTATTAGAGCCAGCTACTGAACTTATCAATAATGACTTGGTTAATGAAAAAATTGATTTCTCTCCATCTGACGTTAAAATTCCAGTTTTCGACACTTATAACGGTGATAACTTTCAAAGTTATACATCCTCTTCAGAAGAATCTATTATTTTAAGATTGACTAAATGTATCACTGAATTAGCCGTTAACTGGGAAAAGGCTACTAACTTTGCTTCGACTCACATCTTAGATTTTGGTCCAGGTGGAGTTTCTGGTTTAGGTGTTTTAACCCACAGAAATAAAGAAGGTACTGGTGCCAGAATTATCATCGCCGGTACATTGGATACTGTCTCACCAGATGATGAATATGGCTTCAAGCAAGAAATATTCAACACTGCACCAAACTCTACCAAATGGGCTTCAAACTGGTTGGAAGAATTCAAACCAAAATTAGTCAAGAACAAGGCTGGTAAGGTTTATGTCGATACTAAATTCTCGAAATTATTAGGTAGAGCTCCATTAATGGTTCCTGGTATGACTCCAACTACGGTTAACCCAGAAATAGTTGCAGCAACTATTAATGCTGGCTATCATATAGAATTAGCTGGTGGTGGCTATTTCAATGCTCCATCCATGCAAAAGGCTTTAGAAGAAGTTAGAGACCATATCGTTCCTGGGTCTGGTATCGGAATTAACTTGATTTATGTTAATCCAAGAATGTTACAATGGGGTATTCCATTGATCAAGGAATTGAGGGAAAAGGGATTCCCAATTCAATCCATGTCTATTGGTGCCGGGGTTCCATCCTTAGAGGTTGCAACCGAATATATTGAAACATTAGGTTTAACTCATTTAGGTTTAAAGCCCGGTTCAATTGATGCTATTTCCCAATGTATTACCATTGCCAAAGCTCACCCTACTTATCCAATTGTATTACAATGGACTGGTGGTAGAGGAGGTGGTCATCATTCTTTCGAAGATTTCCATCAACCTATTTTACAGATGTATTCTAAGATTAGAAGATGCTCTAACATTGTTTTGATTGCTGGTTCCGGTTTTGGTTCTGATGAAGACACTTATCCATATTTAAGTGGTACATGGTCACAAAGTTACAAACACCCACCAATGCCTTTTGATGGTGTTTTGTTTGGTTCCCGTGTTATGACTGCCAAGGAAGCCCATACTTCATTGGATGCCAAGAAAGCTATTGCATCATGTACTGGTGTCCCTGATGGTCAATGGGAAAGTACTTACAAGAAGCCAACTGGTGGTATCATTACCGTTAGATCGGAAATGGGTGAGCCAATTCATAAAATTGCCACCAGAGGTGTTATGTTTTGGAAAGAATTGGATGATACAATCTTTAACTTACCTAAGAACAAATTAGCAGATGCATTGAAGAAGAAGAAGGATTACATTATCAATAAATTGAACAAGGATTTCCACAAACCATGGTTTGGTAAGAACGATTCTGGTGTTTGTGATTTACAAGATATGACTTACCAACAAGTTGCCGATAGATTGATTGAATTAATGTATGTCAAGAAGTCTTCTAGATGGATTGATCTTTCATTAAGAAACTTCGTTGGTGATTTCTTGAGAAGAGTTGAAGAAAGATTCACTACCCAGGCTGATTCTATTTCTTTGTTGCAAAACTTCGCTCAATTGCAAGATAATCCACAGGTTTTTACAGACAAATTCTTCGACCACTTTGTGTTGGCTCAAACTCAATTAATTAACGAGGAAGATTGCGACTTCTTTTTGATGTGCTGTCAGAGACCACAACAAAAGCCTGTTCCATTTGTTCCTGTTATTGATGAAAGATTAGAGTTCTTCTTTAAGAAGGACTCTTTATGGCAATCAGAAGATTTAGAAGCCGTTGTTGGTGAGGATGTTCAAAAGACTTGTATCTTACACGGTCCAGTTGCAGCTCAATTCACCACAAAGGTCAATGAGCCAATCAAGGATATTTTGGACTCAATTCACAATGGTCATATTGCCAGATTACTTCAAGATGAATACAGCGGCGATGAATCAAAGATTCCAACTGTTGAATATTTCGGAGGCCAACTTCCAAGTTCCGTTGAATCTGTACCTAGTGGAGTCTCCATTGAATCATCAGGTGACAAAATAATCTACAGGCTCAATTCTCAAAAATCTTTACCATCTAATGCAGAATGGTTAAAATTGTTAGCCGGCAATACCTTAAGCTGGTTGCATGCTTTTATTACTACTGATAGGATTGTCCAAGGATATAACCATGTTTCAAATCCTATTCATGACGTCTTGACTCCAAGCAGTGAAGCTGTTGTTGAAATTTCTCATCCAGGTAATTCTTCCAAGACTTCATTGGTTGTTTTGGAACAATTTAATGGAGAATTACAACCAGTAGCAAGCATTAAGTTAGTCAAGGAATCAGTCATTCAATTTGAATTGATTGAGCATAGAACTGCCGATTCAAAGCCAGTTGCCTTACCTTTCTTGTATACCTACGCACCTAAGGATGGATTTGCTCCAATCTTAGAAGTTATGGAAGGTAGAAATGACAGAATTAAAGAATTTTACTGGAAGTTATGGTTCGGTTCTAAGGTTCCAGTTGATTTCGATATTGATGTCGAAAATGCTATCATTGGAGATAAACTCACTATTACCGGTCAAGATATTTCTGAATTTACTCATGCCATTGGTAATAAGTGTGAGGCATTTGTTTCGAGACCAGGTAAGGTTACTTTAGCTCCAATGGATTTTGCAATTGTCATTGGATGGAAGGCTATCATGAAAGCCATTTTCCCTAAGACCATTGATGGTGACTTATTGAGATTGGTTCATATGTTTAACGGTTACAGGATGATTCCTGGTGCTGAGCCATTGAAGAAAGATGACGTTGTTTCGTCAAGTGCTGAAATCAAGGCTGTTTTGAATCAACCATCTGGTAAACTAGTTGAAGTTATTGGTACTATTTACAGAGAAAATCAACCAGTGATGGAGGTTACCTCTCAATTTTTGTACCGTGGTGAATACGTGGATTTTGAAAACACTTTCCAAAAGGTTACAGAGACCCCTGTTCAAGTTCATTTCAACTCTGCCAAGGACTTGGCTATTTTGAAGTCTAAGGAATGGTTCCACTTAGAAAAGGATATTGACTTATTGAACCAAGTCTTGACTTTCCGTTGTGAATCTACTTACAAGTTCAAGAGTGCTGAAGTTTACTCATCTATTACCACAGTTGGTCAAATTTACTTAGAATTGCCAACCAAGGAAGTCATTCAAATTGGTTCGGTTGATTACGAAGCAGGTAAGTCATATGGTAACCCAGTTACAGATTACTTGTCTAGAAATGGAACAACTATTGAACAGGCAATTAAGTTCGAAAACTCAATTCCAATTTCAAGTGGTGAAGAATTGACTTCTAAGGCTCCAAATACTAATGAGCCATATGCCAAGGTTTCTGGTGATTACAACCCTATTCACGTATCCAGAGTATTTGCTTCATATGCTAAGTTACCTGGCACTATTACCCATGGTATGTTCTCATCTGCCTCTATCAGAGGATTAGTCGAAGAATGGGCTGCCAACAATGTTGCTTCCAGAGTCAGAGCTTTCAAGAGTACGTTCGTCGGTATGGTTTTACCAAACGATATCTTGCAGACTACTTTGGAACATATTGGTATGATCAATGGGCGTAAGATTATTAAGGTTGAAACCAGAAATGTCGAGACTGATACCTTAGTTTTGTCTGGTGAAGCTGAAATTGAACAACCTATTACTACTTATGTCTTTACTGGTCAAGGTTCTCAAGAACAAGGTATGGGAATGGACTTATACGGTAGCTCTGATGTCGCTAAGGATGTTTGGGACAGAGCTGATCGTCATTTCCTTGACAACTATGGTTTCTCGATCCTTAATATTGTTAAGAATAATCCAAATGAATTAACTATTCATTTTGGTGGTGCTAAGGGTAGAAAGATCAGAGACAACTATATTGGAATGATGTTTGAAACTATCGGTGAAGATGGTGAAGTCAAATCTGAAAAGATTTTCAAGGAAATTGATTATACTACAACGTCTTATACTTTTGTTTCTCCAACAGGTTTATTATCAGCTACTCAATTTACTCAACCAGCCTTGACCTTAATGGAAAAGGCATCTTACGAAGATATTAAATCTAAAGGATTGGTTCCAGAAAATATTATGTTTGCTGGTCACTCTTTAGGTGAATACTCGGCATTATCTTCATTGGCAAATGTCATGCCTATTGAATCATTGGTTGATGTCGTCTTTTATCGTGGTATGACAATGCAAGTTGCTGTTCCAAGAGATGAATTAGGTAGATCTAACTACGGTATGTGTGCTGTCAACCCAACCAGGGTTAGCCCAACCTTCAATGATGCTGCTTTAAGGTTTGTTATTGATGAAGTTGCAAAGAAAACCGGTTGGTTATTGGAAATTGTTAACTATAATGTTGAAAACACTCAATATGTCACTGCTGGTGACTTAAGAGGGTTAGATACCTTGACTAATGTTTTAAATGTTATTAAGTTGAACAAAATTGATATTGTTAAGTTACAAGATACTATGTCTTTGGAAGAAGTAGCTGCTCATTTACAAGAAATTATTAGCGAGGTTTCGGCACAATCTTTAGCCAAACCACAACCTATTGACTTACAAAGAGGTTTTGCTGTTATCCCATTGAAGGGTATTTCCGTTCCATTCCACTCTTCATACTTAATGTCAGGTGTCAAGCCTTTCCAAAGATTCTTATGTAAGAAGATTCCAAAATCGTCAGTCAAACCAAACGACTTGATCAACAAATATATTCCAAACTTGACTGCCAAGCCATTCGAAATTACTAAGGCTTATTTCGAAGAAGTTTATGAATTAACCAAATCTGAAAAGATCAAGAAAATTATTGATAATTGGGAATCTTATGAGTCTGCTTGATTTATTTATATGTCTGTTTGTTTCTTTTCTATGATATTTATTGATTTAGATTTGGGGATTACTTAATTATTCTTACTATAATACGTGGTACTATTATAAGTAATGAATTAGTGAGTGACTTTTATATTTATAGGATATAATAATAATAATAATAATAATGTATTTATTTAAGAAGTGTAGATAAATAGTTAGCTAATTAAATAGTTTCATAAGCCTGTTGCCAATGGACTTGAAATATTAACTGGAGTAAACTTCTTTGGTAATGAAACTCTGGAAAACCTTGACTTTAATCTTTGAGTCACTAAATCCATATCTAAATGCCTAGTTAAACCAATACGAGGAATACATCCGATGTAATGATCATTATCTAATTGGACATCTAACGGATCTTGTGTATGACAACCAGGAGACAAAGATAATCTAATAGAATGCTTTTTACCAGATGGATCATTTGAATCGTCCGCTTCATATAATTCAAAAACAATCTGTGACATGTAATCCAATTCAGGTAATGCATTTCTAGCAATCTTCATTGGGATTTGAGAACCATAAATAACATTTAGTAATGTATAAATATGAGATTCCTTTGTAAAGTAATTCACTACGGCAGCCGCATCATTATCCCTCATACCTTGGATATCAGATAATATTTGCTTTGCTAATGGTAAAGAGGTAAGTAATCCAATGTCTAGTTTTTCTTCATCTTTAATACCATATTCTTGAGGACAAATAAAGTCAAATAATACTTTTGATAACCTGTATAATTCTCTAAGTCTAGTGAATGTTGGACGATCGAACAAATTATCATGAGTATCTTGTTTTTTCTTGGTATTCGACTCATTATTTGAAGAAGAATCGTCAACTGTTGAAGTGGCCCCCTTTAATACCCACCCTAGAGACCCAGCCGATGCAGGTGTAGTTGAAGATGTAATGTTTGCGAGATTGCTGCTAGAATTCGAAGTTGAATTTGGTCCTGATGTATTATTACTATTCGAAGCTGTTTGATTATCATTTGGAATCTTGAAATTATTCATTGCCAAAATGTTAATTGGATATTCACTGACTAAACCTGAAGAATTTATTGTATCGCCACATACTTTATTTAACCTTGCAAGTAATTCTTCATCTTTAGGATCAAATGAAAAGATGTTTTGTAAGAATTGCCTGTTGTGTAATGCGTCGTATTTCATTGTATCATACAATTCGGAAATTTTTGATGGATGTGTTTTTTCGACAGTAGTAAATTCTTGAAATAATTTATCCCATCTTTCTTTAAATAGAACTGGATCTTCTCCACAACACCAATTTTTTTGAAATTCGTCAACATTGTTCTTCTCAAAATTATAATCCATAATTTGTTGATGGTAATTCATTAACTGACAAACACGCTTGATTACTACAAAAGGCTGTGGCATCTTAGGTGGCCAAGTAAATTGTGGAGGAGCTTCAGCTCCTTGTCTAATTAATGGCTTTAATTTCTTTTTAACTTTATCCATTAAATCCTTAGCAGCATTTGAATCATCTAATAAATCCTTCCTAATGATCAAAAAATCATCTGGCAATTCTTCATGTTCCTTATCTAAGCCGAGTAACGCTAATGTCGATAAGTGTGCACTCGCAATAACTCTTCTTTCCGACGAAGTAAAGACCTTCACATCTTTTAAAGCATCACGATTCAAGAGTTTAATGTTTTGTCTTAGTTGTTCCCCAACATCATTGGCTTGGAATTGTGCTGAATGTGTTGGTTCACCACCCCATTTCAAGATTAATTGCACTTTATCTACGGTTTCGGGATTTTCTGAATTTAAAGAAGGCTTCAACTGAATTTTAGTACCAGGAAAATTCATTTTCTTTTCTAAGGCTCCTCTTAATTGCTTAAGCTTCTTTGGATCTTCCAACTTCTTTTCTTCCGCAATCTTCACAGTTTCTAAAACCACCTGGAGATCAGGAACATCCCTTATGATAACTTCCTCCAAATGACCCTTTAATAATGAAATAAATAAAGGTGATCTAAAAGAGTACTTGAACTTTTGTTTAGGGGTACGATCTGCATGTCTAATAACGGATACCATACCTTTGAAGACCCATTTTTGTTCTTTTTCTTCAAATTGACTTTTATGAAGTAATTTAGACAGACGAGGTATCTTTGTCTTTAACAAATCACGAGATTTTTTGGCTTCAATAAATAAACCTCTTAATATTGATGCACAGGAGTCATAGTAATCATTATTATCTTTAACGAAGGAGAAACCATTAACATCGATTACGTAGGATTCTCCGTTCACTCTCAATAAATCAAATCCACAAATAGTCTGCTGAAATACAGAGCTGACATTTCGAGCCATAATAGTTTCCCTTTCTGATAATTCAGTTACAAACCTAATTTCCTTCCCGTGGGTATTACGTCTGACAATACCATCAACTACCGGAGATTTACGAGTCTCCGCATGACAGAACTTAGGTCCCACTGTATATGCTTTCACATCTTCAAAGTTATCTGTATCCATAAACTTTTCATAAATGTATGATCCTTCTGTTCTAGGTGTTGATAAGTCAGGATCAAACTCAGAAGATTTATTACCGATTTTTCTAAACAAACGACGACCACCGCCACCAGTAGATTTTGGATAGTAAATATACACGTTGTGGTCTTCACCATCTACTGGCTTTTCTACAAATGGCTTTTTCATAATCTTGCCTTGGACTTGCAATGTATCCTCATCTATCATTTCCCATTCGGGTTCCTTCTGATTAGTCAATTTTTCTAACTGTTCATCCGTTAAACCAACTTCTTTAAGTTTATTCATTAACGAATCATCGATATGAGGACCTCCGTCACGACTGATTTCTAATCTTTCTGGTGTAGAGACATTTGCATGATTCAATATATTTAACACCAATCTTCTATCCCAAAGTGTTTTTTGTAAGATCAAATCATTTAATATATAAGGCTTACGGTAATTGGCATAAGCAATAGCTTTTTCTAGAGGGAATCCTGATGAAAAAAAACTAATCAAAAAATCACACGTTGGCCAATTTTCAATGGCTTCATCAAGAATAACCTTATCTCCAAAAATGATAGTTTCAAACTCCCCGTTTTCAATTAATCGATTTAAGATACGACGACATGGTTTTGACATGACTTTAGAATCCATAGCACATACACCGATTTTGCCTATCTTAGGTAATTTGGGACCTTCAGGTTCTTTGTGAATAGATAGAGACATTCTGGAAGCAGAAGACGAATTCGAAGTAGTTTTATTCAATTTGCTCATCGTTGGATCTAAAGCACTTCCAGAAGATGTAGATCCTGCCCTTGAATTCCTTTTCGACTTGGAACCATCGTTTGAATTCAAATTATCGGTAGATAAACTATCCGATCCATGAGGCGAAGTAGTCAATTTCGAAGAAACACCGTCTTTCGATTCTTCTGCGCTAGTCTTGGGCGCAAATCCTTCTAGCATTGGTGCAATAGAGGCTATTGCCAGCTCTGTGGAAGCCTGATTAGCTGGGCCTGATAATGATAATGGAGACATCGGTTGACTCATTTTACGTAACACTGATTGAGACAAGAAAGATTTATTGCTACCACTCTCCTCTTTTCCAGGCACTGGAATAGGTAACGAATGATCTTTATCTGACATGGTTAACTACAATTCTAGTATGGTGTTAAGATTATCAATTAATCGCTAAAAATTAAATTCTGACTCCTACGTTTGCTTGGTAGTTTTGTGTAATTTTCATTTTCATTAGATAAGGCTGTTCCTTTACTACTCTAAAACAAATAGTTCAATTGATGTGAACAATTCTAGTAATATAGAGCATATTAAAGAATTCTACAATTAATATCCCAACGCTCCGTTAGTCCAGCATCTCTGACATTAATTATGTTAAGAATTAATTGAGATGTGGCCTGCAATCCGGTTGATTGCATCATTGGTTGTTGCTTACATGATAGAGACAACAGACAAGGTTAAACCTTTATAATTATATAGAAAACCAAAAATAAACGTTAGTAAATAAAAGGCAATTATGGGATAGTCCTCATAAATTATTTGTGACAAATCAATCATTCAATAGCAGCTAATGAGTCAAACAAAACTGATATTGATTCACCGAAGTGATCTCTTCTGATGCATTCAGCAAAAATAGGAGATACATCAATGACAGATAATTTTTCATTTTTCTGGATTCTTTCGTTTCCAATTGGGTAGGTGTTAGTGACCACTATTCTGTCAATGCAGTCTGAATCATTTAATGTTTCTAAACATTTATCACTGAAGACACCATGGGTTCCAAGAACATAAACCGCTTTGGCACCACAGTTTAATCTCAAGTGCTCAGCAGCAGCAATGAAAGAGTTTGGTTTATCAATCATATCATCTAGTATAATTGCCACTTTATTATTCACATCACCAACCAAAGTGATTAACTTCTCTTGATTTATAGATGTAGGTTCATCATCGTCATCACTGTTAGTAGCATCATAGGAACCTCCTAAAGCATCACTATCAATTATAGAAGTTCTTTCAAAGTTGTCAATAGCGATACCATTGGTAACTGGGGTTTGTGGGACTGGATAGTCATCATCAACAACATGGCCTTGAACTATTCTAGCCGTTTGCATTTCTGAAACTATGTTATCTTCCTCATCATCTTCATCAACACCTTGGCTATTGGCACGAACTGTTTTTGATGTCTTCAACGCCTTTTTGTTCTTGGAAACATACCCATCCTTGGTACGACGACGATCGGTATGGATCATAGCAAAATTGATTTTCAAAGAATCTGCTAAAGCTGTAACTCTTTTAGTACCACCTGGATTTTTGGAAACAACAACGGCATTTTCCCAGTCGGAAATATTATGACGAATCCATCTGGCTAACGTTGGTGCACCAAACAAATTGTCAACCGGTTTAGTAAAAAACCCTTGCATTTGGGAAGCATGCAAGTCCATCGACACGACATGGTCAGCACCGGCCATTATCAATAAATTAGCCAACATCCTGGCTGTAATAGCACCCCTGTGCTTCTTCATCTTCGATTGCTTCGAGTATGGGAATTGGGGAATCACCGCCGTAATCTTCGACGCTGAACCCCCACGACAAGCCGAAATAAGAATCAATAATTCCATTATATGATCGTTAATCTGCGGCGATCCCGATTGAATAATGTAAACATCTTCGTCTCTGATTGACACTCCAATTTGAACCGAAGTTTCCCCATTGGAAAATTTTTTCAATGTACATGGAGCTGGTTCCACTCCCAATCGATCACAAACTAGTTTACCTAATTCTGGGTGTGATGATCCAACGAAAACTTTACACTTACGCATTGCTTCCGGATTTTCTAATGTTGATAAAACTTCTACTGGCGTGCCAATGAGCTGTGGTGCAATTAACTTTGCTAACGAAGTCAACTTTGCAAATTAAACAAATAATTGATTGATAATAACAGTGATTCCTGTCAATTTATGTATCCGGGATACGTGGAATATCCTTTATATAGCTTTATAGCGTTAATAACCTTAAGGATTCTATCAAAGAATAATCTCTAACTCAAGATGATCTCGATAAATTTTTTTTTTTCTCACCCTTAAGACTGAAAAATTTCACGATAAGTCACAAAGCTGTTTTTTTATAATGAATACTTTTAGTAAATCCTACGTAAGGTAAATTAAGAGGTTAGATATTAAGAATATACTAGGTCAACTTATTGATGAAGTAGAATTGAAATTGTTCTATTGATACTTCAGGAGGACTACTAGATGAATGGGAATATGTTAATGTACTGCATATAGTACTCATCTTCAATTAAATTTTGCAATGGAGTACTTGGGACATATATTTGGATTCCATGGAACATTACGTAGATGGTAACTAGAAAGTTTAAACTGGGCGAGCAGGAGCCTGCGAGTGAGTTTTCAAAGGACAAGTTGGATAAAGATGAGGTAGAGCTATTAAATGTGAAGTTTTCCAAATATGAAAAGATTATGTCAGAGTCAAGTCTCTTCGCTGAAACGGTCAAGATGCTAAAAGACCACTCAATAACGCACATACGATGTCTAGCATTGGGTTCTCCATCTGACAGTAATGCAGCATTATATCAACTAGCATATTTGACTCAAATATGTGGTCAACTTTCTATCAAACCGTCAAATGTTTCGTTATATGATCCTGTTTTCAATGAACTTGACAAACGGTTTCTAACAACTGTAAAGTTGTTTAAAATATCAGACGAGGACGACTTAATTGGTACTAAAACGTTATATTTCCTTCCTCATGCATCTTTGGAACTTACCGAGCAAGTGCTTAAGGAATCCCAGCCTTTATTTTTATTAGGTAACGATATCATATCACACACTGATAGATTAACAAAAAGGAAGATACACGATACATATAGAAATATATCATTGTTAATAAGAGTACTTGAAAGTGTCAAAGCCTTACCGAAAGAGAGGGATGGTTTTATATCGGTAACGGCGAAGAAAAGAAAAAGCAGAAACAAGAAGCCGGTCTTTAAGGAACCCGAAATCGAATACAACTATGATGATTGTTACTTCAATGCTGCTGAACTTACAAGGATAGAAAGTGTCCAAGGAGTTTGGGGTAGTTCGTTTTCGGATATTGCATTTCACCATATTATACGGAATACTACTATAGCAGAAAATCAGGAATAAGATAAGTTATATATTAATACACATCAAATTATTAATCTACTACGGTATATATCTCATTAGGGAAATATATTTCTCTATTAATTTAAGTAGCATCAATTGACTTTCCCAACTTTTTTCGTCCTTCACTCTCATTTCGTAATCTGATAATCTACTTAAATACTCATGTAATTCAATTATTTCCGAACAGCTAACTATATTAATCTTGGCTTTTTACCGAGTGGCTCTGGCATAGCTTCTCCATTATTATCCTGTTGTTGAACTTCTTGTGGTAGCACCAATGTTTGTTGAGCGGGGCCTTGTAAGCTACTCATTGTTTCACTTGGTTCACTAGTAGATCCACTTGTACTTTCAGTATTTGTTAATAAATGCTTGCTCAAGATTGAGTACAAGTCATCCTTAGTAAAAGGTTTAGCCAAAATGTCAGACATACCATTTTGCAAATACGTCACTAAATCATTATCTTCAATATTACCGGTCATCGCAATTATTGGAGTCTTAGTATCGAATGATCTGATAACACTCGTAGCAGTAGCACCATCCAAATTTGGCATAACAATATCCATAAGGACAAGGTCATACTTTGTGTGCTCCACTGTAGAAATAGCATTCAAACCATCAGTGGCAATTGTTACCTGGCATCCATATTTCACTAAAAACTTACGACACAACTGAATACAAACATTATCATCTTCAACCAATAACACATGAAACTTTGGATTAGTCAAATTAGTTGTTGTGACTTGTGGCTGGTCTGTTGACGTAACTGCACCATTTACTGATTGCGGTGCGCGAGTTGTTGATATTGAAGATGTTCGAGAATTCACCGGCGCAGTTGTACTAGCTGCATCTAAACCCAGACTACCGACTAATGGGGATCCACTAGTAGACTCGCCCAATAAATGAGGTGACTGTGGCTTAGAGTTAATATTGTCATTCGTAGGAGGCGTTTGTTTGGTTGGCTGTTGAGTATTGGTCTGGGTATGAATCGTTTGTAGTGGTTGGTGCAGCAATGTGTGTGCCTGCGACATTGTATTAGGGTCAAACCTTTGAGTCGGTAATCCAGTCGCTAAAGGGGCCCCAAGTACCCCTTGTCCAGTACCTCCATTTGGACTTAAAAGAGGCGGAGATAGTTGGGGAATAGATCCCGAATTTGAATGTGTGTGAGAGTGTGAACGGCCAACAACGTTAGGTTTTTGAGATTGTAGTACATTCGGATTTGGAAAATCCAAAGGTGGCATCTTGATACCTGCTTGAACTAGACAGTTGATTAACACACTCATTGATCTATAGTATTTTTCGTCAAAATTCTTCAACGAAACTATGTTCTCAACTAAAGTCTTATATTTTGTTTGTAAAACATTAATATCTTGCTGCAACGATTTATTTTCCAGTCTGAGGTTATCCATTTCATCTTTCAAACTCTGATAGCCATATGAATCTATATTTGACCCACTACTGGCCCCGTTAGGATTGTAATTCTGCGACGATTTCTTCGAACTCTTACGCTTAATATTCTCCAAAGACTCACGATCGTTGATTCTGAAATCAGGATGTTTAAACTCCCATGCATCTTCACCGTATTCGTAGTTTTGTTTCTCTTCATTGGGTATCTTCACCTTATGGAAGTCGTATTTATTCAACTGTCTCACAAAACTGGCAAAGTTACTGTGTTTGAAATGCCTAGGTAATATTTCCTTGGTGAACTCGGTGGTATTTATCACGACAAAAGAATCTCCACTCGAAGTCCATCTGACCACATCCTTGTATGTATCTTCCTGTAACATCTGGAATAGCTTCTTAACAAAATCATTTGACCCACTTTGGTTAGAACTTGCAGTGGAGGGTAAATTGCTGAGTGAATCTTCACTCTTGGGTATGCGACGATTAGCCATTACGTTTTTGTATTATTCTTAATGATAGAATTTCGTATTATGAAATTATGTTGTTTAGTCTTAAATTATTTTTACAACCTGGCCTTTATTCCCTCGGTATTATTTGTTTAATTCCTCGTTTATAATACACTTAACTTTATTGAACAAGCTTTACTAACTTAATACTCTTATATTGAATATAGTTGAATAATAATTGCTTCTTTATTCTCTGATTCAAATATCAGTAATCGTTTAATACTTATATATTAACTAATTAATATATCCATTATAATTCACACTAAAAATATTATCGTTTGTTACACAAACTTATTCAACATATTACTATCGTTTAATTGATAGTATTACACTGCGAAAGGCACTTTACAAAAAGCATAATGAGAAGGAGAAATAGCTGACTAAGTTGGGTTTTCATAGGTTTAATGGATTATAATGAAGAGTATGATGTTAAACGAAAGAAAAAATGTGCTGTGCATGTTCATCCTGACTTTTATGGGGTTTATCTCTTAAGATCTGTACCAAAGCCCAAGTCATTTTACATTGGATCAACTCCAAATCCCCAAAGAAGGTTGAGACAGCATAACGGAGATTTGAAAAATGGTGGTGCTTATAGAACAAAAAAGACTGGATTTAGGCCTTGGGAAATGATTTGCTTAGTATATAATTTTCCATCCAAAAATGTTGCATTGCAGTTTGAACATGCGTTGCAGCATCCTTATCAAACTAGGCATATAAAGGAGGAACTTAGAATCACGCAAAAGAGAAATAGTGGATATACTATACACCATAAACTTGGTAATATACGGTTATTGTTGGAATCTCCTCTCTTCAGGAGAATGGGGTTGAAGGTTCTTTTATTTGATCCAGAAGTTTATTCGGTTTGGTGTATGAACAAATTTGGTGTAACTGTAACTGATAGTGTCCAAGTGAATGTCACACGATTTGAAGAGTATTTTCTGAAGAACAGTGGTGATGAAAGCTCCGAATTTACTTTAGTTCGTCAACAGGAATCAGAGCGTACATATTTCGAAACGTCAAAGAAAGTATTATTATTTGACAGCCAGGTGTGTTTCATTTGCGATAAAACGGTTGATTATCATGTTGAAAGTGAACTATCTGTTATGAACAACCTTGATCTTGATCAGTTTCTTCGTGATGGAAATATGCCTTTACTTGCGATTTGCTATCATGAAAATTGTCATAAACTTTATCATTTGTCGTGCTTGGGGTTACACTTCTTAGCCAAAGATGCTGAGGCTTCAGATGAGGTAAATTCCGATGCAAAAGCTGAAAAGTCTGTGAATTATCTTACACCTTTACGGGGTAAATGCTTGAGCTGTAATAATTTTGTAAATTGGACTAAACTAACTAAAATGTCTACCAAATTAAGAGAATATTTTATGGAAGATCTATTAAACACGAACACCGCTTCTCAATTTATAGAAAATGAGGCCAATTACTAAGGCTATTATACCGGTATATGTAATGGCTGTTGGAGATAAAGATGGTGAACTTGATTTTGTGTCCAATTTGAGGCTTTTATTGGAGTTTTTAGAGTTTTTAAGGTCTGACTCAGTAAATTTTGTTTCATGCATTTCAATAGCCCATTCTGAACTCAACTTTATTTTGGGGTTTTCAATAATCAAATTGCCATCTATATTTCTGAAATTAGCTTCCCATTGGGAACCATCTTGCTTGATTCCAATATAACTTAAATCCTCAACATTTAATACAATAATTTTTTCAATATAGATATCATCTAGACTTCTGATGTATCCCACATCACCACTGATTTCCCCCTTAATTGAATCACTTGTAGCCGTAAAATATATGTTTGCATATTCTCCCTGTTTATAATTAAAGGTTTCACCGTCGTCAATATATAAGTTACCAATAGCTTTACCAGAACTACCTAATGCAACGGTTAAAGTATATGGATCGCGAGCCATTAATTTGGATGATCTACGATATCTATCTTTCTTGGCAATGATAGAACCACCTTTCAATAAGATTGGTATGTCTGATAATTCAACGGACTTGGAAATAAATCCTGGGCCAGAAAACTTTTGAAATGTATTGGAGATATTACCACTGGTATAATCATAATAAACTTCTTCATCTGGTAAGTAGATGTCAATATGTTTTGCATCTTCTTCGGTAACAGGTTTAACCAATAAACCTGAGTTACCCAAGAAAAACTGGTCTTCAATGTCGTAACTTTCTAAATTATCTGGAGTTTCGTAAAATAAAGGTTTCAAAACGGGATAACCACTAATACTCGATTCATAAAAGCTGGTGTAGAAAATTGGTAATAATGAATAACGCAATCTAATGGCATCACGCATTATTGAGGTATATGGATCACCTGCAACCCAAGGTTCTCTTCTCCTTGAATCTATATGTGCATGTGCTCTAAAGAAAGGATACCAGATACCTGTCTGATACCATCTGGTTAACAAGTCTTTAGCGGGGTCTCCAAAAAACCCACCTACATCTGCTCCTCCAAAAGGCATGCCAGCAACTCCAGAAGTCAAAAGCATTGGAATAGAAACCTTTAAGTATTCCCATTTAGACATATTGTCACCAGTCCACATTGCCGCTGTTCTTTGAGAACCTGCGAAATATGATCTGGTCAATACAAAGGGTCTCTGTCTATCGGTTGTAGATAACCTCTTTATTAAAGAATTGTACGTTGCTTCGTGGAATGTCAAGCCAAATACATTGTGTACCGATCTATGTTCCCAATCACCATAATGAAGATTATCTCTTGGTGATGTGGTTTCAATACCGTCAAAAACTGATGGTTCATTCATGTCATTCCAAATATATATGTTTGTAGATAATTTTCCCATAAATTCATTATCTGTAGAATATTCAAATTGTTTATCCCAAAATGATTGCGAATTTGGATTCATTGTATCAATCCAAACCGATTCCCCTGGCCAGCATTGGCCATGGAATGTGTTATTATGGGGATCGTTAATGCTTATTCTCTCCTTTTCTACTTGGTCACTTATGTGATAATCTGTTTTTAAATGGGTATCTATAATAACCACCAAGTTTCTGCCAGTATGATCTAGCTCTGCTAGCATTCTTTCTGGGTTTGGAAATTTTTCGGTCTGCCAGGTAAAATACTTCTTAGCATCTGCATATTCAACATCCAACCAAATCACATCGTATGGTATCTGGTGTTTATCAAATAATGAATTAATTTCGAGAACATCTTTTTCATCGTTATAATTCCATCTACATTGATGATAACCCAATGAAAATAACTGTGGTAATTGAACATAACCAGTAATGGCGCCATAACTCTCATTTATGTCCCATGGATTCTCTGCAATCATAATCATTACATCTAATATTCCATTTTCAGAGATCCAGTGTGTTTTTGTATCCTTATCAGATGAAGTTTTATCTATGTCAACAAACGTATCAGCGCTGTTAATCCAAAATAATCCAATTGACACTCCCGGCTTCAGTCCCATTAAAAATGGAATTGAACCATACATTGGCATCCTGGAATTTGTCTCATATTCAAATATATCAACATTAAAGAGTCTGTAAGGTAAATCTGAGTCAGTTGTGTCTTTCAAGTTGAAATCATCCGCATGCTCTGGGATCCCATAAACATGTTTGAAACCTTCAAATGTAAAATCCAAGCCAATTGATTCCGGCCCTAATGGAATCCTATCATTTCTAGAATCATGGAAGTCATCATGAAACATGTTGAAGTCTGATTCTTCACTTGACAAATGTGCTGCGTTCGATGATTCAGGTCTCCAATGCTCGTAGTTTAAGAAATTTCTATCGTTAACTATGAATTGGATTTCCTCGTCATGGTAGACTATTATCTTAAATGGGTTGTATAAAACCTCTGCCTTGTATTGCCCTTTAGTTCCGTATTCAATCACTAACCTATCTTTCTGTTGGTCATATTTAGTGCCTGATCTATTTTCGTACGACAAATTCAGAGACTGAAACGACCAATTGGGAGTTTCGTTATATCTATCAGTATTCACAAGCTTATTCTTCAAGTTTATCTTTTTTCTTTGTTCTTCATCCACCTTAATTCTTATATTGTTCTTATCCAACAATGATAATTCGAATGGCAATACAATATCTTCATTGATTCCTTCAACCTCTTTCAAAATATTCCCATTTACTATGAAATCCTCAGATTTAAAATGTATAGACTGTGGATCTATTGCATATTTTGATTTATAATTGGGGTTTTCTTTAATATTATTAGCAAAGTGTCTATTTCTATTACAAAATCCGGAAGTTTCACAATTTTTGAATAAGTAATCCTTATAACCAAATACTTTTTCCATTTGTAGAAAAGCTGCCACAAGAAGCACAACAGATATAAGAAACTTCATCTTAGACGCTCTTCTGCAATAAATGTAGGGAAGCAGTTATTTTGCAAAATTCGTTTCTGTATCAGTTCTTCTCATTTTGAGAACTAAAGCATATTCACAAATTATTTTCTTCTACGAATAGCTACATCTATCAACTTAAGCAGACATCCTTGATTACAAGACTCTAACTCGTTAAGTAATCTATGACTATTATTCCAGAATATTAATGCTAAGTTAGTCTTATGATTTACAGTTGATTATATTGCCTGTCTTACATGTGAGACTAGTGTTACTACTTTTTAAGAGCTGAAAAACCTATACGATCATTCCAATCTAAATTTCAAGGATGCAAGCCACTACAACTACGATTTCTTTAAGCAGATACTTATTGTACAAATATAATCTGGGATCCCATAGTATAGTAATGAAACTTAGAAGTCGTGTGTTGATTGTCAAAAATGGCTGGACAAAAAAAAAAGTCGTCGCATATCTTAAACAGTATTTATCAATTGTATCAATACTCCAGTTCCTACTAAGTTTAAGTATCTGTAACTAAGTAATTTCTAGTGCTACTAAGAGAGGGATTAGGGCCGATAGATTGTTCTATACATAGTTCTTGAGATTAATTTGGCGTTGTCTACGATATGGACTACGACAATGATAAAAAGAGACTCCATGAAGACAGTGATAATTCTGAAGTTAAGAAGCACAAACCTTTAGACGTGTTGAGCAATGATGGACCGTTGACACAGAAAGATGTTGTTTACTTTAAGAAGGAAGCTATTTGGAGGCAAATGAGAAGTTATAAGCAGAAATGCACACTTTTGACGAAAGACTTAAACGATATTAAGCAGAATTATGAATCTAATGAACGAAAAATTAACGTTTTAGATTCGTGGTACGAACTGATTATCAATTTATTTGGTGAAAAGGCAGACCTGAATGTTGAGTTGAATGAGACGTTATTGATTAAATTAACTAATGTACCAATAGGAGATCTAGATGCCTTGTTGGAGAAGAGAAGAAAACAGTTATTGACTATATTGAGTCCAGTAATTGAAAATTCCAAGCTTTCAAACATTGATAAAAGCGATGTTTTAGAAAAGGTTGAATCTTTGAATGCAGAAGTGGCCACACTAAAATCGGAAAATAATACATTAAGCAAAATGAAGTCTCAATTTGAGAGCAAAGTGGAAGATTTACAAACGCAGTTGTTGACTTTAGTAAAAAATAATGATAGAAAAAGTTCAAAAACTCTCCAAAGAATTGACGAGAGCCTAACGAATGGATCAGATGTTAAAGAAGAAACAACAGAGACTGTGAAATCTGAGACAAATAATAACACAGCAGATAAGGATGGAAATTCTGTGAATAATGAAGAATTTGAGAGGATAAGTTTAGAAATAGATGAGTTGAAAAGTGATAATAGGTTATTAAAAGAACTGATGAGTCAAATCAATGCAAACTATAATAAAGTGGTAGAGGAAAATCTTCTGTTATCCAATAAGCTAGAGAATTTAAATGAAAATGACTTGATTAATTCCGTTATGTATCAAGAATTGGCGGCCCATAATAAACAATTGAATGAAAGCGTGAACAATTTGCAGAAAATCAATGACACAACAGTAAATAAGTTAAATGAGTTAGAGAATAAGCAAACCAATGTGAAGCATTTACTTGACAAGGAATTGAGAGAGGAAAATGAAAACTTAAAACAGCAATTACAGAAGAGCGAAAACGATTTGGTCAGGATTCGAACAGCAAGAGATGAGTTATTATCTAAACAGACAATCTTGAAAGCTGATCTTGAAAATCAAACAACTAATGATGAATTGAATAAGTTAAATAAAGTCTTGAATGAAAGAATTAATAGCTTGGAAAAAGAAAGACATGACACTAGTGATAATAATAAAATAGGCGAATTGTCGAAGGATGAATTGATCCAACGGGTGAACATGTTAAATAGTGAAATTAAAGAAATAGAACAAGCATTCCAAGAAACAAGAGAAAATTCAATATCCAAGTTAACAGGTATTACAGACCAAGAAAATTTAGTCAAAAAGTTAACGATAGAGAAGACAAAGGCTGACCAGAAGTACTTTGCCTCTATGAGGCTAAAGGACTCTTTAAGTTCCGAAAACAGAATATTAAAAGCACAGATAAATAAATCACAAGAGTTAGTTAACAAACTTAATGATTTAGAAAAGAGCTATTTGGATAAAATCGAGATATTGACCAAGTCAAATAATGATTTTAAAATCATTAGGCAGTCAGCTCTTCAAGAGAACTCTAAACTTCAGGAAACATTAAAGTCAATCGAGGTTAGAAAAGCTAGCTTAGAAAAGGAAATGTTAAGCATTAAGGAGAAACACGGTGATAAGGTCAAGGAAAATATAAGCCTTACTCAGGAACTAAATGAAAAGAATTTGGCGTTGGGAAAATTTGAGCACAAACTAAAGTCAACTGAAAGCTTGTTGAAGAAGTACAAAACTAATAATACTTCATCCATATTGCAAGAGGACGAAAGACAGCTAGAAGCACTTCGTTCGATTGCAAAATGCTCTGTGTGTTCTAAAAACTGGAAAGATACTGCCATAACGGTCTGTGGGCACGTTTTCTGTCTGGGTTGTACCCAAGAACGTTTAGCGGCTAGATTAAGAAGATGTCCAACGTGCAACAAGGGATTTTCAGCTAACGATTTGCTTTCTATCCATTTGTGATTTATAGTCGTGTATAGATAATAGTACACCTTGTATATATGATTCTGGCAATTGTAGAACGCGTCATCGAGTGTGAGCATACTTGCTTCTGAGATATTGTAGCAGAGATCTGCTTCAAGAAGACATGGTCATTCCTGAGGCGTTACCCACATATTCTGCTAGCCAGCATTCAGTTGGCATTATACACTTCTAACAATAACTACCAGTTTCAAACCTTGATTTGCTACACTCGCGCTCTACACGTACACCTTTTTCAAACGATTGTCAATACCAACCACAAACGGCTCCCACATTCTAATTATAACCCCTCAGCGCTTTTTCTTCCCCAACTACCAAATAATCCAAACGTACATCATCACTCACCATCTTCGTACCATTTGGTCTTGTCTCTCTTACAAGTTCTCCTCCAAACTTGAAAACTGTACTGCGAGAAATAATGTGCTACACCCCTTCTATAAAGAGCCAGCAACATCTTCCTTCGTATATCTGCCGCCCCTGTAAGCACCTACGCGTCTCCCAAAACCTTATCCCGAGAGTAACATGTCTGTACACCCAGCCACTGCGTCTTGAAAGGTAAATATCCGGGTAACATCATGCCAAATCTCATGTTTCTCATTCGTTATACTCGAGAGTTCCTTGCTCTCGCTCAACCTATCGGGACTTTACGGGTAATTCATGTCACGCAATTTCCGTTCAAGCCAGCTCCTAAGAGGGCCTCGTTACCCGCCTTTCCTCTTCGTCCATTGCTTGCAAAAATTCACACCAGTCTCATCTACAACTTACAAGCGTTACAGTAGTTAACACGTACTCTTATTCTCTTCCGAAGCCACCGTCACTATTTTTATTGGTTTCGTGTTCACGGCACCTACGTAAGTCCAGTATCCACGAGGACATCTCACACGATATTTACACCACTAAAATCCCCATGGAGTATCTACATGTGCTTATCAATACTAAGTGGTTGATAATGTAGTTAGACGACGGTGGCAAACAAGTAGTAACAATTGTAAAAGAAAAGTCGTGTGTAATGGCTAATTGCAAAATTTTTCTTTTGCGCCGAAAATCTCTTGTAAGTATAAATAAAGATAGAATCCCGTTCGAATTTCAAATGCGGCCATTAAAATTTTAATTGGACAGAAAAAAAACAAAAAAGTTGCCCTAGAAGTTTTGATTGGTACACGACCTCAAAAACAATTTCGAGGAAGCTTTAATATACAGTACAAGTTTTTTTAGCCTAAAAAGCACTTTTGTGTATTTTGTGTTCCTTATAATTAATATACACCACATCCTGTAAAATCCAGTTTACATACAGGACGCTAGAGGGGTAACTATTCACGTGAATATCGTTAACAAATACTAGCACCAGTTCGCCAGCAAGCATATTTGATCTATAAGCCTTCAATACCGGCAAGACAAGAGAATATTATATGTCCATGTCAGAAGGTACAGAACAACCGCAATTAGTTCCGGAGACTAATACGCCGGTCCAGACGCCTTCATCGGACAATTTCTTCCAAGGAGACAAAGGATCAGGCCAGCTAGAGCAACAGAAAAAAGATGTAGAACCGGAGAAGCCATTATCGCCACCAAATCCTTCTCCTAGTCCAGAAAAACACAGGATGGACGAAGAGCTAGAACATGAGCCTGCTGAGAAGAGGGCCAAGTTGGATGAGAACGGGCACGAAGGTGACCAGGGTGATGAGGGCGAGCAAGCTGAGCATGGTGAGCAATCCGCACATCCTGAACAACAGCAGCATAAGGGACTTCCTACTTTTACAGAGCCTGCTCCTAAGCCGGCACCAGAACCTGATATGAATAATTTGCCGGCCAATCCTATGCCTAAGCATCAGGCTAAGTTTGCTAACAACGTTATCAAGGCTGTTAAGCGTTTAAGAGACGCTGCTCCGTTTGTGCATCCAGTCGACATTGTCAAATTAAACATCCCCTTCTATTATAACTACATTCCAAGACCTATGGATTTGTCAACCATAGAAAGAAAGATCAATGCTAACGCATATGACGAACCAAGCCGCATTGTTGAAGACTTTAATTTGATGGTAGCTAACTGTTGCAAGTTCAACGGTGAGCAAAGCGGCATTTCCAAGATGGCAAAGAATATTCAAGCGCACTTTGAAAAGCATATGTTGAACATGCCTCCTAAGGTGTTGCCAAACAATGGTGCTACTGTTCCAGCAAACTCAAGAAGAAGAGCAGTTGTGGCAGATTCGGGTGACAAGAAAAATTCGGTAGCAGCTCACAGACCGAAAAGAACTATTCACCCTCCAAAGTCTAAGGAATTACCTTACGACGTCAGACCAAGAAAGAAGAAATACGCTGCAGAATTAAGATTCTGCAACCAAACCATCAAAGAATTGGTATCTAAGAAACATTATAATTACAACTTTCCATTTTTAGCACCTGTTGATACGGTGGCTTTAAATATTCCAAATTACTCGGATGTTGTGAAAGAACCAATGGACTTAGGCACAATTCAAACCAAATTGGCAAATAATCAGTATGAAAATGGTGATGAATTCGAAAGAGATGTTCGTCTAGTCTTCAAGAACTGTTATGCTTTCAATCCCGAAGGTACTGATGTCAACATGATGGGACACAGATTGGAATCTGTTTTTGACAAAAAATGGGTTAACCGTCCTGTCCCTCAACCAACTCCTGCTAACTCTGACTTAGATGATTCTTCTGATGAGGATGACGATGAACCTGAAATTAATGAATCTATGCTTTCAAGCGTTCCCGCCATTCAATTTTTAGAAAATCAATTAATCAGAATGAAGCAAGAATTGGATGAATTGAAAAAGCAGCATCTCGACAAATTAAGAGAACAAAGAGACGCCAAGAGGAAACGTAAGAGATCGAAGAAGTCGAAATCTCGTAAAAACTCATCTGTGGAACATCCTAACCAACCTATAGTTACTTACGAAATGAAAAAACAAGTAAGTGAAATGGTTCCAAATTTGACTGATAAGAAATTACAATCTTTGGTTAAAATCATTAAGGATGATGTCGATTTGAGTAATGAAGAAGAAGTTGAATTAGATATGGATCAATTAGAAGATAGAACTGTATTGAAATTATACAACTTTTTGTTCGGCAAGAAGGCTTCATCGTCCTTAATGAATAAGAAAAAGAAGAAATTATCGTCTGGTGCAGGTTTAGACCAGTTAGAACAATTGAGAAGTCAATTACAATTGTTCGAAGATGCTGATAAACCTTCTTCTAATAATGGAATCATGAACATTGGTAATGATCAAGAATCATCAGATGATGATGTAAGTTCTGAAAGTTCTGAAGAAGAATAAGCATACTTCAGTCTATTCATCTTATAATTCTGGCATACTCTCCCAACATTTTCAATTTATCACTGTGTATTATAAATAGTTATTTAAAATTATGTATATTAATATTAACCCATCGAAATAATTGTTTTTTGTAGGTTCACACAGAATTATGCACCGCATCAATTTTTTTTTTCGTTATTTTGAAAGAGTGAAGATCTCTTATCTTCATTTTTCATCAACATCTTTCGGTTACAGTTTATTGGAAAACCAAGGCTTGAATAAAACTATTATTCAAGTTTAACGCATTATTATTAGTTTTTTTTTATTTATTTAGAATCCAAGTCATATATTTGTCATTAAGTCATGATTGAAATACTAAACCAAACATCAAACTTATCGCTCCAAGATAAGAATATTTCACCAAATAGAGACACATTACCACCAAGAGATCCACAGCATAATCCTTTGAAGATATTAAAATCTGCCCGTAATTCTAAAAAGAGGCCGGCGTTCATCGCAGGTCCCATGGTTAGATACTCTAAATTGCCCTTCAGAGAATTAGTACGAAATTACAATACAGACATAGTGTATACTCCAATGATATTAGCCAGGGAATTTGTTAGAAACGATGTTGCTAGATTATCAGATTTTACCACTAATGCAGGCGACAGGTCTGTGATTGTTCAAGTTGGCTGCAATAATGTCAAAGATTTACTAAAATTTGTGGATATGATTCACCCATACGTTGATGGTATAGGATTAAATTGTGGTTGTCCTATAAAGGAACAAGTAAGGGAAGGTATCGGTGCTGCATTAATGTCAGAGCCTGAATTAGTTTCCGAGATGGTTAAAGCTGTAAAAGATAAATATAAAGAATCAGTTGTTATTGAAACCAAAATCAGGATACATCCTGATATAAACGAGACCATTAAATTTGTGAAATTAGTAGAAAAAAGTGGAGTAGACTTCATAACTGTCCATGGGAGAACTAAAAATACTAGATCATCACAACCGGCCAATTTTGATGCAATTAAAATAATCAAGGAGAGTGTATCAGTCCCGGTAGTTGCAAATGGTGATTGTTTTTCGTTGAAAGATGCACATGAGATAGCTGAATATACTGGTGTGGATGGAGTTATGGCGGTTCGTGGTATTCTAGCAAACCCGGGTCTATTCAGTGGTTATGAAAAAACACCGTGGTCTGCAATTGAATTATTTTGGGATTTGGCGACAAGTTATGGATTACCATTAGAATTACACAACATCATCTATCTGAAATGTTAGATAAGGTCATTCCTAGAAAATATTTAAAAGAAATGAACGAAACTACTTGCTTAGTTGATCTTATTGACTGGTTTGATAAAATATTTATCTTAAAAAGGAAACATGAAGAAAACTTCGCAACTGCAATTGAACCAGTGTGGAGAATTAATAGAGAAGAAATAGCACATATATAGATTATTGTACAAGTATTAATATCTATTTATATATATGCTTTAGTAATATACATAGTTTAGTAAGAGGTTTATTTCTCATTGCCCAAAAAATCTTTATTCTGCAATGAAATACTTCTAGTCATATTGTTAACTTTATAAATTCCGACTAACTGTTGTGCCAATTCAAACATGTTGTTACGCAATGAAATAACTACGAATTGTGCATTTTTAGTCCTCTCTTTGATATAATTAGCAACAATTGAAACATTCCTAAAATCTAATGCTGCATCGATTTCATCCATGACGTATAATGGAGTAGGTTTGTATCTATGTAGAGCAAAAACCAATGCTAATGAACTTAAAGTCTTTTCCCCTCCGGATAAATTCGAAATGTTCTTCCAAGACTTTTTTGGAGGCATAACACTAAACAATATACCTTCTGAAAATGGATCTAAACTATCCACTAACTCCAATTCGGCGTTACCACCCATAGTGATCATTTGGTACATTTCTTTGAGAGTCATAGATATAGTATTAAATCCTTCCATGAATTCATCTAACCTTTTACGTTTCAAGTCCTCGCAGTAACTCTTGATTTCATCTCTCTCTTCAACAGCAGTATTTAAATCACTTCTACGGGATTCGAACTCGGACTTTTTCGAGCCATATTCTTTCAAAACTTCAATATCAACTTTAACAGTACTCATGTATTTCTCTAATTCATCGATTTCTTCCTCAACATCACTCATGTTAAGAGACAGCAACGAATCTTCATTCACTTCTTCGATTATTGCACCATTATATTTAGTTCGTTCGTCTGCATCAAGCCAATCAATATATGGGGTCACATCCCTTATTATCAACCCTTGTAAACTCTCCTCGTCTTTTTCTATATGATGTTGTGCCTTACTGATTATTGAATTGTGTTTCTCAATTTTATTTTCAAGTTCAATTTCAGTGGACTTAAAAGCGTTCATTTGCTGAGCTCTTTCATCCAATTCAAGTTTGATATTTTCCAAGGTTTCTTCTTTTTCTTCCTTCTCGCTCTCTATCTCTTTAATTTCAGATGCAAGAGCTTCTAGAACGGAATCTTGCTGCTGGGATTGGATTTCAGCCAATTCCTTTTCTGTTTCTTCTAATTCTTTCTTTGATTCTTCAATAATCTTATTGTGCCTCTTAATATCATTTTCCAACTTCCTTATACTCATTCTGTCGTTCGACGTCCTTTCGTTAATGATTTCAATTTTCTGCTTGATTGAATCAACTTTTGAATTTTGTAATCTTAACTCAACACCACCTGCATTCATTATCTTTTCTTCCAATGCTTTGATTTGAGTTTCCAAGTCTACCATATTAGATTTCAATTCCTGTTTGTTCTCTACCAATTCCAGCATTTCATTTTGTTTTTCTTTTATTTGTTTGTCAAACTGCTTGCTATTGTTGTCATTCTCACTTTCAGCAATAAGAGCTTTACAAACTTTCAGGACTTCCTTTTTCTCCGAGGTTAAGGCATCAATATCTAACTTTAACCTTGAAATGCTAAATTCAATGTCTGGTTTCATATCTTTCAATTTACGTAAATTTTGCATTTTTTCTTGGAACTCCCTACTATCAAGTTCAAATTTATTCTCCATCGTTGCTAAGTCTTCCTTCATTTGCTCCACGTCATCAGGACTTATATCCATGGCATCAGAACTAGCTGCAGAAGACGATAATCTCATTGCACCTTTAGCGTAATAAGCACCACCACCAGACATCGTACCGGACGTGTCAACGACCTTACCATCTAAAGTTACAACTTTAAAGCGCTTGGCACCATATGCAACTTTTTTCGCCTCTTGCAAATTAGACGCTACCAATGTATTAAAAACCTTACTGTAAAATGCTGGTAAGAACTTTGAGTCCTGAGGGGTTATTAAATCGAACAATCTTTTAACAGTTGCTGGATTCCCAGGTGTTTGAATTGGTGCTAAGTTAAATTTCCTCAATTTATTCAAGCAGATGAAATTAGCATATCCAAGTTTGTTTTTACGTAAGTAGTCAATACATGTCTGGGCAGTTTCAACAGTTTCAACAACCATCGAATCCAACGCTGGACATGCGGTAGATATAGCAATATCAAATTTATCATCAATAACACCTAAATCTCCTAATCTCCCGTAAAACCCTTCTATACGTCCTGATTTGGCTAGCCTCATTAAACTTGATAAAACTTTGTTTTTATTTTGATAATTAGAGAGTGAGCTCATCGAATCTTGCGTTCTTTGCCTGAAACTGGCCAATTGGGATTTCCGTGACTCTAATTGTGTCTTTTCATGTTTACATTGTTCCTCTCCAATCCCAATTTGATTAATAATGTGAGATAACTTTGTTTCGGCTTCGAGAAGTTCCGCCTCCTTTTGCTTTCCTTCTGTCTTAATTTGTATGAGTTTTTCTTTGGAATCATCCAATTGTTTGGATATACTTTGCTTCTGACTCTGCAACATCTCGATCGATGAATTTACCAATTGTATAGCGCTTTCCTTTTCTTTTAATTTGTCATTCCATGGCTCTAATTTAGTCTGCAAGGCTTCTATTTGCTTCGTAAACTCCGATGTTTTATCAGTTAATTTCATTCTTATTTCATCTAACTTATTCTTCTCTGATTCAAGCTCATTTGTCAAGTCGTCCAATTCATTTTTGGATTGAATTAATGCTTTACTATTTGACTCCAATTTTTGTTGACACATTGCTTCTGTTTTTTCCAGAGACTCCTTCGATTTCAAAATTTTCTTAGATTTGTTACTCAAATTTTTAATCTTCTCGTCAATTGCAACATTGGCCTTATTAATCTGTTTTTGCTTTTTCGTAATAGAATTGATTTTATCATTCAATTTGGAAATGTACTTAACCATATTCTCATGTTGTTTAGTGGACTCCTTGATACCTTCCCCTAGTTCTTTATTAGAATTTTTCTCTTGTTCAAGCTTAGCCAATAAATCATTAACCATATCCTGATTCTCATGAAGAACTTTCTTATTCTCAATACTACTTGCTTGATATTGAATAGACTTTTTGCTAATAAGCTTCTTTTCCATTTCTAAGAATCTCAATGCTTCTACTTTTTTATCTTCAAGCAGTTCTTTATCCTTTTCAACCAAATCTAATCTGTTTTCTTTTTCTAAACAAACATCATTCAATTCGTGCACCTTTGTCAAGTTTTCTTCTATCAACTGCTTATATTTCGTAGTGCCTATTATATCTTCCAAATACTCTAATAACCCGTCATCATTTTCACGCTCTGCTTTCGCTTTCATTTGAGCGATAGACTCGACTTCACCTTGCAAAATCAAAAACCTTTTATGATCCAAATCAATTCCTTTATCTCGCAAAAAATTTGTAACTTCAGAGTAATTGCTTGTTTTACCATTAAGGAAATACTGGGACGAGTTATTTTTAAAAGCTTTACGACTTATAATCAATTCTGAATCTTCAATTACCTCTGATTTAGCGTTATCTTCGGGGCTATCCAAAACGTGATTGAAATGAATGTCTACTTGACAGTAATCTAGTTTATTTCCTCCGGCAGAATTATGAATTAATTCTGACAATTTTCCTTGTCTCATTTTCAGTGCTCTAAAACCAAAGACAAATAACATCGAATCAATCACATTCGATTTACCACTTCCATTTGGCCCCACGACAGCGGAAAATGATGCGTTGAACGGACCAATTACTTGCACGCCAGCATATGACTTAAAATTAGTCAAAACCAATTTATTTATTACTAGTCTGGGTTCATTCGGTTTATTCGATGATTGAGATGAATTTTCTTTTCTCTTGCTAGGCGATTGAAGTTGGATTGTCGCCTGTTGTTGCGAATAACTCAACCCATTACCATTCGCCGCTTCTTCCTGTACCTCCTTAACTGTAGGTGGTGGTGGCATAAGATCTACCTGGTTCAATATTACTTTATTTTCCTGACCCACTGTCCCGTTTGCTCCGTTTGCTGATTTAATATCGTGATCTTTCGTGGCGTCATTCGCTATTTTCGAATCAGCATCAACAAACTCATCATAAACAATATCATCTTCGTGTTTGGAAATGCTTCCGTTGTGAATAGAACTTTCATTTTCGATTACATTCTCTTTCAGGGCCTCATTAAACAATCTATCTCCATCTGTCTCTTCATTGTTGGGTTGATCTGGAACAAAATCACTATTATTTATAAACGTATCATCCTCGTCACTATCGACCAATCTTCTTTTAAGTTGTCTCTTTCTTTTCAAACCCATTTTAAAGATATCCTTTTGCCTATCTGATACTTAAAGATGTTTACTTATGGTCTGTTGTGACAACTAGTACTCAAGTCATTAACCTGACACGCTCTAAATCATCGAGTAAACAAAAACATTATATCAGCTACTATGCACTACATTACACAAAATCGATCTCTTATTAAATTCGTTTACTAGTGTACATGATGGAAACTACTATAATAGTCTATATTTCTAGGAATATGAAAGACGTTGAGTCTTATGATAATTCGGATGCATTAGAGTACTTGGTACTTACTCTTTGGATTCTTTTTTCTTATCTTTCTTCTCTTTCTTTTCTTTCTTGTGTTTCTTTTCTTTCTTCTCTTTCTTATCGTGCTTTTCTTTTTTCGATTTCTTGCTTTCCTTATGAGGCTTCTCTTCCTCTTCTTCATCCTCTTCCTTTTCTTCTGGCTCACTTTCGCTCGCAAGTTCTGCTGACACGGGGTCGTTCATTTCTATATCTGCATCGACTTCTGAATCATCGAATTTGATTTTTTTGTTCTTAGGTTCTTCTGAGACATCAGCGCCTTCGTCATCAAACTTGATCTTCTTGTTTACGGTCTCTGCTGACGCAATTGTCCCCGGTGTTGATCCAACAACTTCTGACAATAACGGTGGTAAGCCTCTCAAGTCTCTTTGGACTCTCTTTAATTGACTCAAGATCGCACTGCTTCCGGAACCACTAGACAAACCTGTATTAGAAAAGGTAACTTGGCTTGAGTCTAACGAGCTTGGTAAAGATCCAGCTATAGCTTCACTGACTGAAATGAAGTCACTTAATATAGTTTCCGCTTCTGATTTATTTATTGCTTGTGACGCTTCAACACGAACAGCTGTTGGGGTGTTAACTGCCGATGGGAAATTTCTCTTAGGACGATACGCTGACATACTTATATCCTTAATGAATGCTGTGTTACTGTAGTATAAAAAGCTAACAACCCAAGAAGCCGCAAATAATTTTTTTTTGGTGATGATCTTTAATTAGTGACATATTTTACTACTAGATCTATTTTTCGCGCGTAAATACTCTACTTGGTCGCTTCAACCAAAAACTGAAAAATTATTTTGACTTATAGGTTGAAGATTCCTGAGTAACGTACATTGCAACAACCGAAAACCAAATGTGGTCGTTATCTGCTGGTATTAGAAGAAGCACTGCTGGTGTTTTTCAACAATCTACACGTCATTTTTCATGTTTGACAAAACCTAATACACCATTAGCATCATTACGAAATATAAATGGTAGTACAGTCAAAAATTTCGATATCAACAGTATAAGCTTAATCTCTGATAAAAACCAAGCAAGCTCTACTCTTCAGCTTATATTTGGATTTGTTCAAAAGAGATTCAAAACCAGAGGTAATACATATCAACCATCGACGTTAAAAAGAAAGAGAACATTTGGGTTTTTAGCAAGATTAAGAACTAAGAATGGAAGAAAGATTCTATCAAGAAGAAAGGCGAAAGGAAGATGGTATTTAACTCACTAAATGATGCTGGACTCATTAATTTCACAATAACTTTCACATCATTGACTATTCAATGTAGATAAGTTTATTTATAACTTGTAAATATGCATTTTAATATAAAATCTTAGAAAAAGTCACATATATGTAGACTACTTTAAGCATGCAAAAGCTACGACATCTTAAATAAATGGGCTGTTTAATTGTTATGCTTTGCCCAAAATCTTTGAGTATTGTAATTCCACTTCATGTATTAATTTCTGCAAGCTGACAATACCCAATTGATGCGTAGCATTAGGAAATTTGTTCCTATGTAATCCAAACCATTCCAATGGTGGAGTTGCATTTCCCAATTCCTTTAGCTGGGGTGCCTCTATAATAGGGGGTGCTAGTGGCGAGTAGCTGAATTTCGAATCACTTGAAACTTTCTTTAAAGTATCATTAATGGCTTGATCAATCTCGTTCGTTGGATCTTCAGCATTAAACGATTTAGACGCAGATGATAGCTTTCTATCTTTTGCAAATATATCCTCCTTAAATCCAATATTCACAGAGGATGTAAGTTGATTGTTGCCCTTTTTATATTCGGTACGTGATGCAAAGGCATTCTTGTGGATTGAATACATTTCACGAATAAAAATAATTGAACCTAAATTCCATCTAATATCAACCGATTTTCCGAATGATGATTGATATAAATACTCTATAAGATTAGACCGATATTTTTGAAAGGTTCTCATAGAAATTTTGAAAGATGGGAAAACAAATATTGTACCGCCAGCAGCCTTACGAGCATACCCAACAAACTCATTAACGCTGCACCGACTTATGAAGTCTTCCAGCATTATACTAGCTATCGATAAAGAAACGTTTAAATCATTAAATTGTATATCCAATTGATTGGATATACCTTTACTGTACTCATTTTGTTGAAAATTGGCTATGGATTCATCCAAGGTTATAACGAGGACCTTTGAATCGCTAAATGATGACGGATAAACATGAATAAGTAAGTTACCTGCTATGACTTCTATCTTGGTCTCCAATTTCTTCACTGTCTCTAAAATCTCATTGCTTGCAGTTCTCTTGAAACCAGCATTTCCAATACTCTTTCCCCTTGAAGAATCTCTCAATGTTTCTTTGTATGACGTTCTGTTTTCCTGTATCATCCGAATTATTGCATTATATATATCCAACACGTTAGAAGCCGCCAATGAAGTTATATAAAACTCTGCATTGTCGAACTTAGTAGTAACAAATAAGTGATCTTTCGATGTATTTAGTTCGTTCTTTTTATTAAAAATATCAATCGAGTACTTTTGAATATTAGCAATAGCAAAAACATGATAATCAAAGGACAATTTGAGTTGTAAGCTCTCGATCCCTCCTGAAACCAATATCAATGGAACATCCAAAGTTGTTTGATTATTATTTTTCCATGTAATCGCAGTATGTAAAAATATACTATTAATATTCAAAACACCACTTAATCTTCCTTCTGCTAATAACATAATCGAATTTACTCCTAACTTTAATTCCTGTGTCCAATCTGTGGATTTCTTGGAAACAACCCATATTCTATCAGATTTTAGCTTAAAATTGCCTAATGATTGGCCAAAATCCATTCTCAAGGAAACATTGAATATCATAAAGGTTAAAAACCAAGGAAGGGCATAAGTCGTTGAAACTTCTTTAAACCGAGAAGATATATTCTTATTTGCAGCTAACTCAGATGTCTTATTAGTTTGAAGTACCCCTTCTCTATGACCGCCTATATCTGAGTGCGATTCTGATTTAGATTTTGGGAACCATATATCTTTAAATAAGTTCAAGTCTTGGAACTGTTTAACATTGATGTAGGCTTCGACATCCGTGAATGAGCCGGAGCATAATATATTCAAAACCTTTTCCATTTTTACAGAGCTTGTTAGCAAAATCCGTTCCAACCCAATCGACCCACTCACCTCTCTCGAATATATATGCTGAAGGGATGCCGATATAGAATCAAACTGGACTGCTGCTGTAATTGAAGGTATTTCATTAGGACCGGTATTTATTTGCATATATATGCCATCTATCCCAACTACTGTCGCAACCTTCGCTGTTGGTTCACAACTTAATGCTAGCTTTTGTCTTTCAATTCTAACACCTATATGAATGTCAAAATCATTTAACAGGTCACCAAAATCAAAATCTTTAGTTGACTCATACGTAGTTTTCTTTGCCACCTTTGAATTATCCAAATTTGTCTTACGCATCATTTTTTTAATACCTTGTGCAATATCCATTATAACAGGCATGCATGAAGAATATAGGGTATTATCAGAAGAAGACGTGAGAATTTCACTCTTGATAACATGTTTTTTATTTGCGTTCTTTTGATGCTTATACATCGTAGCTATTTTAACAGCCGGTGAATGAAGAAACAATGATGGTGGATTCAGGTCGTCGTTATCTCTTAAGCGATATAGCAAAACGTTCGATCCAGCAAATGTAGCAATAATTTCTATTGTTGCAAATGCAGATTTGAATGATTGTATATAATCTCCCTTGGAATCTGAAGTCTTTGGTTCGTTTTGAACAATATTTGGTTTTACTCTTTGGCTGAAAATCTTTTGAACCTTAGATACCGATGCCACTGTATGTTCCAATATTACTATCGAATCTGAAAGAAATTTGACATCTAATTCATCACCATTCATTATTATGCGCATATTCCTATGATCTTCAACACCATCAATGGTGTATATTAATTGCATGTTAGGTAAGGATGCACGATTCAAATTTTCTTTTTCAGAAGCAGTACTATAAAAGTTGGAAGAACGAAATCCATTTGCAACCGAAAGATACGCATCTATCAATGTGAATTTACCTAGACTATCTTCCACAACTGCAAAAAATCGTTCTGCACCCAAAATAATTCCAGGATAATCCTTGTGTGATTCTCCAAATAGCCAGCCAATACAAAAGTTATAACTTAATACATGTATAGCTGAAAACAGAAATAACCAACTTTCTAAATTAGACTTTTTGGAGGAACCCAAATCTTTCTTGTTTGTTTCGTTTCTACCAATTTTGAAGATTTTTAATGCAGCAGTGGCTAGTTTATCAACAATACTGCCTAATTTAAAAATTAGTTGAGGACTCAAGCAAACTCTGCAATACTGAGATTCGATTTGAAGAGACAGCATTTCTTTAGACATTTCGTTGTCATTGCAAACTTTAACAGAAAGATTTACGTCCAAAACGTTAGATAATCCAACAGGTACTGATCTGTCAATAATAGAAACCCTTGTTGTGGGTATGAGCAAATTACCAAATAAAGGAACAACTGAACCTATATTATTTCCATTTGAATAATATTTTCAAAGTTATAAATACCTAATGAAAAATTCTCTAGCTCAACGGCTATCTTGGATGTATCTACAAAGGTCGAAAACCCAATATAATCGTTGGTGAACTTTGATCTAAGCACAAACCTTTCAAAACTCTTCTTAAGATTTATATTGCTATCATCTGAATTTGAGCTCTCCTTGCACGCATCTTTCTTGATGACTATATTTAGACGTTTAATCTTGCTTTCCACGAGGTCTAAGTTAGCCGCCACGACTTCTATGGATTTGATTATTTTAGGTATAAAAACTTTGGTATAGCCCAAGCTAGATGAAGTGGATATGACATACTTCTCATCTATTAGGCTGAATTTAATAGAATTAAGTATTTGTGAATTCTCAAATTCTATAATCGATGTCTTGTTGATACTAGAGCCAAACGTTAATTTTTGTACGAAAGATTCGAAAAGCGATATTCCTTCCGCTAAGTGCCATGATAAATGAATATCATCTACAATTCCCTTTAACTTCAAAGGATGGATTATATCAATAAACCAATGAAGTTCATTGACATGAAATTCTATGGAAACACTTCCTATTTTTTCAAATAAATATCTGCTCTCTTCAGACACTTTATCAGAAGCATCGCTCACTTTTCTCGAATCACTATAGTCCAAAAATGTTTCTTTGAGAAATTCTCCGTCATTATCAAGCATGTACTTCAAAGAATCGCATAATGTATCATTTTGATCTAAAAGATTAAAATTACATTTGCCAATAGATGTATCAATAATTTTAACCCCATTTCTTAAAGTCCCAAAGTTTGCAGCTTCTAAACCAAAACTTTCAAATTCTATCGAAGCAAGCTTGTTCTCATTCACTGATAAAGCAAAATCAAATGTACCTGCAACGACCGACAAGCTGAAGGGTATCATGTCTGATATTTCCTTAAGAGCAAAAACTTGGCCCGAACTTGAAAACAGTGATGAACAAAGTTCAATGGAAGTATACGGAAATGATATTCTTTGCAGAGATTCATTTACATTCGAAATAAACTCCAAACTAATATTATTGGATCCTTGAATAGATTCACTCTTAGATACCTTATTCTCACATTGCTCATTATTTGACCTCAGGGACATCTTTCTTAGTAAAGGAGAATACAAAGATAAGGCCAAGGGTGAAATCTTACTTTTGTAGGATTCCAAGTTAAATAAAATACTGCAATGTAATATCGACTCGATAATTCCCAAGTTCATATTAGTCAAATCCTTGAACCTTTCTAATGAATGTGAATACGTTGTGGTTAATTCATGGAAATCTATGAAGTCTGCATCATTCTCGGCGCCCATTAATGTAATATTAATATCATTTAAATGTATTTTAAAATCAGTATCATGATGATTCTCTATTTTATCTTCTTGTCTTTTAGAGAATATAAAATTGAAAAAGTAACTCCTTCGAATATCATCAACTTCCCAACTTCTCCACTGAGAAAATATGTCCAAGACTTCATCGTATGCATCATCAGGTGCTTCCCATTCAAAGTTTTTAAATAGCTGATCCTGATCGTTAAGCCAATTCTCAGGTAAGTGGTCAAAGATATGACGTAAACGTGTCATAACCTTCCAACTATCAAAAAATCTAATATGATCATTTTGGGACCTCAATACAGATGCCGGCTTAGTCAATACTCCTGGATCATGATCAATATGAAAATCTCTTCCTGCCGTGGAAATTTTGTAGACTAACTCAGAGACACTTTTATTATTAGCATTCGACAACCTTTTAAAGTCTGATAAAGCAGGACCAATTCTATCGACTATTGACATACAATAATCAAAAAGCCATTCGAACTGCGGTTCGTCAATTACTAGATCAGTATTCTCAACATCAAAGGAACATACTAAATTGTCACCACTATCAATCGTCTGCCAAAATTCTATGTTTTTAATACCCAAACTTAACGGAGAAGTAAATTCAGATGGTCTAGAAACAGAAAGAAGAGCCTCCTTTAAATGAAATGCTGTCACAAATTCAGATTCTTTCGTCATAATTCGGTCATTAGTATCTCTCTTAATTGTATGTGATATCGCTAGAGATGGTTCTGTAATATTCAAGTTTATATTAGGCACTTTTGGGGAAGTACCAAATACTTCCAGTGGATCAGATACTTCAAAGTCTCCAACCTTCAAGTTAATTTCTTGGGTTACAAATCTGATGTTATCTACCAATGATGGGGAACTAATTAAAAGTTTTAGTTTCTGTATCACATCAACGTGTAGATCATCAATCAATTTGGTCAAAGAATAGTCATTAAAAGACCTTGCAAGTTTGTACATATAAAATAAGGACTGAGGTGTGAAAAATGCCATGATTTCACCAAAGTCGAATATTAGGTTATCAATTTTAAATTTGGAATCCTTTTCATAGTCCGGTGAATATTCATGAATACTATAAGAAGTTAACGGAGCCATTTTTCCAAATGTTGTGCAATCATCATCCCATGTCAGTGAAAAGCTTCCACTGCTATTTCTGTAATCGAAGCTTGGTGCATAAACAGAGTGATTATCACCCTCTATCTCGTCGTGAGATGCTTTATTCAAAGGATAAGAGGCATCAACTAAAGTCAATGAGGTCATAATGCATCCATAAGCGTCATTATAAACATCATCTCTTTCATATTCATCCAAAACAAATGGACAACGGTGATACGGAGCATCATTGGTTCTAATATGTTCTTGTTGCAACTTCTTAAATTCTGAAGATTTTTCTTTTTGCATGATATTATCCGCAACAAGAGATGTTTCAAGAAACCCTAACAATTTTGACTCACCTTCAGCTTTGGAAACTATTTTGAATATTATCAGTGGTATAGATGCTGAAAGCCTCTCTGAGTACCTATCATTAGCCAAGTCGTTAAATGATAGTAGAATTGAATCCAAATCTATTGAAAATAATGAACATTCTTCAGAATGTTTCTCTGGTTTTAAATTAATCAGAGCATGCGGACATCTAAACGAAAAATTACCAGCATTTGGAATAAAAGGGAATTCGGGATTTAATCCGTTTTCCAAATCTTTAAATCCAAACGCAAAGCTGCGAAGTGAGGTCATAATCGCCAGGATAAAAAAGCCATCACTATCTATATTGATTATTTCAGTAGCAAAATCCCATTTAGAATAGTAAGTGACTTCTTTTGGTGGTAATCCAAACATTCTATGTGTATGGATAGTAAGACCGTCAATGGATGCATCCTGATTCTCTCCCAAAAATAATTCCGTATATTTTGGAATATTAAAAATAATCTCATCATTACCTTTTCCATCAACGTATGTCAAAGATATGGGCGAAAAGTCAGCCTGCAAATCAGAATAATAGTTCGTAAATCGAATATCAATGTCAAATGAATCAAACCTTAGGCCAACATGAGAGGAACAATCATGCAAATAATACGGCAATAATAACAATCCATGTCTAACCTGAAACATAAATAGTATATCCACATCATTGACTGACTTGATCATTTTCCAGTAGTTTAGATGTGACCTCCTAGAGGCAACACTATCAGGTTCGTCTGATAAGTCTTGTGAAGACCTTTCTTCAGCCTGTGACATTGTTTGCGACGAATTAGCCAATTCATTTGTATATTCTTCAAATGTTTTGAAATGCATATGATCTCCTAGATAATTCTCTCTTATGACGAACAAATACCTCACAACAAATCCATAGAATTTTAGAGTCACGAAGTCACCAAGAACTTTGATTACAACATGATTAGATGTGTTAATTTCAACCTCACTAAAATAGGTGTAAGAACCATTGATTGTGAAGTCACTGCTTTTACCTATTACATTGGATTTCATGAAAGCATTTGCTGTGTGCCATTGAGGCGTGTCGAGTATAAATTTAGTGAATGAAGTGTTTATGTTGTAATCGATAGTTGTCGACTTTGAAAATTGTCCATAAAGTGGAATTGATACTTCACAACTCAAATCATCACCTTGAAAAGAAAGATACTTGTTGCTACTGAAATCCAAAGGATTATTAATGATATTATTATCATTGACATTCAAGTAAAGTTTGTAGGTATTCAACTTCCAATTTATATGATAATGAAATGGCCTAAACAACTCATAAGGAAGCGGAGGGCCAGATGCAAAGTCAGTGAAAATATCTGAAATTAACATTGTATGTTCTCTGAGAAAAAACAATTTCCCGTTATCACTGATATTATCGAAAATCCAATCACATTTGCCATTCCATTTTAACGGAAATCCAACTTTGCAGTCAATGCTATGTTTATCAGCCATGAACAATATATCATGATTCACAGATGATCTCATTTCAAAGGAGTGGAAAACAGCTTTCAATTCATTATTCCAACCATTGTCTCTGGAAGCCACATATGAATTAAAAAAATTAATATTGGATCCCTCTTTCATATTTAGTTCAAGCCAGCCAAATGGTCTACTAACCTTACCTGCTTGATTATGTACATTAGTCGAATTTTGGTTACGCAAGGTTTCCGTATGTTTACTGGGTTCTCTGGTTGGGACTCTAAAGATTACCTGATCTTTAACTGTTAATAAAAAATTGAACCCATTATAGCCTCTAACTTTACCCGGAATATTATGTTCTTCATTTGGCTTCGAGTCGCGAGCTAATGTTGGAAAAAACATAGACTGTAATGGAGCTCTTTGTCTATCAGCCCAAGGTCCGTAATGGATGGTTGCCATTGACAACTCCATATCTACACCAAATTCTGGATCCTTCATCTCTGTTTTTGACAAATTGGAATTCAAAGGAGTTATACCAGGGCAATCATAGTAATACGACATCCTTGTACAAGATGAATCTAAAATCAAACTATATTTAGCGTATTCCTCATCTGTATTAATATATCCTAAAAAGTCCTGTCCCTCTGCCAGGTCACCAAGATATCGTCTTAGACCTTTCCATTGCTGAAAATGGGTATCATCGTCACCCTTAGTTCGTTTCTTATTCCTGCTAAACGGCTTTTTTATTAGATAACTTATCGAATTGACAGCCTGATTAAAACGATACCATTGCTCGTATTTCTTCTTATTATTTGCATTTTGTTTTTTATTCCTATTACCCACTGGAGAGTAGTTTGGAAAATCATTAGGGCTGGAATATTTGAATTTGTCGTATGTAATATTAGGCTTCATAGAAATCTGAAATCGTTCAAAATTAAAATTGTAAAAAAATCTATAATTGTCAAGAACACAAGGTGCCTGAGAAACATCAACAATGGCATTTCCCATTTTATAAGATGCAACTAATATAGAGGGCGTCGTAATATTACCCAATACAATAGCCCCCCTCTTGATTCTAATATGGACAGGTAAAACTTTCAAAAAGAAATACAAAGAAAACTGTTTATTAGAAGCAGCATTCCCACAGATATTTCCTCCCTCTTTTGGAGGAATTGAAGCAGAAGACGTTTTGCTGTCTCCATTGGACATGTTTTCCTTCGATGACGAACTGTTGGAATTGTTTGTCTGTATATTTTGATGATATTCTTCATCCGAATCATTTCTGTTATTTCTTAAGAGTTCTTTCTCGTCTCCTTCCGCTGTCTTCTCGTGTTCCTTCAATATGTCCATCATGTTGTCGTAAGCGGGAGTTCGGTTATACATAAAGATTTCCAAGCCATCTAGTAATAATGTAAACCTAGCCAGAAGTTTTTCATTTTCTTCTCGTGTAGTCTGAATCAGCTCAGAATTATTTTCACTGAAGTAGTATTCAGAAACCCTTGTTAATTTAGAGATCCAGTATCTCCAAGTAAAGTTAACTTGTAGCACTGATATTGTTTGGTCGACCGTTGTTATGGTTAAATTCTTTGCTAATATACGCCCTCCTAGAAGAGATATTCGCAACGATTCGACATTAATCCTCACTTCGTACTTCTTCCATATTATCCATTTGAGTGCTAGTGAACACACAAATCCAACCAATCTTCCAAAATAGAAGACAAATGCAAGTCCCAAGATAAGCGCCAAAATCCAATCCACTAAGTATATCCAACTTGAGTTATGATCAATAGTGCTATTTGCTACTGATATAAACGTTGACTGGAACGCCATATTGAAATGTTTGTGCTTCTGTTTCTTATCTCTGATGTCTTCTTAACGGTTTATAAATTATACAGAAATCAAAATTATGTCTTAATGCTTATATGAAGGATCTGAGAGGCAGTATCTTTTTTTGATATTACACTCTTCGCTATTTGGAATAACCATCCTACTCTGAAAGGAACAGGAATTGCGAACTAAGTAGTAGTTAGTGACTAAATTGCTTCATATGAACCGTTTTTCTAGATTTATAGAGTTGTTCAATCAATTTTGGTCTCAATAATTATCAGAAATTACACTTCTCGTTTAATTTTAAATATTACCTACGATAATAAAGTTTAATCTTCTATGTGTGTATTATACTTCACCACTATCAATGATACCTTTTCTGAACAGTTTATATAGTAGAATCCAGTCTAATAAAAGCTGCTAGCTTCATTATGGAACCATATACAAAATTTAATAATATTACACAAAAACGTGTTTGTTTACTCTTAAATGATAACGAAGAAAATATAAACAAATGAACCTATTTCTATCAAACCTTTTTATTCACAAGTCAACGTATAATTGCTGAGTGGTATATATTTCACTATGCTGTATCATAACATAAGGTTTTCTGATAAAGAAAATGCTTTGAAACAAAATCAAGTTAATAATTCGAAGTCAAACGCCTTGACCACAAAATCAAGGAATATACCTAGTAATTCAGAAAATGCCTTCAACATTCGATCCAATGCTAAGCAAATAAATCAGACAGCTGGAAATAGGGGTCCTATAGCGAGGGTTCCATTGGGTGGCAAAGATCAAAATAAGGCCATTCCTTCATTGCTGAGGTCGCAATCGAGCTTGAATGCTGGAGAAAACAAGCAGCAAAGAAAGAAAATATTACTCCCAAAAGCGCCTTCTTTATCAAAAGCCAACTCTTCGTTGGGATTTGTTCATCGTAGTAACCCATCCACAGGTGAAAGCTCATATAAACCACAACAGAACAACAAAAAGCTAGCAGATATTAATAAAAGTATTTTCAGCCTGGATAATGCACAAAGGTCTAAAGAATTAGTACAACCCCAAGATACGGACTCCTTGAAAAAACATATAACGGATGCCCCGACTACACCTATAGGATCACCTTCGCTTCCATCCACAATCACTCCGAAGACCCAGTTGCTTGATGCATCAAATATACCACACCGGGATTTAAATCGAAATAATGTAGATCCAATTAAACGGGACATCAAGAAAAGCATAAAAATTAGTGAACAGAATCAACAAGCTGAGATCAAGAAATCCTTTCAAATACATCAAGATTTGATTGAAGATGAAGACAGTATAGAATACGCGCCAATTAAAGGTCCATCTGTACCTTACAGGCCAGATGACATGGATTCATTGACAGAAACGGATCTAGAACTTTTCTCGAAGCCAAATGGAATTACGTTAACCGAACAGAATGAACATGAATACCCTGAGATATATAAGAACGAAATGGATTTGAATTTCCAAGAAATAAACCTTGATGATCCAAGGAATTTTTCGTTCGAATACGATGAGCAAGGCATTGAAGCTGATGAAAAGGTTGACGAAGATACGAAGAATATTGGATTAAATGTAGATGAATTAAATGATTTGTTGGACTTTTAAATATTATATATAATTACTACCCCTTCAATTCTATTGACTAATTTTTTCCAATATTCTTTAATTTGCATTATATTATTAATACACATCAATCTTATTTACATAAATGTTCTCTTAATTTATATACATATCTATCTATTGTTGAGAGCATTCTGGTTGGGCACCACCAAAATCGTCATGGGTGCCATAGTATTCTTCATGAGTATCCTCTTCGGGTCTATCTTCAGGATAATCAGGTAATACATTTTCACGAGCAATTGTAAAATCAGTGATCAATTCAATATTAGCTTCAGGTAATGAGCTTTCATCAATAGTTTGCTTCTCTGTATCCCTTTTATTTTGTAAATCATTAGGTAATAAATTTTTAATCTTTAGTATATCATTTTTCTCTAAATACCAATTATCCGGAGGAAATTCGATATCCATTTCGATATACAAATCACCCCTTTTACCAGCAGATGAACTGAACCAACTACTTTTCTTTGGATCATTCTTCACAGGCATACCTTCATTTTTAATTTTGATATAGTCACCAGGTCTTATGACTTTACCTTTAGGTGTAGAAACTTGTATTCCTCTACCATCTAAATGTTTCACAAGCACCTTAGAAAAACCGCATAATGAATCGGCTAATGGAATTTTATACTTTGCAAATAAATCGTCACCCTTTCTAGTGAAAACCGCATGTTCCTTACAGTGAAAAGTCATTATAACGTCACCAGTTTCCTTTCCTGGGTATTCGTCTGACTCTTTCGTCAAAACTATGGATTCACCACTCTTAGAACCTTTCAATATTTCAAACTCCAATATTTTGGTTTCGTCTATAACTCTTTTACCGACACATTTTTTACATTTATCCTTGGACCGGTAAATTTTACCTATACCATGACAAGTTTCACATTCAATATAATCCTGAGTAACTAACCCAGGGCCAACCCTACGGATCTTACGAACTGTACCTTCACCCTCACAGACTCCACATTTCTTCATAGCTGCATTCTTTTTGGCCCCACTACCTTTACAATGGGTACATATAATATCTCTAGTTGAAGTAGTTCTAATTACCTTCCCTTTAAATAAATCTTCGAGTGTCACATCAACTTCTAATTCTGCATCCTTTGTACGAGGTTTAGATCTGCTTCTTCCAGGACCACCAGGTGGACCACCTGCTCCCCCCATGTTATTGAAGAAATTGTAGAAATCATTTGCAGAAAAATCTTGCTGTGCTCCTCCGTAAAAATCTTCAAATGGGTTACCATTGAAATCAAATCCTTCACCACCAGTTCTCCTTCCATCAGTAGTTCCATATGTATCGTACTCTTGACGTCTAGATTCGTCTATCAAGACTTCATAGGCATGAGATACTTCTTTAAATCTTATCTCAGATTGCTCTCTGTCTTCTTCCGTAGCCTTATCTGGATGATACTTTAATGCTAACTTCCTATACGCTTTCTTAATTTCTGCGTTCGATGCACTTACATCAACTTCTAAGATTTCATATAAATCCAGAGTCATATCTTTTTCAATTATTTCAACGTTATTTCAAGCCAGATTCTTTGGCAAAGTTTAACTTACGCTAAATAAATAACTTTATGTATAAGATTGTGTTGCCATCAAATGTATTACTAGCCATGTATGTGAGAAAATTTGGTAGCGGCTTCTTCGAATTCAAGTATATCCTGCATGTGGTCCTTTATGTTGCAATCTACTATTGGATCTACATAGGAACTATATGAGTCAACAGTTTTTATTCCAGATGACATAGGACATATACTTGTTACAATCGATGTAACCTATATCTCTTTCCTTATTATTTCGTTAAATAAGTCTTCATTTCAAACTTAAGGCATCTCAAACAAAATTGTGTATATAATTTTTTTGCAAGAAAACAGGTAGTTATGAAAACATACTGAATGCGATTAAGTTAAAGTATGATATATATGCTTGTTTAAGATATACCATCTGCAATACGTTGTTGGACCAATCTAGCTAAGAATCAGGTTAAAAAAAAGTGATTGATTCAAAAAAAAAATGGCGACACGAGCAGGGTTCGAACCTGCGCGGGCAGAGCCCAAAGGAACCTGCATCCTTCGCCTTAACCACTCGGCCATCGTATCGTCTAATGGCCTTTTCAGACAAAAGTAGGCTATATATACTAATTTTTCAATTCTAACTACCTATCATTTTTAATAATAAGAAAGAAAGCGGCCTAGGTTTAACTGGAATTGGCCTATGTGTTAAAGAATGTTTGATCAGAATTTTCCTGAATAATTTATTCCGTGGGTTAACATCCATTGGAAATCCGCTTCAGAATCATCGAAAGAAAGCAGCAACATAGAACTTAGTCTGGAAAGTCTATTTAGAATTTTAAACTATCAGCACAAAGACGCATTAAGTATAAGTTAGAAAAGGTTAATAATATATACATAGCAATACATAATATAATTATTTAATTTTACAAAATTTAATCATTTTAAGAATTTAATGCACTAATATGTAAATTGCACCAAAAAAATGTTGATCTCACTTTCTAGACGGTTTTTTAAGACAATCCTATTTAATTCAAAATTAATTAGCTCAATGTTAATATCTTAAAGTATTACATTTATTACTATTATCTGTTAATTATCCATTCAAAATGACTTATAAGAGTATGTTGAGGTATTTAGAAAGGCTACAATTTGCATGACATTACTAACTCACAGTTAACGATAAATTTCCAGTCAATATCGCGTTACAGTATATTCCATTTTCCAAAGATAAGGAGGAAATTATAGCATGTTCCAATCCAACAAGCTTCAACTTAGAAAAAGAACTTCCTGGGAAAAAAATTGTAATAACTTCAGCGATCGGAGCATTTACTCCTCCATGTACAGAAAATCACTTGCCCACATATTTGGTTAACATTAAAAAATTTAAGTCCAAGGGAGTTGACAAAATTATCGTTCTTACCGACAATGATCCGTTTGTTAATAGTGCTTGGGGCAAAGCATTGGGATATAAGGATGAGGAAAACTATGTAATTTTCGCAACTGATCCAAATGCTGAATTGTCGAAGAATTTGGGCAAAGAATTTATTGCGGACATGACCAAAGATGGTTTTGGTGTCAGAACAAGTAGGTATGCGGCTATTGTAGATAACGGGATAATCAAGTACTTGAAAAGTGAAAACGGTACCGGCTTTACTTCTACAACTAATGCTAATGACTTGCTTGAAAAGCTTAATTGAGAATCATTTATTTAATATTTATGAAATTATATGATATAAAATTGCTTCTGGGTGTTAGGCAATCTCTCCCACAATGTGAAAGAAGTATTGCTTAGGTATATACGGCCTATACTAATATATGACTTGACTTAAATGTATATTTGCTGCTTATTGTATATAGGAAAATGCGGGTAACGTATAGAATATTCAGGGGTTCAGAATCACCTGAATCGACCGACTCAAATGGACACTGTTTTCTAAGGACAAGTAGGCTATTTCCTTACAATTATACGCAGACTATATAATATAAAATGGTACGTTTGGCACACAATAAATAGCGTTTAAGGAGAATTAAACAGCATGGATTGATTGATTAATTGGAAAATTCACTAATTGAAGAATCCTATATTGATTACGATTCGCCTTAGCTCTAATGCTACGCAGAAGATACTAACGCATTTATAGTCCAGATCAGGGTATGTTGAAATGTTTTTAATTCCAACACATTAACATGAACCTCTACTAACATCAATTCTAGTGTTGCCGTTGCAGACGAATCATTAACTGCCTTCAATGATTTGAAGTTAGGTAAGAAGTACAAGTTTATTATTTTTGCTTTAAACGACCAAAAAACCGAAATTGTTGTTGAAGAAACCTCAACTAACACTGATTACGATGCATTCTTAGAAAAGTTACCAGAAAATGAATGTAAATACGCTATTTACGATTTTGAATACGAAATCGGTGGTGGTGAAGGTAAGAGATCCAAAATTGTGTTCTTCACATGGTCCCCTGATACCGCCCCAATCAAGTCTAAGATGATTTACGCCTCTTCAAAGGACGCTTTAAGAAGAGCATTGAACGGTGTTTCTTCTGATGTCCAAGGTACTGACTTTTCCGAAGTTGCCTATGAATCTGTTTTAGACAGAGTTAGTAAGGGTGCTGGTTCTCATTAAACGATTTATGTTAATTTATGATACAGCATAGTTCAGAACCTTTCTAGCTTCGCAATACTACTATATATCTCTATATAATGTACATTTATATACTAATAGGTTCGAATATTTGTAGGAGTAGCTTGGTCGTGTCTCATATTAATCTATGAGATTTTCGACACTTGCGGAATCAGGAATTTAAAAATTATTGTTTATGGGAAAGAGAGCAAAAAAACCTCCCCAAATAGAGTATAAGAAATCGTACCAAATCTAAGGGAAATAATTTATAGCCAGGCGGTGGAAATAATTTAGCATAAGTATCGATCTTCTAGGATGCCTCCAGCTAAGCTTCCAAGAGCTACATTAGAGCAAAAAATCCAGATTTTGGATTTTTACCATCGCTCGAACAGACCACAACTGGAAACGGTTGATAGATATAAAAATGAAATTTCAATTTCGACGTCATCGTTTAGTGAGTGGCTTAAGAATGAGGATGAGTTAAGAGATAGGCTAAACCAAGCGGGAACGCCGTTTTCAAAGAATAGCAGAAGGAAGGTTAAATTCAAATATGAAAAGATTAACCATGCCATGGACTTGCTCGTACAACAGAAATTAGAACGACATGAACCAATTAACGAGCCAATTTTGAGAGAATACTGGTCAATATATGCCCATCAGTTTGGGGTAGAGGACCCCAAGCGGTTGGTGGGGTTTAGTCATGGGTGGTTGAGTCAGTTCAAAAAGAGGCATGGTTTGAACAAGAAAAAGATGAGCGGGAACATAAGTTTAGCGAACGAAACGAATAGCACAGGAGCTAATAGCACAGTTGGACGTGAAGAGAATGGCCACTCCGAAGAAAGAGGTTCGATTAATGAAGACGTCTACGATTTGAATTTTACGAAGAATTCAACTAGCTCCAATAATGATACGTCTGATCCAGAGGACAACCCTACGGATGAATTTTCCTCGAATGCTACTAATTCTAATGGTACATATGATTTAATGAACCCACAACTGTCAGGTAATACCAGCACAAATAACAACAATCCCAATACCCAATTCCGCCAACAAGGAATGTCCTTCAATGACGGTGACTCAAATATCAACTTTTCGAATTATGCATTATACCAACAACAGGTCCCTCAGAGACAGGGACCTTACCAAATGAACGCAAACACAACGAGAAAGGATCAAGTTACAAATAACCAAGCATCGTTTGATTATCAGCAACAATTAAGAGCACATTATGAAAAACAGAAACAGCACTACGAACAGCAGCAACAGCAGCAACAGCAACAACAGCAACAACAGCAACAACAGCAACAACAACAACAACAACAGCAACAGCAACAACAACAGGTGCAAGCCCAAGTTCATGAAGCACAATCACAAGCAACTCAAGTTCAAGCAGCACAAGCCCAGGCACAGCAACAAAGACTTACCAGGTCGAATACGAGAAATATTAGTAGCTCGAATACTATTCCAAATGCCGTACCAAATCCATCAGCCCAACAGGAGCCAGAAGCAGGGCTGAACATAAATGCATCGGATATTGAACGGTTTATCTATATGTTTGCCGACAGATTTTTTCATGACCGTCAATACGAATATCCTCAAACGGTTAAGATTTTTCAAGAGTTCAAGAATTCATTCTTTAATGAAAGAATCATAAACTTGAAATCTATGCAGCAGCAAATGATGCAGCAGGCAGCTGTACAGCATCATGTTCAAGCACATCAACAGGCACAAAAGCAACAGCATCAACAAAACCATCAGCACCTGCAAATCTCCGGGATCGATGATTTCTTCTTACGAGCAGCGGCTGTCGCATCACAGGACCAACTAACTGATAATAACTCCAATCCACAAAGAGCACCTGATCCAATAAATGATTCAATGGGGAGATTACTGAGAAAGAGAGTTTTATCGAATAATTCAAGTAGTGTGCCTACGGAAACGGCTATTGAAAATAAGAGATGGGATAATGATAAAAATCTGCTAAACTAATACATGCAAGTCCACAGGGTATGAATGGCTAATTAAATATTTGTTCATACTACAGGCTTGATTATTGTTAAAAATAATCTATAAATTGTATAAAATGTATAATGTATTTTACTATGTATGTTCAAAATTGAATAGAGCCTTTCAGTTCTTATCGTATCCAAAACAGGCAACTAAACGCGAGAAGACAGATAGTTTTCAAAAACTATAAATGTGGAGATAAAGTACGAAGAAATACATATATTACAAATTAAATAATGTCATATTATGATTAAGATACTTTCAATTGGATTAGGAGGAGTTGGTGTGGTGACAAGCTATATTTTGCAAAATTTCAATCCTGAAGTTGAGATAACTGCAATTATTAGGTCAGACTACGACCATGTCATGAAGTCAGGGTATACCATTTCATCTATTGATTATGGAGGAAGAAGAGAAAATGATGATCCTAACGAGGCAGATAATACGATTAAGGGGTTTAGGCCTAAGAATATTGTTAAAAAATTAGCAGATGCTACCAAATTCGGACCTTTTGATTATATTGTAGTTGCAACCAAAGTTGTTCCAAAAGAAAAAGATAACGTATGGGAACAGGTTGAACAACTTCCAGGGTTATTAAAAGACAAGAAAGGGACATCAATCGTGCTTATTCAAAATGGAATCGACCCTGAAAGATTCTGGGAGGGATTGAAAGATAAGGCTATTTTTATTAGTGGCGTATCATATATCAGTTCTGTGAATCATAAAGGAACAGTTACCCAATATGGACACGATGATAACAATTTTGGATTGATTTATGAGAACGATAATCCAGAATCACTTGAGGAATTCTTGGGATTGTATACCAATGACTTTAATAGTGTAGGCCTTGACTCAAATGTTAGATTGACTAGGTGGAAAAAATTACTTTACAACGCTTCTTTCAACACAGTCTGCTGCCTTACAGATATGGATATAGGAAAAATTTTTGATCTCAAGGATAGCATGGGAATAATAGATAACCTAGTTCGTCCATTAATGAAGGAAATTCAATATGTTGCAAATTATGACCTTAAAAAGAATTACCCCAATCATAAAGATGAAAGTGTGACAGATGATGACGTTGGATTTATTATTACAGCTACCGAAGATACAGATGCTAAGAATAATTACCAACCTTCGATGTTGGTCGATTCTCGAAATGGTAGAAATATTGAGCTTGAAGTTATTTTAGGAAATGTGATTAAGATTCATAAACTGAATACGAATGGGGATATGAAGTCAGAAATCCCTTACTTAAATATGATGTACTATCTTTTATCTTTGGTACAATATCGTTTGAGTGACAATCAAAAGAATTCAAAATAATGGAGTTTTATTTATAAATAGTGTTATAATTTTACCATAAGTTATATATTAACACGAATATATGAATAATTACTGTACAAGAAGATTATCATCGATTGACCCGTATTTTCAACGATAGGGTCGTCTATCAACGGTATATATTGAAACGTGTAATTTTAGCAGGCCTTGAAAGTATCAAGTTATAGTCTCTGATACATCGTGGAACTTAGATATTTCCACTGTAACTTTCGGTTTCACTTCAGAATCGTTTTTATCACAATTTGCACAATTCTTACATTTGTTTATACCATCTTCTATTATTATTTCATTTCTTTGATTACAAGGTTCTTTCTCATTATCCTCGTATTGCGTTTGAAAGTGTTTTCTGGCCGTAACTATACGTTTTGCTAATTTATGGTTACCCCTCCGTTCAGAATCCGAATTCGCTTTACTACTGATATTGGCATTGGCATTTGTGACACCAGAACCGACATTTAATTCCATTTTGTAGATTCTTTAAGGATAATTCACTTCGTTTAAATCCTTATATATGAGAAGAATATTAGGATAGAAAGTTGAAAAAGGCTTTTAAAATTTGTTGTTTTCAGGAACTAAACAAGTGAACTGAGAAGTGGTTCCACTTTTCCATTCGCAGCTAATGCGGTGGCCGACTCGATTTAGTATGAGACCGAGATTTTACGTAATGAATAGTATAAAATGCTTGAGTGAGCTCTATTATATAAATAGTCTATATATCGTCTAATTCGTAATCTAGAGATTATGATTTTGGTTTGTACATCTCAAACCAATAATCAATATACCAATAGCAATTGATAAAAATTTGTATTTTAAACCATCATCAACGGATTCATTTCTTGCGTGTGATTTCTTTGGTTTATTGTAATTACCTGTAATAAGATATTTCAATTGATTAAAAATAGGAGGGCTTGCAACCTCTTCTGACATTGTTGAATCAGCTGAAATATCTTCCCAATTATCATCCTCTTCTGTGTAATTTTCATGGCAATCACCGTCATCTTCATCATAACCATAATATGACGTATTAAACGATGAATCATAATCATTATTCCTGAATATTTGAGATTTATATTTTTTAACACCATGGTTGTCTTTTGGAGCAAATATTTCATCATCCTCTAAATCGTCAGTCTCGAAGCTATTAGATAATACTCTTTTACTGAATTTGTCATTATGCTTCATAAAGCCATAATCATCTTCGTCATCCTTGTCAATACTATTAATAAAATCACTAGTAAATTTAAAACGATCTTCATCTTGTTCCGGTATTATCTTGAATGGTAATAAGCTTTTTGTCAAAATACCCACTACGTTATTATCATAATTATATTTTCTAGATAATATAGGGTTGACTGAGACGGACCTTAGAACTCGTTTCTTGTGAATTAGCAAGTCTCTTGATTTCTCAATCAATTTTGCATCTGAGTATTCTATCTTGCGATTGAAGTTTCTTAAACTTGTGGTAGACTGTTTATGTGATAATTTCTTAATGTTTTTCTTTTGCTTCTGCAACTCAAATCCAATGTAAGATAGCAATTTTTCATTATGCAATTTTAAGGAATGCAATTCGAACTTCAATTTCATAATCTCTTGTTTTGTCATATCGTTAGTCATAATGTTGTGATCAATGAGTAAGCTTGATTTGGAAGATCCTGTAGTATTTAACGAACTTCTATTTGAAGGAATGTTGTTGTAACCATTTAATTTATTAAACGTCGAATTTCTAACCGATTTACCATCGATATGTGCGATCGACTCAGGTAATTCTTCAATGCTTTCAAATTTATTATTGTTTTGAGATAATGTGGAGTTAGTATTACTATTGTAATATTTTTCAGGTCCCGAGGCGCTTCTTAAAGTCAGCTCAAGTGGTTCAAATTCCACCTTAATAGGTAAAATATCATGCGAATTGTATCGAGAATGATTCGGCTTCGAATTCGAATACCTTCTCTTAGTGGAGTTATTTATTGAATTATCCATATTAAAATATGATGTATTATTCGCAGTCAATTTCAATGGCGACAAAATAAAATCGTCATTTGAATCGAGATGGGAATTGTGCTTCAATGTAGCAGGTAATGATTGGCGTTTTAATTCTTTTGAATCTGGGTCAGGAGAAGCGGGAAACTTAAAGTTCAATTCAGGTTCCAAGATTGGAATCCTTTCTTTTTGGGTATTGTTATTAGGGAATACAAAATTGTTCGCAATTTTCAACGACTCATCCTGTTTGATTGGAGATGATGATGTAAATTGGCCATTCATATCATCTGCTAAATAACTTAGTATTTGTGAATCTTGATTTTCGTCAAGCTCCAAATCAGAATTATTTACGTCAGATTCATCACTTAGATTATTCATCGTGTGGGCATAGGTATCCATATGAATTACGCTATCAGCAAATTCGTGGCAGTGGTTTGATGCGTTTGAATTATCAAGCTTGCTATCATTCTTGTCAATATCATTTTCAGCATCCGGGTTCAATAAATCATTTTGCTTAGTTAAATACTCTATTTGATCAATAAGGACTAGTTTAGAGTTTTGTTCCAACTCGTAATTGCTCTGCAAAATCTTGAATTGCTTCAGTAACGTATTATATTTATCCAATAGTTCGTCATCAATTTTGTCAAATTGTTCCTCCTCAAGTCTCTTGCTATTCAATTCGTTAGTCATCTTGTTGATTTTCAACTGCAAATCATCAATTAGCTCTTTATAATAAAAGATCTCTTGTTCATATAACTCCTTGTTCTTATTGTGATCATTTTCAATATGCTTTAGTAAGGTCTCATACTTATTTATTGTGGCAGACTGCTCTCGATTCATCTGTACCTTGCATTGCAATTCTTGTTCAATCTGTTCATATTCACTCAACAAATTATTGTATTTTAACAACAAGTCGGCATATCCCCGTTCTAACTTATTATAGTTCTGTGTCAACGTAACCAACTTTTGTTGTCTAATTGGACTCACTTCGCCTTTACTGGGCGATCCAATATTTCCTTTGTTTTTGTTAGTCCCATTAAGCGAGTTTGTAGAATTCTTGCTACTCAATGGCCGAGTGGGAGTGCTGGGCTGAACATTCGCTATAACAGAGTTATCATTCTCTTTAGAATCATCCATAATTCCTTGATTATTTCTATGTTTACAGTCGGATCAACTGGAATCTACCTGTCTTTTGTATTCTAACTTAAGTTCAATGTTGGTTAAAAGAGCGTAATATAGTTGGTATGGACTTGTCAATCTTGTTTCTATCTGAGAACTGTAACAGCTCAATGTTCACTTCTTGTAAGAGTGTTTATTGGAACCGTTTATGGTCTTTGTTTTCTTTTTGTTGTTTTTTTTTGAGAATTAGTACCCAGATTACGTAATAAATGTAAACGAACTATTATGAAACATTATATTTCACTTACTTCCGCATTAAGAAATCTAAATATAACAGCAATGTTTCAGACATTACTTCCTGTTCAGGCAATCTACCAATAGCAGAGATAAGGAACCTCGCTTTACTCCGAGCTTGTTGTTTCTTGATGCAGTTCGAGAGGAGTCATTATCGCTAAGTTGATCCCAATCGGATTAGGTGGGATTATGCAAATGCAAGGTGTGTTCAACCCACATATATAATCGTCTCGAGTCAATTGCTTAAATTTAGCGTACTTGCTGGTAAAAGTGAAAAATTAGTTTAATTCTTATCCTGATTCTATACATAGTATATATAAAGTATAAGAAAAGCTGAATATCTTTACAGATACGATAACGAAACAACAGCATATTCATATAACAAAAATCCAAGATTACACATATTAACATTTTTCTTTAGTATACTATTACACTAGTTTATTTAATATGGTTAAGGTTTTATCGCAAAAAGAATTTCAGGAGCAAATTGTTACCCAATACACGGATGTAATTGGAGAAAAGTTAGGTGGTAAGGTGTTGAAATTTTCAGATGAATGGTTCGCGGAAGCAGCCAACTTGATCAAACCCAAGGCACCAATTTTTGATGCTAACAAGTTTGTTCCGGCAGGAAAGTGGTACGATGGATGGGAAACACGCAGACACAACGTCGAAGAAGCGGATTACGTTATAATCAAGATGGGAGTGGCATCTGCAAAATTGATAGGATGCGAAATCGACACTGCATTCTTCAACGGTAACCATGCTCCACATATTTCTGTAGAGGCCGTTTCATTGAACGATGATGATAGCATTGAGTCGCTTCCTGATTCCAAATGGGAATCTGTGATTGAGAAAACTGAATGTGGACCTTCGCAGAAGCACTTTTTTGTTAGAGATGCGCTCACCAAGACCAATTATACCCATGCCAGATTGAGAATGTATCCAGATGGAGGAATTGCGAGGTTCAGATTGTACGGGTCTGTTGTTCCAATCCTTCCTACTGACTCTTCAACTGTTTTGGATATGGCATCAGTCCTTAATGGTGGTGTTGCCATTGACAGATCTGATCAGCACTTTGGAACTGCCGATAATTTGTTGTTGCCCGGAAGAGGACATGACATGTCTGATGGTTGGGAAACAAAGAGATCGAGAGAACCGGGTCATGTAGATTGGGTAGTCATTAGGTTGGGTGCTTCAACGAAGATCAGCAGTGTTCTTGTTGATACTCTTCACTTTAGAGGTAACTTCCCCCAAAAGATTAATGTAAAGGCCATAAAGGTTACCAATGATAAGGATGTACCAAGCTTTGACAGTGATAAATGGGACTTGTTGGTTGATGATTCAAAGACAGGACCAGATAAAGAACTCGAATTCAAGGTAACTGGAGATAAAGTTTACTCACATGTTTTGTTTACTATTATTCCAGACGGTGGTGTTAAAAGAGTAAGAGTATTTGGGAATATCGTTTCGAACTAAATAATACAGAGATTGTTCGCCTTGCACGTCATATAGCTTATGCTTACCAAAACAAAAAATAAAATAAAACTGTAAACTAATCAAGAGGAATATATATCATAAATATGAATATAATCATCGCCAATTTAGCCTGTAGACCGAAATAAATCCAATAATCAGAAAGCTGCGTAAAGTTATACAAGATTTTGATGAGCTTCGCAGCATAAAATTTAAATTCGCATCTAAACTCATTTCAGTAGTTAAGGTAAGAACCTTTTCTTCACATACCAATGTCAAGAACAATAACGTATTCAAAGTTGGTGTCATGTTTAAACCAGAGAGTACCGATATTTGATTTTATGAATCCTCCAAATGATATTTCAGGAATTTTAGATGATGAAATCCAGTATAGACTATTGCCCCAATTAATAGCATTAATAGCTATCAATCCATACTATATCAAATTCTTCCTAAAAAAATATATTCATACGTTAGAATCATCAAATAATGAAGTGGTGGAAGATATCTATGAATTATATTGCAGTGAAGCTATTTTAAACGCTGTCGAAATGAGCCCAAATGAAGCTGACACTATTCTGTATCCTATAGGTGGTTTCAAGAATGAAATTGTACCAAATAATGGATTGGTAGTAATTAAGGAGACTCCAAAGGTGATTTCGGGCAATGGTACTACAGGATTAAGGACATGGGAAGCAGCTCTATACTTAGCAAACTATTTGAATTCTAACCCAATAGAATTTAAAAACAAAAGTATCTGTGAATTAGGTACCGGTACCGGGTTAGTAGGGATAGCATTAGCTAAGTACTATCATAATGAGATTTACCCTATACGTGAAATCATATTCACGGATGGTGACGCATCTCTAATTGAAAACTTGAGTAAGACTTTCCAACTTAATGGTTTGGTAATTGACTCTAGAATTAAGACACAACAGCTACTTTGGGGAACAACGAATCCAAACAATTCAGATTTTATCCAGGCCCCCCCTTCAGCTGACTACGTTGTTGCTGCTGACGTTACATACGACTCTTCAATTCTTCCACAGTTAAGCTCGACAATCAACGACTTTTTTAATAATGGTACGAAAATGGCTATTATTGCTGCAACTGTGAGAAACGAAGAGACTTTGGAAGACTGGGAAGAGGAATTACAGAAATGGTTTGCAGGAAACTTCAGAGTTATAGAAAAATGTGATCAACCGGCGTTGATTGAAAGTAATTGTTGGTTCAAGTACACCACGCCAGAAATAAGAATTTATGAAATTACTCCACATTAATACGATACACACAACTCACAACAACTACTTCAGGCGTTAATAGAACCTCTTATAGATAGCTTAGAAATAGATATTCACTCTTACTAGTAATGTAAGAAATATATTTCGTGCACATACCAATAAATCTTCATTAGTTTTAATTGGACAAAACGAGACAACCGAGTCCCGAACAAAATTGAAATACTACTGAAGTTGAATTACAAGTTTTGTAAATTAATTATATATATATAATATTAACATATCTTATATAATGCCTCCAAGATTCCCAACCCCTGTCTTCAAGCATTACTGGCCATTTGCTGCTGGTGGTATGTATCGTTTTTTATATTGAAGAAGAGATTGATTAAGAATTTTCACTGATGTCCGACGTGTTTCCACACTTTCCATTATAGAGCCCGACACAATATTTAATCTGAGTTATGATGAACAATGCATTGGAATATTACGATTTGTTGGGATTGAATTTGGTTTTTCATTTTTCATAGACATATGAAATTGACTGGAATCATTTGGAATAAATTTACCTATTATTATGAGGAAATGGAAAAATATAGACCAATAATTGGGAAAAAGCCTAGAGATTAATGCACAAGGAAGTTGAATTATTAAAATGCAATTAAAGAACGTTATATGGTAAAAATTCAAACATCTGGCAATGCAAACACGGACTAATTTTTTGATAATAGAAATTGATTTCGTTGAAATAAGTAACCATATTCAGAACATATTACTAACATGACATAGCCGGTATTACTTACTTTTTAATCTACAAAGCTAGTGTTGCATCAATGAACTCTGATGAATTTATTAACGATCCAAGACACCCAAGATTTGCTAGCGGTGGTAAATTCATTGATTTGGATAAAGCCAATTAATTTATACAGCAAATGATTGAATTTTATCCCATTTAATAATTAAAATGCATTTGAAACGACGTTTGGTGCTTAAAAATTATATAACATTATGAATATATATATTTAGATTATTTGTTGTAGTATTCTTTGAACGTATTGGAAAAGGTCTATTGAACCATGCTTCAGGTAAGGGGAAAGGTGAGTTGATATGGGGTATCTGGACCTTGTGACCTAAATAGACTCTCCGATCTAACTTAATTGAAGAGATCTGGACCACCGGCAACATGTAGCAGATCTGGAATGACTATAAGCTTACATTTTTTAAGGTTTTATTCTATTTTGCCCTTCAAAATTTCTATTTTTTTCAATTTTTTTTCATTATTTAGGGATCTACCTACATACCCTACTCTCTTGTTTATACTGTCGACAGTAGCAAGTAAATTAAAGGAACAATTGGTGGTTATTATCAAATATTTACTTATAAAGCTAAGAAAAAATGCGTGCATATAAGCAAAGCCCCTTTGTTCCTCACAAAATTTCAATGTTCAATTGTATGGGCGATTCAGAAGTTGTTTGTTAGTTAAGATACCATTTGAAGTTTAGGAAAATATATCGAATAAGTAGACAAGATGGATCTTTTAAAAGACGCCACTAAGAATCTTTCATTATACGAGGTCAAGGCTTACGTTCGTAAGGCCCAAAATGGTATGTATTCAATTGTTTTGCGATAGCTTAACTCGTGTTATCAAATGGAATATTAACGTTTATATTATAGTCGCTATGAATTTGACTGAAATGGAAGCTAAAGTTCGTGAAGCCACAAATAATGAACCATGGGGTGCTTCGTCGACTTTGATGCAACAAATTGCAGCTGGAACTTACAATTATAGAGAAAGGGAAGAGATCGTGAGCTTCATATTTCGTCGTTTCACCGAAAAAGCCGCTAATGAATGGAGGCAGATATACAAATCATTGCAATTATTAGAATATTTGATTAAAAATGGATCGGAAAGAATTATCGATGATGTGAGGGCGAACTTATCATTGATTCAAATGTTAAAATCATTCCACTACATCGATTCTAAGGGAAGAGATCAGGGGCTTAATGTTAGAAACAGATCTAAGACATTAATATCGTTGTTGAATGACGATGCATTAATTAGATCTGAACGTAAAAAGGCAAGAAATAATGCAAAGAAATTCGGCGGTGTGTCATCTGGTGCATTTGGTGGTGCAGCTTCAATTACACCCGGATCTAACCATGGTTACGATGATGACTACACGAACAAGGTTTATGGTGATGGTGGTGTTTATGGGGAAAGATATGAAGATCCGGCTGCACAATACAATAGCAATTCTAATGATAATTTTGAAGAATACGATGTTGAAACTTCAAAAAGTTCTTCTAAACCAACTACTGGGTCGTCAAAGGTTCATGCAACCGCATCTTCATCTTCCAAATCTAAGCCTCAACCTCAAGAGCCACCACAAGATTTATTGCAAGATTTAGTTACATTTGACGAGTCTAGCTCCTCTGCTAATGCAAAATCATCAGCTCCTGTTCAAGATGATGATGACGACTTTGATGATTTCCAAGCAGCCCCATCGCAACCGCAGAAACCTAATATTTCCAACAGCTTATCAAACTTATACCAACAACAGCCACAACAGCAAAGCTTTTTCCAACAACCACAACAGCAAAGCTTTTTCCAACAACCACAACAGCAACAAAACACAATGCAACAACCACAGCAACAGTTTAGTAATGGAGCTCCAAGCTATAATAATATAAACACATCGTCGAGTTCTGCAACTACTACTGGGCCTGCCAAATCATCGAACAACGATGCATTCTCATCTTTGTTTTCTTCTGCAAAATCAAAAAACAAGACTTCAAGTCCTTCTGTGAGCAGCTCTAAAAAAGAGCAGAATGCACCTGCTGCTACGAACACTACTAACGATGATGATTTCTTTGGTGATTTCAGCTCCAATAACACTTCAACTGCAAATGGAAATGGTGCGAACGCTAATAGTAGCAATAGTAATAATAATGCTAACAGCAACGGTGAAATTGATTTATTAAGTTTCTAGATAGCAATATTAGTTATTGAAGTATTTATGTATGTTTTATATTTAATTCGTCTCACCATTTTACTTTTAGTATTTTAGTATACCAGTTAATACACTATATTCTAAGGATTTCCACAAAACCTGTATATAAATATAGTACCATAAATTGGAAATTTTTCAAGGGTACTCTACAGCTGTTGAATAGCAAATAATAATTATTGAATCAAATATGAATTTCGCTAGACAAACCAGATTATTTTCCTCATCCGCAAGAAACTGGGGTACCAAGGTTTTCATAACACCTTCAATTGGAGGTGTTAAGCAATCTCCAATCAAGTTTGAATTATATGATGAAGTTGTTCCAAAGACTGCTGAAAACTTCAGAGCTTTATGTACCGGAGAAAAAGGATTTGGATATGCTAACTCTATCTTCCATAGAGTGATTCCAAACTTTATGTTGCAAGGTGGTGATTTTGAAACTGGTAAAGGTTACGGGGGAAGATCAATTTACGGGCAAAAATTCCCAGACGAAAACTTCCAAAAGAAACACGAAAAGCCAGGTTTATTGAGTATGGCTAATGCTGGACCAAATACTAATGGTTCTCAATTCTTCATCACAACTGTTCCATGTCCATGGTTAGATGGTGCTCACGTTGTTTTTGGTGAAGTCATTGAAGGTATGGAGACAGTCAAGAAAATTGAAGCTCAAGGTTCTGGTAGTGGTGCTCCACAATCTTCTATTGTCATCGAGGAATGTGGTGAACTTAAGGACAATTAAATAATATGTATTTAGGATATATTTAGTATACATAATAATAAATTATGTGAATAGTTAAATGCATTTAAAATATGTATATACCTAAACATGGAGAAGCTGTTCGGAGATAAAAAATATATACGTTCAACAAAAATAATAGAAACCAAATTATCAAGGAAATAACAAAAATAATGAATAAATTAACGTACTTGAAATTTTAAACTCTAGAAAGGTTTCTATAGTTTTATGAATTCGAATTAAATTTACCAACCAAATTCACTGTAATGGCAAGAAATTTAATCCCTAATTATATGGGAATGATTTATAAACCTATGAATTTAAAGATACTTAAATTTTAAGGTTTGCATGTGGTTCTTCTTTTGGAAGTAAGTCCTTTGGTAATTTCTTCTTTAATTGGGCTAATTTATCATAATCTCCACCTAAGATTCTGGCAACAACCAAATCATCTCTATCTCTGATTTCTCTTGTAGATTTACCTTCGTTACTTAAGAATTCCTTAGCCTTTTCGGTATCACCATGGAAATAATCTTCCATAGCTCTCAATCTTAATTCCTTTTCAGCCCATTCTGGACCATCGTTTTCTCTTCTAGCCATTTGCGCAGTGTATTTGGAGTAGGCAACGTAGGCGAATATTGGGAGAACCAAGTAGAAATATGGAAATTCCCATCCTTCAGCCTTTTCAGTTTCTCTGACAATTCTCCACTTTAATTCACCAGTGTTCTCATCTTTATATGGGATTTTATCAATGATTTTACCCGAATCTTTGGTAACAAATTGGAAGTTCTTTAAGTCTTGAGAGTTATCTTTGAACAAATCTAATTGTTCCTTTGGAATACCTGGAAGTATAAAATTCCATTCTGAATGGTTACGTTGGTAGTATAAATTTTGCAACTCAGAAATAGTTTTGAATTCTTGGTCAGTTGGAACTCTTGGGGTACCATCTGGGTTTGTATAAATCTTGGTAATTGATGATAATGAATCCAATTTACTACGAATATCTTGTTCTAAGGGATAATTGAATTTGCCAAACTTATGTTTGAATAAACCGTTTAACGGAAACTTCCAAGTTAATCTCATTATGGGATAGTATCTTTCAATTTAAAATACCACTGATATTGTCAGCTAAATCTTGATTTTAGTGTATAAAGTGTTTTCAGTTCATTTCTATTGGTTAGTTGATGAAAATTTATGGTTCGGTGTAACATGCAAAAAGCGCGAAATTTTCAAGATTTGGTTTACAGGTTACCATTCATTACAATATACATCCTACTATTATATGCTACAACTTATTAGTGAATGCTATGTTTGTTATTTTGTTGTGCAGTGACCCGAGTAATAGAAAAATGAAAGGCACTTCATTGTGATTTTTAAAATTTACAATTATGGTCGACTTTTCAATTCGATAAGGTCTTGCAACAACTGCTAATGCAATATTTGAATTAGTATCGTAGTATCTGATTATCGATATATAGCGGTTATTTCTTCGTCGAACCAAAATCACCAAAGCCCATCATAGAGGATAATTCATTATTAATTTGTTCACCTTTCTCTTTTCGTGCTACCTTATTCTGTTTTGCCTTCAGTCTCCTCTCCTTTCTCTTTTCTTGTTGTTTTCTTTCAAACTCCTGTCGCCTGAGTATTCTTTCCTTTATGTCTATCTTGTTGTTCCCGGAATTTTTCTCTTGTGTCAGTTTCGATATTAAAGACTCTAGAGTAAGCCTTACCTCGTCAACCGTAGCTCGCCTTACACTTCCATCTAATATTTCAGTTTCTTCACCATCATGCTTTGTTACCAATGACTGTGACCTTTGGACATGTAGTGGCGAATTTATGTGGTCTATCAATGCCAAATTATCCCGAAACGACAAATCGCAAATCAGACAGAAGAAACCAAATTTCTTATTTTTACCAAAAGAGCTAGTATTCAATGGATTTATAATAGTATGCTGGTTTACAGCCGATAACAGCTCATTGAGCAATTTATCTCTATGCGTTAGGTATGATAAAGGCTTATCTGAATTTATAGAAGATTTATTGACATTTGGTGTAGATGAGTTATTCTTTTTATATGACTTATTTTTTGCTTCTTTCGCATATGCATCAACATTCCAGGTTTTTCTTCCATACTGATCGAAGCTGATTTTATTATTATCTTTGTCTTGATGTTCTTCCATGGCAAAAAATTGAAAGTCGTAAGAACCGTTAAATTCATATCAAATTTATTTTTTTCTCAGTGAGTGAAGATAAAAAAGCATTAATGATATGCTACAAAAATATAGTGTACGGATACTCGTTCGATTTTTGATATAAAGTTAACTTATATTAAGAGTATATAAAGATATTGAAATGTGTAGGTCAGAAAATGATATTTAAATGAACATTGGTCTATATATTGGTATATAAATGAGTATCTCCTCGTGCATCACAACCTGATTCATTTGTTGTTCAGCAGAAAGAAGTTGATTCAAGAGTTGCAAATCAATAAACCATTTTCCATACCAGTATCATTATTATCATTATTACTATTCTCCTTCTTTATGTGACGATTGAAATTTCACAATTTGCAATCAATTTTTGAAACAAAGCAAAAACACTAGTTCATCGACAAAACTCCACAAAATAAAATCAGTGAATAGGCTATTGGATTCACATATACCTGTATTATCTTTTTTATTACATGCGAATCCTTTTATTTCGTACGTGATATTCAATCGTAGCGCAAGAATCATAGATTTCTACAAACTAATGGACATTTAGTTATGTACAGGTGTATATAAATAATTAATTCATGTCAACAACCTCGCTGAACCTGAATCAGCAGTGTAATAATTGACAACATCTGCAATTATGACATGTTAGGTAAAGATTGGGCTTCACTAAAAAAATCCAAACTCATGAGATACATTTTGAGAGCATTCTGAATGAATCGATAAATCCAACATTCTAGCTTAAGAAATGCTTCCAAAAATTTCACCGGTGACAAGACTAAATGCCCCAATTCTCTAACGTATCTCTACGGATAAAATGCCAAGTTGAAAAATAGTTAGAGGATCAAGAAGTGGAATAACCTCCCCACGTTTTAAATAGGAAGTACTCCCGCAGTGAATTTTCCGTCGGAAAAATATCTATATATGGAATCGGATCCGGAAACTAGTTTGTCAGTATTTGTGGATATAAAAGGTGGGCGATCCTGTAAATATACAATTTCATAAAGAGAATCAGCTAGATATTATCACATTGCACAACTATTACTAATGTCTGAATTTGATATTGAGAGCACATTAGCTCAATTAACGATCCAAGAAAAGATCGGTTTACTTGCTGGTATCGATTTCTGGCACACATTTGCTGTTGAAAGATTAAATATTCCTAGTCTTAGATTCAGCGATGGTCCAAACGGTTTAAGAGGAACTAAGTTTTTTGACAGTGTTCCATCTGCTTGTTTTCCCTGTGGAACAGCATTGGCTGCTACTTTTGATAAAGATTTATTATTCGAAGCTGGTCGTTTAATGGGAGACGAAGCAAAACACAAGGGTGCACATGTTGTATTAGGTCCAACAATTAATATTCAAAGAGGCCCATTAGGTGGAAGAGGTTTTGAATCTTTTAGTGAAGATGCGCATTTAACTGGACAAAGTGCAGCTTCGATCATTAATGGTATTCAAGATAAAGGGATAGCTGCTACAATCAAGCATTTTGTTTGTAATGACTTAGAAGACCAACGTAATTCTAGTAACTCTGTTCTTACTGAAAGAGCTTTGAGAGAAATTTATTTGGAACCATTTAGAATTGCCATCAAGCACTCCAACCCTGTTGCATTGATGACAGCTTATAATAAGGTGAACGGAGAACATGTTTCACAATCAGAAAGATTGATTCAAGATATTTTACGTAAGGAATGGGGCTGGGAAGGTACCACAATGTCTGACTGGTACGGTACTTATACTAGTAAAGAAGCCATTGAAAATGGCTTAGATATTGAAATGCCAGGTCCTTCCATATTTAGAAATACAACCGAAGTGGCTGCTATGGTTACCTCCAAGGAATTACACATCAAGAAGATTGATGAAAGAGTTAAAAATGTTCTTAAGTTAATCAAGTATGCACTTAAGTCTGGTATCCCTGGAAATGCTCCAGAAACTTCAAATGGTAACACACCTGAAACTGCAGCTCTTTTAAGAAAGATTGCACATGATTCGGTTGTTGTTCTTAAGAATGATGACAATATCTTACCCTTGAGTAAGGATGATAAAATTGCTGTCATTGGTCCAAATGCAAAGTATGCCGCCTATTGTGGTGGAGGATCTGCTGCATTGAGAGCCTATTATACTACTACCCCATTCGATTCTATTTCAAAAAAATTAAATAATGAGCCAGAATACACTATTGGTGCTTATGGTCATAGATTATTACCAGCATTAGGACCCCAATTGATTAATCCCAAAACAGGAAAGGCTGGGTACAATTTGAAATTCTACCTTGAGCCAAATTCTCCTTCGAAAAGAACATTAATAGATGAAAAAGATTTGGATTTATCACATATCTTTATGGTAGATTACTACAATGACAAAGTAAAGGATGACTTATTCTATATTGATTTCGACGGCCAGTTTACTCCAGAAGAAACGGCGGATTATGAATTTGGTCTCGCTGTACTTGGTACAGCACAATTGTTTGTTGATGATAAATTGGTCGTAGACAACAAGACAGTCCAAGAGAGAGGTAATTCCTTTTTTAATAGTGGTTCTAATGAAGTTAGAAATTCTATTTCTTTAGAGAAAGGTAAAACCTATTCGATTAGAATAGAGTTTGGATCAGCCCCTACATTTACCGCTCCTTCTTCCAATTCTGTTAGTTTTGGTGGCGGTGGTGGTATCAACTTGGGACTTGCCAGGGTGATCAACCCAGAAGAAGAAATTTCGAAGGCAGCTGAACTTGCTAAAAAGGTAGACAAGGTAGTCTTAAATATTGGCTTGAACCAAGAATGGGAATCTGAAGGATTTGACCGTCCAGACATGAAATTAACCGGTTACACCAATAAATTGGTTGAAGCAGTTTTGGATGCTAATCCAAATACTGTTATTGTTAACCAATCTGGAACTCCAGTTGAATTCCCATGGATAAAGAAAGCCAATACATTGGTTCAAGCTTGGTATGGTGGTAATGAAGGAGGAAACGGTATAGCTGATGTTTTATTCGGTGATGTAAACCCAAATGGTAAGTTATCTCTCTCATTCCCCGTGAAAAATGTTGACAACCCTACGTATCTTAACTTTAAGACTGAGAATGGTAGAGTTCTCTACGGTGAAGACATATTTGTTGGTTACAAATACTACGAAAAGCTTGAAAGAGAAGTTGCCTTCCCATTTGGATTTGGTTTATCATACACCAAATTTGATATTTCTGGTTTAAAAGTTGCCGTTTCTGAAAAAGATGATGCTTTAGAAGTTCATGTTAATGTTAAAAATACAGGCAAAGTCGACGGTTCAGAAGTAGTTCAAGTTTATATATCGAAGGATGAAAGTGATGTAATCAGACCCGTGAAAGAATTAAAAGGATTCGAGAAGGTAAACTTGAAGGCAGGTGCTACTTCAACAGTTTCATTAAAATTATCTTTGAAAGATTCTATTTCCTTCTTTGATGAGTACCAAGATGAGTGGTCGGTTGAAAAGGGTGCTTACACGGTTCACGTTGGTAACAGTAGTCGTGATATTGCTTCAACTTCATCTTTCAAGATTGAAAAAGACTTTTTATGGTCAGGCATGTAAGAAATACAGTTATATTTAGCGATTTAATACAAAAATATCTATTAGGTTATAAATTTGTCTGTAACTGACATCAAATATGTAATAACTAAGTAAATAGGAGTGTTCTTATATTGCAACCAGAAATTGGGTGTAATTCTTACGATATCTAATCGCGAATAATTTGAAGCGTCTATAAATTTGATATTTCAGTGATTGATGCAATAGATAAAATGGCTAATGATGATATTTTTTCAATGCTTAAAACAGGCCAAAATGCTGCTTCTAAAATAAGTAAAGCTAGAATATCAAGGCCTAAAGAGGCCGATATTTCAGGTAATTTACAACAAGTAAATCAAAGCATACTATCAAAAGACTTCAATCATAGATGGAGAATACACGGGACGCACTTAATAACTAATTTACCTAAACAACTAGATTTGGAAAACTATTATATAAGTAAAGAAAATGAAAAGATAATCAAAATTGCAGCATTTGACTTGGATGGGACGTTGGTGGATACCAAAACGGGTCAGAAGTTCGCTAGAGGAGCCGATGATTGGAGATGGTGGACTTCAAAGGAAAGAAACAAACTGAATGTCACCGATGAATTGAAGAAATTAGCAATTAATAAATATATCATTGTGGTCTTTACAAATCAAGGAGGAGTAGTGGCTACAAAGACCAGTAAATCATACTTAGCTTTTACGGGACGTGTTAATAACGTAGTCAAAGAATTAACCACAGAGGAAAAAGTTCCAGGAATATTTGTATATGCATCACCAAAGAAACCAGCTTCAAAAAATCAGAAAATTTCGGTGAGTTCAGATGAAGATCATGCAATAATGAGGAAACCAAATATCGGTATGTGGAATGAGCTTGTGAAATACTTTGAGAAACAGGGCTATAAAATAGATACAAGAAATAGCTTCTTCGTAGGGGATGCAGCTGGAAGACCCAAAGACTTCCTGGATAGCGATAAAATGTTCGCTGAAAAAATAAACATACAATTTAAGATTCCAGAGGAATTCTTTGGATAATTAAATGATTTTATATACAAAATATTAAACTAATAAATCACAGATTGTATTATTAGATAAATTCTAATGAGATTTCTTGTAATTTGTCATCTAACTCGTCGTGCTTAGCGGTAATGACACTGGCCTTGTTTACAGTTTCGAAGTAGCCAACAACGTTGTTAATTAATCTTGCTTTTTCATCACCTTTATTCTTTTTTAATTCATTAAGCATGTCATAATGAAGTACTATACACTTCTGAATGTCGGATATGTCATTCTCGAATTTAATGGCCTCGTCGGTAGTTTGAGGATAATTCTTAATGACAAAATTAGTATCAAACGTTCCCTTTCTTGTATTCAAGTAAAATTTGATATCATCTTTGATCAATGCCGTGACCAAACCTTTTGGTAATTGCTTACCTTCTTGCTTTAAATCTTGCAACAAATAAGAGTAATGTCTGGATTCGTCTTCTCTTTCACGTTTAATGAGTTCTTCCGGATCGATAACTCTCACTTCTTTATCTCCAAGTTTTTCAGCAATTTTGGTAATAAACTCGTTCTGATGAACGTATGGAACAACGTAGAACTTATATTTTTCTGCATCTTTGGTGGAGATTAACTTACTACGTCTCTTTAATCCGCTTGTGATCTCATATTCTTCAAATTCCTTCTCTGTAAAACTGTTCTTGGTCTTTTTTTTGTCTAATCTATTTCCGGCAACGTATAGCACCCCCGAAGCAAAAATGAACATATAGAAGAGGAAACGTAATTTCGGTGGTTCGTTTTTTGCATTGGTCGAGTAAAATTGAGCTCTCAGAGGCATAAAAGGCGATGGTTTTAAATGAGTAATTGGTATACGAGCATTGCGCATACCACGGATACTATTTTTAAACAACTGACTTGATCTAAACATCTTTGTATCTGCTAACAATTGCAGAAAGAAGGGTGTAGGCCTTAGCATCCGGGATTTTTCAGCTATTTCCCAGGACCACTGACCACCAATACTGCACGTGACCATTCCATAAATTTTTCAGACTAAAAATTATATCAAATCGACAAGAACTGGTATACGGTAAAACAAATTAGCAATTAATAGTAATGTCGTTGGTTCATTTAGCTAATTTCTGCAGTCATATTAAGAACGTTACTAACGTTCATGTTGCTACCACCTCGGTGCCATTTAGCCGTTTACATTTACAAGTTGCATTAGGATTATATAAGGAAGGCTTTATATCTTCTATTCAAAAAGGTTCAACCACGGGCCCTGATTTAAAACCAGTTGAAGTTACACCAGACAATATATCCACTCGTCGTTTGTGGTTGGGGTTAAAATACCGTAACAATCAGTCGGTAATTAGAGATTTTTCGTTGGTACTGAAGCCAGGCCGTAAAGTTAACTTAACTCCTACTGAAATCAAAGCTCTTGCATCTGGATTACCAGTCAGATTTATTAAGCCATTACAGCCAGCAGAATGTATTTTTGTAAGGACATCAGCAAACGAAGTTTTAGAAGTGCAAGAGGCTGCCAAGAAGGATTTGAAGGGAATGGTTTTATGTCGTATTAAATGATTAAATGAAATTAAAACTGTAGTGTGTACATAGTAATATTTAATTGTATAAATAGAATAGATATATTCGATATTGATATAACTATAAATGTAGACTTAGAGGGATATTTTTTGAGTGTTATTGGTCGCATTCCAAAGTCTCATATCCACTTGCCAGCCTTTCCACACCATGAGTTTCTCTCTGAAGTCGTCAGTGTGCGAGAAGCTAGCGAAGTTTTGTTGAGATACTGAAGCATAGTCGTTTTGAGTGAAAACAGGCTTTGCAGGCTTGATTTGTTGTTTCTGTGGAGAGCCTTTTGTGACTTCGGACGTCGATGTAGACTGGGGAGCATTTTTTAATTGGCTTTCTAATTCGACAATTCTATCTTGCAAATCCATACGTGACAATTTTAGATCCGTGTTTTCATCTCTCAACTTCTTAATGGTTGATTTTTGTTGTTCGATTGTATCTTTTAATGAAGCAATTTCATCGTCTCCAGCAACGCTAGCCACCAGATCTATCCTATCATCAGTCAATTGTGCTTCTTCTGCTTCATTCTTAATCTTTGTCTTTTCATCATTTCCATTTTCTTTTTTATCATTACTTGGAGCTTCAGTACCGATATCAACGGCTTCATCTTGCACTTCTTCTGTACTTGTCTCCTTTTTACTACTATCCGTATCTTTATTGGCTACAGGATCTTCTTTGGAATCTTCGATTTCTTGACTATCCTTCACGCTTTCCACTTTCAGTTCACTTTCCTGAGCGTCATTAGCTGTCAGCTCATCGTTCGTATCATCTTTCAGTTCAACTTTCACATCATCTGCTGTTTTTAGTTCACTATTCGCATCCTCTTTCGCAACATCTTCAACTTTGCTCTCATCTTTTGCAGTATCCAGCTTGTTCTCTTCAGATTTCTCTGGCTCTTTACTAGCAGCTTCCTCGTCTTGTTTCTTATCTTCTTTCTTCGATTCGTCACCATCTACTTTTTTAGTTTCACTATCAGTCTGAGTATCATTTGTGACATCCTTGCTATCGGTTTCATCATTTTCCGCCGTATCTTCTTCCTTATCTTCCTTTCCCTTCTTTGATTTCTTCTTGGACTTCTTTTTCTTCTTCTTCAATTCCTCGAATTTCTTACGAGCTGCTTCCAATCTTTCTTCCTTGGATAATTCCTGTTCGTCGCCGCTTAATACAGCAGCATCTTGCTCAGTATTAGGAGATGACATATTCTTACTGTAGATAATGATAAGTCTAAGTCTAGTAGTACGTGATCAGTTCGAAAATCAACACAGATAATATGATCACGTGAAAACGTTTACTAAGTTTGTGTCACTATCAGAATCATAGTGATAGTTCATCCATAGATGAGTTCAGGGAACATAGTTCAACAGAGTAGACTACTACATTATTGAAAATTGGTAATAATACCTACTGAATGTCTAAAACAGAATGCATGGTTGAATCTACAACAGGATTTAATGGGGAGGACGTTTCGCTCAGGTCATTGACAAAAGAGGGTAAGCTGTTCAACAATATTGCAGGAAATGGAGATGTAAAAACAGGAACAAGGAGTACGGCCTATGATACGGGAGAAGAGATAAGCCAGATCATACACAGACCGAAATACAAGCTGAAAAAGTCAGAGCTTAGTACCAATGAGTCCACCGCACTCATGTATGCTTCGGAAGCTAATCCAGATGATTTTCCAGATGGAGGACTAGCGGCGTATTTAGTATTATTTGGGTCGTTTATGGGGCTAATTGCTGATTTTGGTATTGCCAATTCGCTTGGTGCTATTCAGAGTTATGTTACTAGCCACCAGTTGGAAAACGTTAGTGAATCTACGGCATCTTGGGTGTTCAGTATGCATTTAGGGGTTATGTATTTTGGAAATGTCATATTCGGATCGTTATTTGATAAATTTGGTGCTAGAAAGTTGCTAATTGCTGGTACTATTGTGATGTGTGGAGGATTATTTTGTACCGCAGAATCAACCACAGTTGTCCAGTTCATATTGTCATTTGGTATTACCACTGCAATAGGAACATCTTTAGCAATGCCTGCTTTGATTGCTGTTGTAACACATTGGTTCTTGAGACGCAGAGCTATGGCATGTCTGATAGCCACAATTGGGGGTTTGGTCGGTGCGTCATGTATTGCAGTTATGTTGCAAAATTTATACGTTGAAGTCGGATTTAAATGGGCTATTCGGATATTGTCATTCTTTTGTATGGCATGTATGTGTGTTTCCATTATTTTTGTGAAGGAAAGAAAGTCAGAACCAAGCTTACAGAATGGACTGACGGACGTCCAAATTCATACAGACACCGAAACATCCAAGAACCATAAGATTGCTTATAGAGTCACCCAGTTTTTTGATGGTATTTTTGACTTTTCAATGTTCAAAGACATCAGATTTATTTTGTTGACTATGGCTGTGTTCTTTTCCGAGATTGTGTCTCTTTCTACTCTTACATACTTGACATCCTATGCTATTGCTTATGATGTTTCTGACTCATCTGCATACTTGTTAATTACACTTGTCAACGTTTGTGGCATTCCAGCAAGACTTGTTCTGGGAATCATTGCTGATTACTACGGCAGGTTCAATGTAATGGTTGCCAGTTCCATATTAACCACCATCACTATCTTTGGTCTCTGGCTACCAGCAAAAGGGAATATGAGCCTACTTTATGCCTTCAGTATTTTATTCGGAGTGGTTACTTCTGCAAACATAAGTCTCATCGGCCCTACCATCGGCCAGATTACATCTGCGGAAAAATTTGGTCAGTGCTATGGTATGTGCTATTTCTGCTTGTCATTCCTTACCATTTTGGGGATGCTTTTTTCCTCGTTAGTCATAGGCTCTGGAACATTAGTCGAGTACAGGAACTTCATATTCTATGAAGGCGGGATTTCTATTGGATCTGTGATATTCTGGATTTTGGCCCGTTATTCTGGCGTTGGGTGGAATTGGTGCAAATTTTAAAACCACCCTATCGGTTTGTAATGGAGTTCATTTCAGCTTCCAAACGGCTCACTCTTCTCGCATGATTACTAGCCAATTATAGATGGTTTATTTGAGATAATGCTAGTAGCGAAACCCTAAGAACATACCGGTTTAAACCAACTAAGCAGCACGATGAAAATAGAATTTCGGAGGCACCCCCTCCACTAGTTTTTTTCGGCCCGACTGCATGCTCGGTGTTTAGTTGTTTAAAAGCGTTTTAATCACAGGGTATCCCAACGTTCAGTCGATACCAGCTTCTGGCATATGCGTTATATATTCAGGCTACTTATAGATTATGCATATTGTTTTCTGCAATTCGCATGTTACAGTCATGTGGGTACCTCTAAGGTATGTTAAATTTGCGAGATTCACCGACTAATTGGCCTATGAAGCTCAATCATTTAACCTTCATGATAAAAAAATTATGCGTATTCTTTGTGGTTGACGTAGATACGAAAGATCCCAAGTCATATTTTGACATACATGGCTCGGATTTGGTGTCGTACATTATATTTATTTTAATTTTGATTTGTATATTGTATTGCAACATTTCATGCATTATGACTCTTCTTGATAAGCATCGCAGTTTCAAAACCGATTATATACCGTAATAGATACTGAACACATATACAAATCACGTGAATAATACATAAAGTAAACCGGAGAATAACCCGCATGAATCAAGGAATTTTTGATATATCCGACTCTGAAGGATTCAGCGAAAAACTACCTTGATGGTTTTTTTCCATATCAAAGGAAGGTATAGAAGTTTTAGTACAAAATTTTCAAAAAGTATTATATTAAGGAATTTTAAACCAATTTTTATTAGAAGTATTCAGCGTGGACTGCATCAGACATACCTAATACGAGATTCCTTGGTGGTTATTGCATAAAAAAGGATTTTCAGAAGATATTTATTAACATTAATAAGTATACTTAAGGATTGTATTATAAAAGGAGAATTATAACCGAGTAATTGACAAATTTTGGCATAGAATCATAAATATTACTTCATTGTTTCGAGTAAGTACAAACAAATTTGTGTAAACAATAAATAAAACAAGATGCAAAGGTTTATTGATGATCTTTTAGTGAAGAGAGAAACATGCCCGGTTGATAATGAATACGACGGACAAAAAATGGGAGCTAGAATCTCAGCCGTTTTTGTTATTCTAGTTGGTTCAGCATTTGGGGCTTTTTTCCCTATCTTATCTTCGAGATACTCATTTATTCGTTTACCTTCATGGTGTTTCTTCATAGCTAAGTATTTTGGGTCAGGAGTTATTGTGGCTACGGCTTTCATCCACTTATTGGAGCCTGCCAGTGATTCTTTGGGGGAAGAATGTCTTGGAGGAACATTCGTTGAGTATCCATGGGCATTTGGTATTGCTTTGATGTCGTTGTTTGCTATGTTTTTTATTGAGTTAATCTCGTTTCACTACGTTGACATGAAAATCGAAAAAGAATCCTCAGATGGCCACTCACACTCACATTTTGGCTCCTCAGATATGTATCTTAAAAAAGACGAATCAGATGAAGAAGAAGAGATTGAAAACAAACCAACACCACAAGTTAATCCATACCCTCAACATTTCCAACATGCTGCAGAACACCAAGACCCAGAAGTTCTTGGAACACCAGTTGAAGACGTAAACAAGGAGCAATATTATGGTCAATTACTTTCCGTTTTCATTTTGGAATTCGGTATTCTTTTCCATTCTGCATTTACCGGGTTAGCCTTAGCTGTTGCAGGGGATGAATTTGTTTCCTTATATATTGTATTGGTCTTTCACCAAATGTTCGAAGGTTTAGGTTTAGGTGCAAGAATTGCTACGATCGACTGGCCAAAGAAAAGAAGATGGACCCCATGGTTTTTAGCTCTTGCTTACACTTTAACCACCCCAATTGCCATTTCCATTGGTCTTGGTGTAAGAACTTCGTATCCTCCTGGGTCAAGAAAAGCATTAATTACAAACGGTGTTTGTGACTCCATTGCTGCTGGTATTTTGTTCTACAGTGGTATCGTCGAATTAATGGCTCATGAATTCTTATATTCTAATCAATTTAAAGGTCCTAATGGATTTAGAAACATTATGGCAGCATTCATGGTTATGTGTTTGGGTGCTGGTTTAATGGCATTATTAGGAAAGTGGGCTTAGGCTCTTTATAGATATACATTCGTATTAATAGATTAATAAATACATATATAATTGAAGTAATTAAAATGTCGCGTATAAATTTCGAAAATGCGACATCCCACGTACTTTACGACACATCAACTCCCGACGATTATTTAGGGAGAATAGTAATAACAAGTACTCTACCAACAACCTAATAACAAGGCTGCGAGATAAAATAAACTTGACTATGGCCGAAGCAGAAAACATAACCCCTCCTTCCTCCGCTACACCAAATGACTATATCGAAAGTCTAACTCCTGAGCAAGTTGAACACGACCAGAAAATCGGTATCAAGGCGATTAGATTGTTTTTGCAGAGCAAAACATCGTACGACGTGTTACCAGTTAGTTATAGATTAATAGTCTTAGATACGTCATTGTTGGTTAAAAAGTCATTGAATATCTTGTTACAGAACAACATTGTATCAGCTCCTTTGTGGAACAACAAGACGTCAAGATTTGCAGGATTGTTAACTTCGTCCGACTTTATCAATGTTATCCAATACTACTTTCAATTCCCTGAAAAATTCGATCTTGTGGACCAGTTAACATTGAACGGATTAAGAGATATCGAAAAAGCTATTGGGGTGGACCAAATCGAAACGGCGTCCATCCATCCATTTAAGTCGTTATACGAAGCATGTGTTAAAATGATAGACTCCAAGGCAAGAAGAATTCCATTGATTGATGAGGATGAAAAAACTCATAGAGAAATTGTTGTTTCTGTTTTAACCCAGTACAGAATTTTGAAGTTCGTTGCATTAAATTGTAAGGAAACTAAGATGTTACTAAAGCCAATTAAGAATTTACAAGGATTAGGAACTATCAAGGATATAGCGACCTGTACGATGGATACACCTGTTATTGATGTCATTCATTTATTAACCCAAAAATCAGTATCTTCTGTTCCAATAGTGGATGAACAAGGTAAATTGATCAACGTTTATGAAGCTGTTGATGTGTTGGGATTAGTTAAAGGTGGTATATACAATGATTTGGTTTTAAGCGTGGGTGATGCATTATTGAGAAGACCCGAGGATTTTGAAGGTGTTCATACTTGTACTTTGAATGATAGATTAAGTACCATAATGGACACGATTAGAAAGTCAAGACTACACAGATTATTTGTGGTAGACGATGAAGGTAAGTTAGTGTCTGTTATAACGCTAAGCGATATTTTAAACTACATTTTATTTGGTGAAGATTAGTTCTTCATCATATACCTTCATGCATTACGATTTGTTAATTTTTAATTCATTATGTATTCATTAATATAGTAACTTCATATAACCTTTAAACTACCATTGTACTTGTAAAGTCATATAGTGAAGTGGTGGGGGAGATAACGACCCAAAATTTCGAGTCGTACGAGCATCGAAATGTTATCGAGATTATTGACCATTAGTAATATACTTTCTTCGACATAGATAAACATCATATATTATTTAATTGGCTTCCTATTGTATTAATATAGAAGAAAACACATGGATATATAAGTCTATTTTGTTACGTGGTACTAAATATAAGAAAGGCCACTATGCTTGAGGATACTGGTGAAAATTTTGATCACACTGGGCAAGATGAATTCGAGGACAATAGGATGATACCATGGTCAAAGAAAGTTAACTTACCACAAACAACATATAGAGCAACATTAGTTGGGTTATTTATTGGATCTATAGTCTTAATTTCTAATTTCCAATTTGGCTTACAAACTGGCTGGGTTTCTATGATGTCCTTACCTTCCGCACTATTGGGGTTTGCTATTTTCAAGATGTCTCCATATTCTAGAACATTCACGGACACAGAAAATGTTTTCGTCCAAAGTGTTGCTGTTGCAGTAGGGACAGGACCCCTAGCATATGGATTAATAGGAATTATACCTGCGATTGAAAAGTTCTTAACAGAAGAAGAATCGGGATTGGGAATCAAGTTGCAATTATCTTTATCACAATTAATGATATGGTCTACAGGCTTAGCATTGTTTGGTGTTTTTTTTGCTGTTCCTTTAAGAAAGCAAGTTATAATAAACGAAAAATTACCATTCCCATCAGGAAGTGCTACTGCGACTTTGATATCAGTATTGCATGGAACGGAAGTGTACAATGAAGATAAGATACTTATGGAGAACGAAGCTATTGATAATTCTAAACAAGTTGACGCACCCGAAGCTCTTGTAAACTCCTCGGGAAATATTATGAATACTGTGACGACATCTGATGAACTAAAGAAATTGATTGACGAGGAATCTTATAAATCGAACGTCAATTCCCTATTATACACATTTTCAGTATCAGCAATATATACATTGCTAACATATTTCGTTCCTATATTGAGAAACTTGCCAATATTTGGTTCATATCTTTCTAAGAATTATAAATGGAATTTCCAACCGTCGCCTGCATACATTGGACAGGGCATTATAATGGGGTTACCAACTGTTTCCTACATGCTATTTGGTGCTATACTAGGATGGGCTATATTAGCACCTCTTGCTAAATATAAAGGATGGGCACCTGGCGAAATTGACAACTGGGTCAGTGGAGGTCAAGGATGGATCTTATGGATCAGTTTAAGCGTCATGATAAGCGATTCAGTAGTTTCATTTATGGTAGTTACCTGTAAATCGTTGTCCAGTGGAATATCTAGTGCAAGGGAGTTTAACAGAAGAAGAAATCTTCATTATGAAGGAAATGTTGAAATGCAGCAGTCATTATTGGAGAATGAACAATCAGAGCTGGAGTCTTATGAAACGGGGAGCGATGATTACATGTCAGAATCCAGAATATCACCTTTGAACATACCCGAGGAGATTGACGTGGATCCGCAGCACCTAGTTAGTTCAAAGATAACCTTACTCGGTATAATAATTTCTTCTGTCGTTTGTATTGTTGCTGTCAGATTAGTATTTGGTTCTATTATTCCATATTACGCTACAATAGTTGCAATAATTTTGGCACTTTTTCTCTCTGTTATGGGCGTAAGAGCCCTCGGCGAAACTGACTTAAACCCAGTCAGTGGTATTGGCAAGCTTTCGCAATTACTTTTCGCATTGATTATTCCTTCGGATCATCCATCCAAAATTTTGATCAATTTGGTTGCAGGTGGGATTGCTGAAGCAGGAGCACAACAAGCGGGAGATTTAATGCAAGATTTGAAAACTGGTCATTTAATAGGAGCTTCACCTAAAGCCCAGTTTATTGCTCAGTTAATAGGAACGGTATATTCTGTATTTTTGAGCAGTGTGATGTATAAGGTGTATAACAAGGTTTATCAAATACCGAGTGATTTATTCAGAGTTCCAACGGCTGTTATCTGGATTGATTGCTCGAGATTAGTCACTGGTGATGGTTTGCCTCCAAAAGCATTTGAATTTTCTATTTTTTTTGGGCTTATTTTTGCAGTTATTTCTTTGGCTAAGAATATTATGCCAAGTACTTCAAAGCTTTACAAATATTTAGTTTACCTACCCAATGGAGTGGCAGTTGGTATTGGAATTTATAATACACCTAACTTTACAATTGCAAGATTTATTGGCGGTGTGCTAGCATACTGGTGGATTAATCACAAGCCTCAGTCACAAAGTGGTTCCGATAACAAGATTGGGATGATAATATTTAGTAGTGGTTTGGTTTTAGGAGAGGGCCTTTTGAGTGGATTTACTATGATATTGACAAGCCTAGGTGTTCATCATTTTTAGACGAATGTTATTGGAATGATATAGAGGGACGTATTACAGTAATCCTAAGTTTTACTAATTAGACTTATATTTACATAGTAGGGGAAGCAACCAAAAGTTAAATATATTAAAGAACTGACTTTGAAATTAAATCTTAAGTCTAGATATACATACACAGATTAAATACAAGTATCATATATTATTTTTCAATTAGCGTTTCTCTCCTTGTCAGCTCCAATTCTTTGATTAATCAAATAAATAGCCATTTGAATAGATTGTAATGAGCCAGTCAAAGTTAATTTTCTGATATTAGTTAAACCTTTTCCACCACCAAGCATAATAGATTGACGTTGGTCAGGCTCAATTTTCACATATGTACATCCACTATTTTCACGAATTTGCTTTATATTATTACCTCCTTTTCCGATAACCGAACCAATGTTGGCGTTTGCAACAAAAACATCTTCATTAAATTTATCAGAGCTAGAGCCGACCTGAACAGGAGGATTAGTTATTACATCACCTATCATATTATTACCATGCTCGTCTGTGTATTGATTCTGAGGTGGAAGAGTCATACTGGAGGTAGGAGCAGGAGTGGCAACATACTGATGTTGCGGATGAATTGATGGTTGAAACATCATTTGAAAATTATATGGTTGCTTAGGTTGTTGTGTATAAGGATTTGCATTATCTTTCATCGGAGCCATCCCTTGCATAGCTAAAGGATTAGCTCCACCCATTGCCATCATATTGGAATTCGAGGGCATCATGGGCATGTTTATCATATTATTATTCATATTATTATTCATATTAGTGTGATGGTAATTAGCAGGATTGTAGAACACTACTTTATTTTTCTTTAAGCAATCTTTATGTTCTATGACGACTTGTGAAATGTAATAGATTGCAATATGGATTGCATCACCCACTCCAGTTATTGATAATATTCTATCAGTGGAGTATGGCAATGGTTGTTCGGCAGCCTTTAACTTAGCAGCAGAATTTTCTTCTATTTCTCTGAATTTAACACCTTGTTTACCAATAATATAGCCGACCATTGGATGCGGAATCAACAATTTCAAATTGTATTGTCTACTAAGCATCGAGGCAGGCTCATCTTCTGGTTCTTCCAATATTGTTCTTGTTATTAACCCAAATGCTCGTGCTACATTTTCAGCCGGACCTCTAACCAGGACGATTCTTTCTGGTACGTTCTTTAAGTTTTCGCTAACGTTAATTCTCACATTTGCCTTATCTCTAATATGGTTGATTTTTTCTCCTTTTTTGCCCACAACAGTACTCGCTTCTTTCACAGGACAATACATTCTAAACATGACATACGTTGGGTCTCCTTCTTTCTCTCTATGATTCGAGACTGGCTTTGACGATGCGTCTGTTGTTGTTGAGACATCTTGGGCAAAACCTTCTTCTTCATTATTAGTCGTTTTAGGCGATTCCTCTGTCTCTTGCTTCTCTTCACTTGGTGTGGTAGATTCTCCTGTTATACCATTGATAACTGGTGCTGTATGTGCTACTTCTTGTTGTTTATCATTCAACGCCAATTGCTCACTATCCAATGCCACTCTTTTATTTAGTTGGTCATCGGATGAAGATTCCAAGTCCTCATTCTTACGCTTCAATATATTATTATTTTCCGACATCTTGACCAAATATTTATCTTGGATTAATTGATGAACTTGACGTATACATTGATAGTAATAAATAATTATCAATTCTGAATTGACTAACAAAATGAGTGAAGATTTTCCACATGCCATTTTGTGATACTTTTTTTATTTACTATTAACATAGATCAATACTATACAATACTATACAATAAACCGGCTGTGAAGTCGATGGGAAAGAAGTAAGTTATAATGACAGTTGCTGTTGTAACTGCCACTGCCTTTTGCGCTCTTCTTCTTTGGCCTTTTGGTAATGTTCATCTCTCTTGTCTTGAAGTCTTCCTAAGAATTCTTGCTTATCTAAATAACCACCCTTATTATGCATAGATAAGTCGTCCTTTAACTTTTTCTTATCAACGAAACTAGCCCAATCTAAACGAGACTTTTCCAATGTAGATAGCTTCTGTTTCTTGTTGCCATACGTCGATAAGAATTTGTCGATCAAGGATGGTCTCTTAAGCTTAATGCGAAGTTCTGTTGGCTCTGAAGTTCCTGGTATGGTTCGAATTACAGGCACAAAAGAACGTGTGACGGTTGAATTATCAGTCTTATTAGCTGTTATGCCTTTTGTAGAGTTGAAATACGCTTTCGCCTCCGCTGAATCCGCATCCACTAGTTTGGATTCCGTGATAACTTTTCCTGCAAATGTATACGATGATTCAATCTTTACCTTCTGTGGATTAAGAGAATTATCTTCCTGAGGTTTGTCGTCTGAAATGGTATTAGTATCATGCTTTGGGTTTCGATTATTACTCTCGTTCTGAGATTCTTCTTTTTCAATGGACGTTTTCCAGTCATCAGGCGTCCCACTCTTGCTCTTCCGTTGCAAGTCATTAAATATGGCATCAACATCTATATTTTGGCTAACATCATCCGTTTTTATTAACCCCTGCCTTATTTGATTGATTCCGGTGTTGGGTCCGTACTTCTCTTGGTGCCTTTGACTTCTTGTTTTAATGAGTCTGTCTTGGAGCGTAGCATTTTCTATAGAGGAATAGTCTGGTTGTGCTTCATGATCACTTTCTTCTTCACTGGCTTCTTTTTCCTCTTCAACTTTGGCTTCGGGGTCATAGTCTTCGTCTTCTTCTTCATCATATTCTTCATCTTCAATATCAGATTTCTTTACAGAACCTTCATCAATGGGCTGCTTTCCTTTGTTGGGTATTTCATTGGTACGTGCGGCCTTTTGTTTACTCATTTGTATAACTTTTACTGGTTTAATAGTAAGATAAACCGATATCTTTTGGTGCCATACTTCCAAAAGGCAGGATTTTTTTTGGGGGTGCGGTCTCGATTACACACCCACAGAATTAGAAAATGGAGTATATATATGTAAAGTATGTCTCTTTTTTATCAATATTAGTAATATTGAATATGAGAATGACTGAAGTTAATACATTCATTGCCGACTCGAATGCACCTATAATTGTGTTATCTGCTAAGAAACACTTTGAACAATTACCAACAAAAGACGCTAAACTTTATGCTCATTACCTTTCAAGAGCCTCCCACTATGGTACTAGAGCCGTTTTAAGATCAGTTTCGCCAGAGAGCGAAGCAATTTATGATTTGGTTTTATCAATTCATAGACATTTAGGCGAGCCAGACACTAACGAGGAGTATGAAGCTCTTTTAAGCAAGGGAACAACCAAGGAATCACAAGCAGTACCGCACTACTTGGAATATGCTTCCCAATTTTTGTCAAACTTAGGTAATTATAAGTCATTCGGAGACAAGAAATTTATTCCTAAGTTGTCTGCAGAAGAATTTGATACATTAATTTCTGAGGGAATCAATGATGATTCCATTACCTCGGCATATCAGAAAGTTCGTGATGCTATGTATGATACGACTACCAATTTATTAGGATGGCCAGAAAATGGTCAGTTGTCTAACTACTATCCTAATTCTCCAGAAATTACAAAGGACGAGGCAGAAGCTGTTAATGCTGCTCTTGCCAACAAAGGTATCATGCCGGAAAATACGAGGGTAAAGAAAATTTCGAACAAGGAGTTCGTAGTTTTAGTTGCTAGTTCTGAAACTGAAAACACAACTACAAACTACCCAAAGGAAAAACTCTCTTTAGATAATGGGGCTTCGTTAGTCATTACGTTTGGTGACCATAATGCTGAATTTAAGCAAATCGTAGACAACATGAAGCAAGCTGCAAAATATGCTGCAAATGACACCCAACGTAAGATGATTAATCATTATGTTGAATCATTTAAAACTGGTAATATGATTGCTCATAAGTCGTCTCAAATCGAATGGGTCAAGGATTTGAAGCCTCTGGTGGAATCCAATATAGGGTTCATCGAGACATATAGGGACCCTTCTGGCGTTAGAGGTGAATGGGAGGGTTTGGTTGCTATGGTTAATCAAGACCGTACTGCTAAATTTTCCACCTTAGTGGAAAATGCAGCTAGATTAATTCCGTATTTGCCTTGGGACAAGATTTATGAAAAGGACACATTTACTCCTCCAGATTTTACATCTTTAGAAGTTTTAACATTTGCTGGATCAGGTGTCCCTGCCGGTATTAACATCCCAAACTACGATGATGTTAGATTGAACGTTGGTTTCAAAAATGTTTCTTTAGGAAATGTCTTATCGGCAAATCCTAAAAAGCCTAAAAAAGAAGAAGTGATTACCTTCCTCGAGGATGACATGCAAGCCAAATTCCGTAAATGGAGAGATGATGCCTTTGAAATACAAGTTGGATTACACGAGCTTTTGGGACATGGTACAGGTAAATTATTGCAAGAAGTGTCCCCAGGTGAATACAATTTTGATAAATCAAATCCTAATATCCATTCTTACTATAAGCCAACTGATACTTGGGGTTCACTTTTCAGTGCAGTTGCAGGTTCGTTCGAAGAATGTAGAGCTGAATTGGTTGCATTATACCTCATTCTTAAAAAACCCTTAGAGGTATTACCGATTTTCGGTGTTTCAGATGAAAAAGACCAGAAAGAAATTATTTTGATCGCTGCCGTATTAATGTGCCGTGCCGGTTTGTTAGGATTAGAATTCTGGGATCCATCATCTCGTAAATGGGGCCAACCTCACATGCAAGCTCGTTTTGGTATTTTCAAATCCTTGCACAAGAGTGGTGTTTGCAAGCTTGAATTCAGCGAGGAAAACATGGATGACTTGACAATCACTTTTGACGAATCCAAATTAGACAACAAAGCAGTAGATGTTTTAGGCGATTTCTTATTAAATTTGCATGTCTACAAAAGTACAGGTGATGTATCTAAAGGTGTTGCATACTACAATGATATGACTAATGTTACTGATGAATACAGTAGATTTAGACCTATCATTTTACGTAAAAAATTACCACGTAAACAATTGATCCAAGCTAACACGTTTGCAAACGATTCAGGAGAAGTTGAAGTAAGAGAATATGAAGAGTCTGAAGTAGGTATGATTCAAAGTTTCGTTGATAGAAATGTATAGTAAACAAACCAATCAAAAAGATCAAATGATCTTTTACAGGAAAGTAAAATAATCAGTATTAAATCACGTGAATCTATGATATTTCGGACGTAATTTGAAATTTTAACCTGTAGATGTTGAAGATATGTTTATCACACAGTTGTCTAATTTTATAAGAATATAGATATCCATTTAGTTGTTGAATCTCACATGTTGCTACCTATACATCGAGTGAAACCGTCTTTTTTGTTTCTGTATAGTTCAAATGTCGGGATTTTTAGGACTCTACATACGAAAATACCGACTAGACTAGCTATATCAAATGCGAGTGTGATATACAGAAGAACATTTCCATACACAGCAAATACTTCCATAGTATTTCCAGAAAAAGGTAGTGCAATTTCTGGCCAAATAAGACAATTTTCAAACTCACAGGTCGTTGGTAATGCTTCAAATACATCAAGTAAGGAAGAATTAATAAAGTCATTACAAAATTCCAACTCTTTGAAGAACCATTTGGAATTCACTAAAATAAGGAAACGTGAATTGAGAGAGGAAGAGAAGGAGCAACAGAAAAAGGACCGAAAACCATTTCGAGAAAATATAAAAACAATATTTCGAATATTGAAATTGGGAAGGCCTGATTTGAAACTTTTCCTCTATGCATTAGGGTTTATTTTGTTTGCAGTTTTATATCCGACAACAGCAGTTAAATTAGTCGGTTCTGCTATCGATGCTTTTAATAATAATATGAAAGATAGCGATGGAACTTTATTGATTTGGGGGTATAAGTATTCTACAGTTTTCAGCTTTATGGTACCATTTATGTGTCTTAGTGCTGTTTGCTTTTGGGCCAGAATATGGGTTTTGAAAGTCTTGGGTGAAAGATTAGTTGCTAGATTAAGATTGAGAGTCATGAAGCATTTATTAAGACATGATGCCAAATTCTATGATAATGAAAAACATAAAGTTGGTGACTTGATATCTAGATTATCAAGTGATGCGTATGTTGTTTCAAGATCGATTACAAATAATTTACCTGATGGCTTGAAAAATGTTTTATTTGGTATAATTAGTTCTTACATGATGTTTTCTATAAATCCTATGTTATTTGGTATTATGTTATTAATTTCTCCACCAATTACATTCGGATCAGTATGGTATGGTGAAAAGATTCGTGCTTTATCTACAAGATTGCAGAATGCAACGGCAGGGCTTACTAAGGTGAGTGAAGAAACTCTTAATTCAGTTAAATTGGTTCAGGCGTTTACTGGTGAACAAAAAGAATTGACTAAATATTCTGATCAACTTAGAAATGTTATTAATGTGGCCAAAAAAGAAGCACTTGCTCAATCAAACTACCTGGTTTCAATTTATAGTTTGTACCATACTGGTTATTTGTCATGTATTGCTATAGGTGTCTACTTGATTATAAATGGACAAATGACAACTGGTGATGTTGTTGCTTTCACAATGTACCTGGAGTTATTCAATCTGGCGTTATACAGTTTAACAACGACTTATATGGAATTGATGAAAGGTTCTGGTGCGGGTATAAAATTGTTTGAATTGATCGACTATGATAACGATGTTCCTCCTATAAAAGGAAATAAGTTGCCTCCAGGATTATCCAATAGTATTGAATTCAAGGATGTTGTTTTCAGCTACTCTAGCAGACCATATGATAAGATTTTCAACGAATGTTCGTTTCATATACCAGCATCATCAACTACATGCTTTGTTGCACCTTCTGGATGTGGGAAGTCGACAGTTGCCTCTTTGCTATTAAGATCATATAACATTAATAGTGGTGAGATTCTTATTGGGGGCAGAAATATCAACGACTTTCAAGTTCGAGACTTAAGAAGATCCATAATCGGAATTGTACAACAGGAACCAGTATTATTATCAGGAACCATTTTGGAAAATATCGTTTATGGGCTAACTCCTTCTCAAATAAGTCAGTTGACAATGGAAGATGTTAAATTTGCTGCTAGACAGGCAAATTGCCATGACTTCATTATGTCTCTTCCGGATGGATATGACACCATCATTGGCTCTCGTGGAGCATCATTATCAGGGGGTCAAAAGCAACGTGTGGCCATTGCTAGAGCGTTGATTAAGAAACCATCAATTTTGATATTAGATGAAGCGACATCGGCTTTGGATTCTAGACTGGAAAGTCTTATTAACGAAACATTAAAAGAATTAACATCCCAAGGCAAAATGACTATCATTTCCATTGCTCATAGACTATCCACTATTTCAAAATCTGAAAACATTATTGTTTTAGGTAAACAAGGAAAGGTCGTTGAACAGGGAAGATTCGTCGAATTGTATAGTGATCCAAAATCTGAATTATCTACGTTACTTGATAACTCGGGCCTCAAGGATTCCGACGAAAATGCGGAGCAAACCGAGGCCGAAGAAGTAGAGAGAGTATCAGAAGAGAATAAGGCAAGTGAACTTGAAATAATTAGATCCATGATCGATGATTTACCAGTTGAGTTGCGTGCTCAACTTGCAGACCAAATATCCAAGGAAGTGGACGAAGATAAGAACGCTGCCTTGTCAGAATCAAAAATTTCTTCTGATAAGATTGTTTCATAGTTTAGATTTCTTCGCTGCCTTCGAATCGCTTGTATATAGTAATAACCACGCATGTCAATAGACTATACGTTTTCAATATTTCTTTAGTAAGGTTATAGAATTAAATAAAACATTCCTACTGTAACTACAAATATCCAAATTGATATTTAAGACTGCAATATTTTTATTGAAACTTCTATACTGTTTGATGTTTCCTCCATAAACAAGGAAATATTAGACATAATTTCATGTTACCATAAAGGGCAAGACTTGAACCTGCGGATTAAAACATAATTCATAACCTCTTAATTTACCTTGATTTATTTATCTAAAGACTTAGCTTCTAATTGTTGACCGTTTTCAATCTTAATAGCCTTGACTTCGGTAAGACCTCTTCTTTCAGCGGCAACCTTAAATTCTGGCTTTAAAGCACTTCTGACGGCCTTAGCAGAGAGAGCTAAAGCTCTGTTTAATGAGATACCGGCTTGTTTGTAGGCAGACATGTTTGATTATTTAATTGTAATTGAATAATTGAAAGGTATTCTTGATTAAACTTAAGTCAAGTTTTCGTTCGGTCGTGGATCGGGATTTAATTGGTGAAATATTACTGATGCTAAAATTTACGCGCAAATAAAAATAAAGAGTAGCAATTCTAAGTAAATATGAGACTGTGTAGTAATGATTGCAAAATATATAGACATGTAAATGTATGTTTATCTAAATGTTAGGTTCTAATTACCTCTTTTAGAGTTCAACCAGTTGATAAAATCAAAAAACATCGAAGCCTGGATTTTACTATTAGGTTTTTTCACCCAGCTCTTCAAAGTGTGGGCGTATAAATCAATAATTTTGTCCAAGTACAGCTCGTCCACTAAGATTAAGCTCTTGGCCACAATGATACAGGATTGGCTACAAGCTAGCGAATGTGCTTGGTTGGAGGACTTATTTGAATCAGCTTCCTCCTGTAACCATTCAATAAGACTCATCAATGATTCCTTATAGTTAGATTGCTCTGGTTTGGATGGGAAGTTTAATTTCAACTCATCAATAGTCAACTTCGTCTTGCTCAATTTTGTTTTCAACAACTTGTGCGCTTTGACCCCCAAGTTCTTGTCCATGGTCAAGTTAATTAATATAATCAAAGGTTTTATCATGGACAAGTTTAGGTAGGAGGTAGGCTGGTTTTTGTTGAACAATTCCAAAAGATCCAAGATACGATTCTTAAAGAAGACCATCTGTTCCTTAGCCTCAATGACTTCGGCCTTTCTCTTATTACCTGTTGTCACACTGGCCATCGCATTGTGTCTTTCCTTGAAAATTTTGGATAATTGATCGTCCATTGCCATCATTTCTTCATCATCCATTGAGTCTGACTGATACGACGAATCGTCATCGTTTTCTTCCAGCGAGCTTAAATCTTCAAACTTGACTTCACCCGAAGATTCAGTAGGAATACCTAATGCTTGTGCCAACTTCAAGTTTGTTTGCTTATCAACCTCTGAAAGCGCATCATTTGATTTATTAGCACCACTAGATTCCTCATCACTTTCAGCTTCACTGTCGCTATCGCTATCACTGGTTTCTGAATCTTCGTTGTCACTTTTATCACTTTCTTCGCCATCTGATGAGCCCTGCGAATCATTCTCATCACCAACGGCTTCGAATTCATCTTCGCCTTCAAATAGTTTCTGTTGGCCTTCCTTGTTTTCTCTAGCTTCTAAAACATCAAATAATAACTGCAAGCATTCCTCATTCAATTTTACTTTACCAGCTTGATCCTTAGAGCACAAGAAGGATTCCCAGGCAATCGAAGAAAGTCTCTTCAGTAAAGTAGCTTTACGTGAAGTAAATGATAAAATTATTTCAGTTAAAAATACGGAGGAATCAGTATCCTTTTTTTCTTCCTTAAAGAAGTTATTATAGCACATTTTTAATTCATCAAGAACGGTAACAGCTTCTTCATCACCCATGTAAAATTGTATCAATATCATGGAGAATAACAATTTGAAACAATCTAATTGGTCCCTCTTTTGGTTATCATTCTTACGCAAATTCTTTAGTGATTCCTCAATTTCTTTCAACACATCAAGGGCTTCTTCTTTAACAGTCAGTAAAGTTTCATCAAACTCTAATAAATTTTCATAATCTTCTGAAGTTTCCAATTTGTTAATATAAGAAAGACATGTAGATAATGGCCATGAACGGTCGTTCATTTGGATATTAATGATATCTGATAACACAGAGCTCAATCTGTCTTGGCATATCTTTTTGATGTTACCAGAAACAACATGGCCATCTATTTTTTTAAAAATGAGTGTTGAATTAATAATTTTAAGATTTTGGTTAACCATTTGGAATTAATTTTTGCATCTGAAAGTAATATTTTGTTGGATCTGAAGAGAAGCAATAACTTGTCTAAAGCCCATTTCTGTATATTATCATTAGACTTTTTCATAACCTCAATATCGCTCTCGCTTTCATCTTGAGAAGCCAATGCATTATTGAATTTAGAGATCAAGACATCCTTAAACTGATTTAACACTAAGTCTACTTCGATGCTGTTAATATCCTCTTTTCCATTTAAAACTGCAATTAAGCGATCAGTACATTTAGATTTAGTAACTAAATCAAAGTTCCAACAACCACCTTTTGATTCGTCAATAAGACACTCAAGGATAATTGGGGCTTTCGTAAAATCCTTATTCGAATTATCAATAATTATATTTAACACCTTTGAAGAAATTTTATTCAATATACGATTCTGTTGTGAAGACTGGTTAATTAAACATCTCATGAAATTCTGGGTGAATAATGAAGAAATTTCAGTGGATTTCATAGAAGTTAAGAATTTGATAAATATTTCAAATCCCCAGTATTTTCTTTCGTGAGAAGACTTATCAGCAAATAAAGTTTCATCGACAACAACCTTCCAGAATTCTTTTAGTGGGATTTCGTTACCATCTGCAATTTTTTGTTTTTTCGAAGATTTGGACAGCGTTTTTTTACGTTTCTTTGAGTTGGAAGTTTCATTTTCATTATCAACAGCATCTCCAACACTATGCATATTATAATTTTGGATTATTATGTCCCATACAAAATGTATTCTAGGACTCCAACTACCCTTTTGCTTTGAATTACCATTCTTCGACTTTGGAGTTTCATTTCCATCGTTTTCAGGATCAACAACTTCCACATCCTTTAAGGCCTTTGATAAAGTTGGTAAGTTTCCCTTTGAGAAAGGATCTCCATTTTTCCAATTTGGTTTTGTATCGACAATTTTACTGGCATAAATCTCACGGTTTTGTTGAGGAATTGACAAATATACAGCAATACCTTCAGTGGTTAAATTCAAACCAACCTCGTTGATTTTTTGTAGTATATGCACAAGAGCCTCTTCTTCGTTTGAATTTCCTTTCAATAAACCAATAAATTGGCATAAAGTAAAGATTGAAGTTTCTCGTAACCATGATTTGATGCTAGATAATTCAACCAATACATCAACAAATTGGCACAACTGTTCTGAAGATGAAACCTTTTCATTGAATAATAATTGAGAATTTAATAACACTTGCAAACCAAATAATCTACCAAACAACACAGATCTCTCTTCTTTACCTTTCATCGACGATTTTACTTGACTCAATTTCAAAACCTGCTCTAAGAATGTGGAAACAGTTAATTCATGCTCTTCTTTCTCGACCAATTCACGTAAAACTTCAATTAAGGCCATAGAAAATCCCAATCTGGCACTCTGTCTGGAACTTGTTAACCCTTTAATTAATCTATTTAAAGCATAGTTCCATTCATCATTTTCATTTACTTGTGTTAATTCCTGAAGCAATGTTGTAGCAGCTTCGATTCTTTCCTGAGGAACTTCAGATGCTAATCTGTAATAATGATCCTTCAGAACTGGCATCACTTTTGACGTTGTTTATATCTAATTAAGGCAAGGTAACAACAATCACAAGTTTAGGTGCTAAAACTGAACTCATCGAAATTTTTCGATATTAAATATATTTAGTGAGGGCTCACTAACCTTAAGATTTACATATAAGTACCTGTTTAGCAACAATGTTGAATTCGTTTGCATTCGTAATATATAGAAATCTAAATAATTAAGTCAGTTATAAAGACCCGTACCCCGTAAGTATTGTAAGCTTGAAACAAAATTTTTTGTAAAAAAAATTGTATATAAGAACCCATGTTGAAATGAAGTAATAGAATAAATAAAGTGGAAAAAAAAAACATATTAAGATACCGAGTCACAGACTATCACCAGTATCAATCTAGGCAGAGTAAGTTTGCTTAGGGAATGGGAAAGATGGACCAACTTCTTGGATAGATAAGGAGGCAGCCCATTGACCTTCATCAACAGCTTGAGCAATGTCCTTACCTTCAACAAGAGCAGCAATGAAACCAGAAGCAAAAGCATCACCGGCACCATTGGTATCAGTGATTTTGTTTTCTTCTAACTTTCTGACAGGGTATTCATTGACTTCGAAGTCCTTGGTGGATTCGTTGTAAGTAACAGTGACAGTAGCGTCGGTACCTTGGGTGAAAACAACGGTTCTTGGTCTCTTGTTGTTGGCCTTTGGTAATTTGGCGATCTCTTTAGCAATGGCAACGACATCCTTGGAATCGACAGATAAACCTTGGGCTTCAGCATAAGCAGCAGCTTCAGATTCGTTAGCAATGACGAAATCGACATATGGGAGAGATGAAGCCAATGGGTCCTTGAAAAATTGTGGGATAAATGGAGCAGAGAAGTTCAAGGCAAAGACCTTGTTGTTTTCAGCAGCGTGTTTACCTAATTTTTCAATAGCTGGTGGACTGACAGTCAAGTGGAAACCACCAATGTAGTAATATTTAGCGTTTTCAACAATGGCCCAGTTTTCTTGCTTTTCCAAGTGGTCGACCTTGAAGTGGTTAGCAGCAGCTAAATCAGTAACCAAAGATCTGTGAGGACCATTAATCAAAGCAGCACACTTACCAGTAGCAATGTCGTCTTGGATTTGGTATTCAGTTCTTAAACCGTATTGCTTGTTAGCCTCGTTTAACTTGTCAGCGTAAACGTCTTTACCAACAGATCCGAAGTAAACTACGGAATTTGGTGGCAAGATGTATTGAGCACCTCTAGCGGTGTTTTGGGCAGCACCACCAGCAACAGTCTTTAACCCGGACATCTTTAAAACTTCCTCATAAATTGGGAAGTGCTTTTCTTCGGCTAAAATAGCATCGTTTTCCTTTAAACCATACTTGGCTAAGTATTCTGGTTCGACGTCAACTTGTAAATCCAATAATGGATTACCTAAACAAACTAATTGGTAAGACATAGTGATATATGATTATTTATGTTACTAAGGGTTCTTGTAAACTACTAGATAACTATAAACACTGGGTCAATAGAACTTGATGTTTGAAAATTTCGCTGGCTTGATTATATAAGCACGGTACTAAATACCAACAATTTGGTTCCAGGATGACTATACTTTGAAGTGGTTGGGACGTCAAATATCCAAGCTTACAGTGTACTTTTAAGAGGTTTTAAACCATGACGTTATCGGATTTCTTACCCGTCTTCAATGAAGATCCATTACTAAAATTTAGACCATTTCCCGAGACTACAACTATTCCTTTGTTTGCACACTGGCATGAAATCATGGGGTCATTTTTAATGTATGTTATGATTCAAAAATTGTCCCCAATGGTCTCCAGCAGATTGTTTGGCAAGTCATACACGCAATTGAACTTCAAGACCAAGACGAACTTCGATATACACGTTGTTTCGATGGTTCAATGCGTGATTTCGATTTTAGCGTTAATTCCGATGTGGAACCATCCTACGTGGAAGAACAGAATAACCGATCCGGCCAGTGCTGTCTTAGTATACTATCCATATGGAGGCTTTGTGAGCTCGATTACAGTGGGTTACTTTGTGTGGGACTTGGTGGTGTGTTTCAAATACATGAACTTGTTTGGTGTCGGGTTTCTCGTGCATGCTGTGTCAGCCCTCGTTGTGTTTGGCAGTACATTGGCCCCATTTTGCATTCCATGGGTCCCAGCCTTCTTGATTTTTGAATTGAGCACTCCGTTCGTCAATGTCAACTGGTTTGCTTCCAAAATGCCCGCAGGCTTCATCAGCGATGAAGTGGCTGTCGTGAACGGTATTTTGTTGTTAGTGACATTCTTCACCGTCAGAATATTATGGGGTTTCTATGCGGTTGTTGCCGTTGCCCGTGATATGTTTGCTGTGTGGGATCAACTCTACAAGGTCATGCCTATTGTTACGTTGTTCTTGAATGCCACCCTCGACTTATTGAACGTGTACTGGTTTTACAAAATGCTTTTGATCGCAAAGAAAAAGGCATCTGGCAGAAAGTCTACTAAAGAAGTTGAAAAGGAACTTGCCCACAAGTTAGAATAGATATATGTGTATGTTCTGTGTAGTAATCTAGCTAGTAAAACAACAATAGTGGTCGTGCAAAGATGTCAATATTTAATGGCAATTTATTTCTCATAAGACACGAAATTCGAATACATTCACAATAAAGAATCAATAATACAACACTACTTATCGGGTATCATTACAAAGCTAGTTATAATCATTAATAAGAAGAATCCTTATTAATTATACTCATATTTGAACTATTTTTAGTTGATAAAGTCATAGTTTACTTATAAAATTTGCATTTCAGTTGAAAACAACATTCCCCTTTAATTAAGATTTAGAGAAGGCCTATATATAATGAATAACGAGTACGATTATTTATTCAAGTTATTATTGATTGGAGACTCAGGGGTTGGTAAGTCTTGTTTATTGTTAAGATTTGCGGATGATACCTATACTCCAGACTACATTTCTACCATTGGTGTTGATTTTAAGATTAGAACTATCGAATTAGACGGTAAGACCATCAAGTTACAAATCTGGGATACTGCTGGACAAGAACGTTTCAGAACCATCACTTCGTCATACTACCGTGGAGCACACGGTATTATTATTGTTTATGATGTCACCGACCAAGAATCGTTTAACAACGTCAAGCAATGGTTACAGGAGATTGACCGTTACGCAACTGGGGGTGTTATGAAGTTGTTAGTTGGTAATAAGGCTGATTTGTCCGAAAAGAAGGTTGTGGAGTACACTGCTGCTAAGGAGTTTGCTGATGCATTAGATATTCCATTCTTGGAAACCTCGGCATTATCTTCTACCAATGTTGAACAAGCTTTCTACACCATGGCCAGACAAATCAAGGCTCAAATGACAAACAACGCCTCTTCAGGAAACGCTAATAATGCTAATAGTGGCAAATCAAATGTCAATTTAAGGGGCCAATCCTTAACTTCAAACCAAGGCAATTCGTGCTGCTAATTTATTATTATTCTATATAAGTCTTTTTTTTCACTGCTACACTAGTCTAATTGCTTTTTTTCTGTGTCTTTTATAATCTATTTAAACTTACTAGTTATATATGACTTCTTACTTGGTTTCAATATAGTCTAATGTGATAAATCTTTTTTTGTCGTCAAGCTTCCAATCTAAAGCATAAATAATTTGGGTAACCATGATTTTGAAGCTGTGGGGAAACAAGTATTCTTTCTTGGGGCATCCATTTATCTTCCTCTTATTGAACTGCAAAATCCGAGACATCAAACGTCATATACAAAAGGATTATGGACATTCATCATCCATTAGATGTTCGATGAGATCTTAACATGACATTATATGCAATTCTGAAAGAGAGATGGAAGAGCTACAATGTATAGTACCTGGATTGGGGTCCCTTACGAGATTATTAGCACCCAAAGTTTTTCTAACATTCAGAACTTACCGAATTTATTTGAAAAAATTCTGCTATAGATAGTTTAGAAAGACAGAAAAATTTATAAACACGTTAATTACATGGATAGCACCTCTTACCCTTTGGCATTCCTAAATCTAGATAATTTAGAGTTTGGGAAATCTCATATAAGCACTATTTTTACTTACTGCCGAATTTGGTAATCTACGTTCTATCGCATTTTTCACGATTTATACTATATGGTGGCAACGTATAATGTTGATTAAGGAAGTGTCTATTATAGTCAATTCATTTGCCAATTTTGTTTAAATATACGATAAGTTCAAGAAATGTCTGATATATCTAAGAACAAGGCATCAACCGAAGTTAAAGAACCAGAAACTATCAATGAGACCGAAACATTGGTAAATGAAATCGAAGAATCATTTACTTTCTTACAGAAGGCGGCAGATAACTTCGATAACAGATACATTTCAAAAGTTTTCCGTGATTTAGGACGCTTAAGACGTAAGATATCACAGAACCCAGAATGTTTGAAGATTATTATTAATAAAACATACCCAAGTGAACATCCAAACAAACTGTATCTTGTGGACACGATTGGAACTCCTACGACTAATGATGATAAAATGGATATCGACGAATCGATTAACTCGAATGACGTTGTATTACCAGAAATTGATTTGTATATTCACTTGTTGGTTCAAATTTATCTTTTGGATCAGGAAGAATTAAAGAAATTGGATGCTTTCAACGATAAAGTTATTAACTTGATGCAAACCTTTAATCGCCGTTCGTTGGATTTTATTCAAGCTAAAATATGGTTTTACATCAGTAGAACCAAAGAATTGACTAAAGATTACTATTCCATACGTCCTTCATTATTATTGAGCTTAAGAACAGCTACATTAAGACACGACAGCGAAACCACAGCTTCCATTATAACTTTATTATTAAGAAATTATCTCTTATCCCATGATATCAACCAAGCAACTAACTTAATTGAAAAGACAGAGTTCCCTGAAAATGCTGGTAATGCGTTATACGCGAGATATTATTATTACTTGGCTAAAATCAATGCTATTCAATTGGACTATTCCTTAGCTCATGAATATGTTCTAGCAGCTATCAGAAAAACCCCGCAAACTCATTTGGCTAATGGCTTTATTCAATCGGCAACCAAATTAAGCATCATTATTGAATTATTGATGGGTGATATTCCAGAATTGAAAGTGTTCAAAAACAATGCCGGCAACTTTGAACCTTATTTTATGGTTACAAAAGCTGTAAAGTTAGGTGACTTGAAATTTTTCAGTGAAGTCTTGAAGAAGTATGAAAGCTATTTTGTTAAGGATGACAATTTTACATTAGTTTCAAGATTGGGCCAGAATGTCATTAAGACAGGTATCAGAATTATTTCTCTTTCATACTCCAAAATCTCGTTAAAGGATATTTGTATTAAGTTACATTTAGATTCTGAAGAGCTGACAGAATATATAGTTTCGAAAGCTATTAGAGATGGTGTTATAGAAGCTAGTATAAACCATGAACATGGCTATATGAAGAGTAAAGAATTATTGGATATCTATTCGACTAAATTGCCTCAAGGTGAATTTGATCAAAGAATTAAGTTTTGTTTATCATTGCACAATGATAGTGTTAAATCTATGAGATATCCTTCTGACAACAACAAGTTAGATTCAAATAAAAATAATTTAGAATCAAAAGAAGAAGAAATAGATTTATTAAAGGCTATCGAAGAAGGTGACTTAGATGATTTTATGGATTAGTTTATGTAGTCTTTCTATATAATATATAATAATACAGCATTATTAGAATTTTTTGTCGCGCTCTAATTATGGTGTAATCGATCGCGACATTTATCAGAATGCTTAATGTAAATTCATGAATTATACTATAATTTTACTAGTTTTAAGTGAATCAACATCTGGAGTTGTCAATGGGAGATAGGGTTCATTTAGAAATAGATCCAGACTTATATGGTGAAGGATACAAGGATCCATTCATCCAAGATGAGTAAGTATTTCAAACTTTTTAGAAACTATCAAGATCACCAATTAACCATATATCACTAGGGACAAACTATCAATGGCCGAATTGATACCTCGAATTCTTATAGAAAGACTGTCTTTCTTGAACCTTACAGAAGAGTCTTTGGAACAAGAGATTGCTAGTACTGAAAATGCTGTAATGGAAGACGTAAAAACAAATGAAGAAGAAATTAAAGACAAAGATATTGAAAATGAAGAGGCTTTACTTCATTCTGATAGTACCGATGATCTAATTGACACCAAAAATACATTTGAAAACTTTCAAAAGCAGAAGTTTGAATTGTCAAAATATATTAATTCTGCTTTGAATGAAACATCACTATCACTAGATTTTGTCTCACTATTACTTTCTACGGTTAAACCTAATATCGGCAAATCTACAATGTCTCCTCATCTATCAAAAAGTGTTCCTATCGGATCTTTAAATTCAGATAGGTTGTCAAATAATACAACTACGTCAAAATATGAAAATGCTGCTATAATTGGTCAAGGCTGGAAATTAGAATCATTGAACAAGATTACAAATTCTTTCAAAAACGCAAGCTTACGATTAAACGAGCAGGTTCTCAAAGAGAAAAGATATTGGGATATGATTAATTTGGTTCTTGAAAATCATGAAATCTTGTACAAAACAAGAGACCCGGCCAATGGATCAAGAGCAATAGGAGTCAGGTATGGCTACGGGGACTCAGGCTCGAGTTATCATGATAGAGGACTTGCCATTTTAAGAAAAGATAACCAAACTGGTGAAATATCATTTAATCCAGTTTCTAGCACTAATAAAATCACTAACAAAGTTTACAAGTACATAAGAGTCAAAATTCTCAGCAAAATTGATGATGACTATATGCTCACTGGTCAATCCATATTTGAGAATAATTTCATTAATACTAGCAAGTATGGAATAATTAATGATATTGAAAAAGGCAGGTTTTTCTTATTTGAGGAGGATCTATTTTATCAATTAACAAGAGAAGCTAAGTACTTAATTAATTTTAATGTGCTGATTATAGCTAATAAGATCATTATCGAAATAAATAATGAGATTATCGAGATAGAATCTATAATGTATGATGAAAATAATGAAGATGATTTAAATAATTACTATCAAAATATCAACCAGTTATCATCAATCAACAATAAAAAAGCTCAATCAATACTAACGCACTTAAAATTAATGTTATGTTGCTTTTACAAATATAATTTAAAATTAAAGCAGAAGATTCCCACTGCTATTACAAAATGGAAACAAAACAATTCACATCCATTAATATTGAGGCCATTACTAGGCCATATTAGGCACGAGATAAATGTACAGAATATGTTGAATATTTTAAAGTCTCACCTGAACGAATTTAAAGATAAAGCAAAGCTCACTATTGATTATGAAAAATATGTCAACTTGAAAAAGACTCATGACAAAATAGTAAATCCATTTATCAAATCAATTGAAAAACCATTGTCATCTTTTGAAGTTACCGTCAATAACTTGAAAGATGGTCAAGTATTGAAAATCTATATTGATATTACTTCCACTGAAGTATTCTGTACGTTGATTGTTAATTTGAATATTATTAAGTTTGAAAGTTCTGAAAAAATAAGTGATAATCAGCAAGGTGTTAACGTCTTACTGATTAATTTTAATGACTTAGGTGATTTTGAAGAGTGTTTGAATTGGACAATTTTAAATTTTATTAATGAATAGTATGAATAAATAAACATATAGAGTTTATATACGTTAATCAACTTCAGCGACCCTTACGGCTTCATCGGGATTCAATTTGTCACCATTTTCTTCGATAAACTTCTTGATTCTATAATATCTTTCATCTCTCAAATTATTGTAAATCAAGAAATTAAACCATATCTCAAAGAATGAGTATACAAAGATAATGTTGTTGCTGAAAATTGGCGACTTAGTCACGTATGAGTATGCTGCTAATCCGAAGTAAAGGAATAATCTTGTTGGTACAATAGTTTCAAAATATTCAATATTATCAGCCAATAAAGGAATCAAATCAGAAATTGCTAAAGTTGCAAATGTAACGGCTGTTATACCTATTAATGGGTTGGAAGTGTCAAGTAGGATAATATTTAATTGCATAGCTTGACCTAAAAGCACAGCAAATCCGGATTCCAACAAAACTGAAGGATCCTTTATGCAAAAAAAGGCAATAATAGCTAATAATAACACCCTAACATACAATAAGGATCTTGCTGATAAGAATTGCATGATTACTTGTCAATTCTTCTTTTCTTGTTATATACCAGTTATTCAAATAAAGAAACTTCTGAAGAAACTCATCAAAACATTTAAACTGTAAACCTCGAAACATTTACATGTTAGTGTTGAAGTTACTTTAAATGCTGCAAAATGATGATCCGAAGCAGATATTGGGTGCTATTGGAAGGAAGTCATGTCACTTCTAGATAAGATTATTATACTTAAGCCTAATAAATCGTTTAATTCCTCTAGAAATTTATTATCAATTTCAACAGGGATAAATTAACAGGGAAAAGAAGAGTAAGCATGAAAATTATTATTAATTTAGTTATGTTAATGGCTTTGCCAATCATTTATGCATCTGGTGTAGATGATAACTTGGGTATAACTTCTCTTAATCCTATAGTGAGAAATTATAGGTTGGAACTAACCCATGTTTATGGTAATCCAGATGGACTTTATAAGAGCAATTTTTTAATTAACGGGCAGTCGCCAGGGCCAATTATTGAAGGTGATGAGGGGGACTGGATCAATATAACGGTTGTTAATTATTTACCTGTGTCAATAACTATACATTTTCATGGAATTTTACAAAAGGGTACGCCTTGGTCAGATGGAGTTCCTGGAATAACTCAGTATCCTATTCTAAGTGGTGATAGCTATTCTTATCTTTTCCAATTGAAAGATCAGTACGGGTTTTATTGGTACCATGCACATTACAGAGGCTATCTGACAGATGGACTATATGGGCCAATTTATATCAGGCCTAATAAGCACAGAGAGAGACCTTATGATCTAGCTGTAAAAGACAAAAAGGATTTGGCTTTGATCGAATCCTTGGAAAAATCACCTTCGTACATTATTGCAGACGATTCCTTCAAGCTTCCAATGGATGATATCATGGCAAGAATGTTCCATTACGGCATTGACCCTTTATGCATACTGAGTATATTGCTAAATGGTAAGGGCAGAGTCTATTGTCATGAATATTCTACATTTCACAGATTGGCTTTGAAATCCAAGACTGACAGCGTGCCACAATTCGATTCAATGGGTTGCATTAGGAGCGAGAAGACAAACGGGTACCATGATTTCAAATTAGACAATTTTGGACTTGAAAGCCCTGGGTTTTCTAGGAGATGTGAGCCAACCTCGAAAGATAACTTTGTTTATTTTACCAATCATACGTCTTGGCAATACATTAATATTTTAAATGCTGGTGGTCAGTATACAAAAGCATTTTCAATTGATGATCATGTTTTTTATGTGATAGCTGTTGATGGCGTGTTCATAAGGCCAAAGCTAGTGCATCAGCTACTTGTTCCAGTTGGATCAAGATATACAATTCTTTTAGAAACAAGCCCAAGTAGTCATCAGAACACCAATGAGCCGTTCGCAATAAGGTTTGCAGCAATTAAAACACCGCAATACATCGAGGCACAGGGGTATTTGATTTACGGAGATAATTCCAGTAACTCAAAAGATGCACTTCAAAACTTTCAACAAAGAAACAGTCTCAATAATGGCATCAAATTTCAAGATTTAGATGGAAAATTAATAGAGGGTAGCCATGTTCTGGTCTGGCCACATGAAACTAGACCTTTTAGTAAAGTCGACCAACTTAATTCTAGTAAACGTGCAGATCATACTTTTGAGCTCTATTTGAATCGTACTGGGGTAGTCGAATTCAGTATGTTTAAAGACGGAACCAAATTACCCGCAGGGTTTGAGCTTTCAAAACCTTTGTTGCACATGGATTTTTCCGATAAAGAGAATAAATTTGTTCCTTTTAATGGTTCTTTGACCGATAATATTCAACAGGGAGACGTTGTAGATATTATAATCAATAATTTTAGAAGAATTGATCACCCAATACATATGCATGGGCATTTGTTTCATTTAGTTAGTTACAGTGAGACGGAAAACTTTCCGTATGCGACTGTTGAAGAAGCTATCCAAAAAAACTACACCAACTTGAATCTTGTCAACCCTCCAATGTTTGATATAGCATATACACCAGCTAAAGGACATTCAGTCATTAGGATAATTGCAAATAATCCAGGAATATGGCTAATACATTGCCATAATTTAGGTCATTTACTTGGTGGTATGGGTGCTGTTTTGTTTGAATCGATTACGAGTATACCTAAAATACCTCCATCATATCTCCAACAAATTCATGTTGAGTACAATATAGAATATGATTTAGGAATTACAGAATTGAAGAATAATACTCATGATGGTTCACTTTAGGCTTAGTTGTTATGGAATTTAAATTTCAAACTTTATGTATTTTACGTTTATAAAAATGAGCGTGTTGCAAAATTCTTGTAATATACTTCCTTCTTTACTCATACTATTAAACACGATGCCTTCCCCTAAATCGTATTCTTCGGAACTTTCCAGATCCCATGCTGTATCATCCAGTAATCAAAACTTGAGTGATGTTAAAAAATCTTCTTCAACAGAGGATCATACACAATACACTAATATTTCACTGCAAGATCAAGTCAACTCAACCTTACCAAAATCTAACGGCAAACCACCTGAAATATCAAAGCAAAATCTCGGCCTACCACTCAGGGACTTTGGTAGAGTTTCTTTTCATATTAGAGATAGAATAGCCGCTATAATCGCAAATGTTACGTATACTATAGTAGAGTCTATTGATAATTTCACGAATAACTCTGAAATTGGTAAGGAATACATCAAGTATGTAATATAACCTCAACTATTCACTAGAATATAATATATTAACTATAATCAGACATATTATTGAGAAGTTCATTTACTTTAAATGCCAGATAAAGAGAGCACTTTGTCTCGTTGGAAAAGCGAATAACTGCCGATCCATTCTTGCAACCGTATGTGTTTTATTTTTTTCCATATAAATTACTACAAAGCACCACTAACTAAATTATAGATATTAGTTTTATTAATAATTCCACTAATCCTTCTAATATTCCTGCTGATATCATTCATGTTCGGGATTTCTTCAATCACTATTGCATTTTTTGCAATAGTTTTCTTTATTTTCTTTGTCATGGTTTGTACGTATTTACAGAAGACGATTTCAAAATCCACAAACTAACATAATATCTAGCATTCATCCTCGTACCAGTTATATTGACAATATCTATATTCGTGGGATCTCTCATGTTATTCCTCTCTTTGTTCTCCAAATCAGACACCTGGATTCAGATTATAGTTCTGGCGGTAAATTATTATTTGAGAAATAAAATCAAAAAATTCACTGGATCCTTTCATGATTTAGACGAAGAAGGCAAAGGTGCCGATATAGATGGAAAACCACCTCAATTTGACCTTCCCATGACCCATGTAATCGTTGACTCAAATGATGCGACTGACCAAAAAGCGGTACAAGAAGAGAAGGATTCCATCCGGACAGAATTGAAAGATAACTTCAATGACGGTGAAGATTTAGTACTAAAAGATGCCATTATTGAGGATACAGAGTAAGAAAAGTCAAGTATTTTATATGACCTATGAGACTTATACCTGTTATTTTTTTTGCATTCTTCATTTTCACCACGAATTACTTGTTTGATTACTCGTAACGTGGGATTTTACTTTTCGAATATACGTATTTCCTTCTTAGGTTTTATTTCTTTGTGTTTAGTCTATATCTTGCTATCTAATTCCTATATAATATAAATGCTTTGATAATGGTTTACTACTGATTTTGTGTCACTATTCAATTTGAACACCGTTTAATCGAACACGCTTGACAAAACTATAGATTCTAAAAAAGCACATTCAATTAGATTCAACATATAGACTTATAAAACTAAAATGAAGTTAGCTTTCTCTTCGATAGTTTTCTTCTTGCAATTGCTTGCTGTTTCTTGGACATTTTCTATTTCTAAAGGTTCAATTCGATCAAATGGAGAGACGGTAACGTTTGGAGAAATGAATACACAAGAGGTTAAACAATTATCCATCAATTCGCCAAAGGATAAGATTGACATTAGCTTGAACTTAAAGGATGACTTCTCCAAGGCGCCAAACCAAATTGTTGTTACTTTAGGCAATAACAAAGGGTTGGACTCTTCGTATGTTCCTAAATTTGACGTGAGTTCTAAATTAATATCTTTATCAATTCCTGTGAAAAAAATTGCTGAAAGATTGAAGATTGAAGACAAGTTATACTTAAATTTAATCGTTGGTGAATCAGGAAATAAAGCAAATTTATTCAAGTCATTGGTGGAGATTCTTCCAAGTGAAGATTTGAAAGCATCGTCGACATACGTTGAAGTCGAAAGAAATGGAATCAAACCAGAAATTCACCACCAATTCAGAGAAGACCCAAAAACCGTAAATCCAGTGATTCCAATAATATTTATCGGTGTTGCTACAACATTATTCTTCGGTTTAATTATTACTTGGTGCTCAATAATTGGTACTGATTTATTCGGAACATTTGATCAAGTCTCAGGATGTAAAGTGGTTTATAACTTAGGTTTCTTATTATCGTTAATTGGTTTTGAATTTACTTTCATTAGATACTACTTAGGAGCCACTATTTTTGTTACCTTGTTCTACGCTTTTGTTCTTGGAGGTCCAAGTATTTATTTTGGATCAAGAGTTTTCAGAGATTTAGCCAAACACCATAGGGTTGGTAGAGCTTAAGCGATGTATTCTATGTTTATAGTTATTTAGCCTGGTTCAAACGAGAAAAAAGTCAAAATAAAATGACACTTCTAGTTACATCAATATTATCATTATATTAATTACATATGACGTATTCACATAAATCTATCCCTCTGTAACAAAAGAATTTCCTATCCACCTGAAATTCCAAAACCATAACTTTCCATTTTCGTTCTTAAGCCCTCTATCCATCGAATTAGCAGCTATTATTTTTCCTTTAATTAATGCCATTGGTAATGCTGAATATGACCTTGAATCCAATGAATGACACAAATTATCCCCTGTGGCCCAAACATGACCTTCAGGTACTTTTATATATTTATTAAACCCATCGTGGGAAATACACTCGGCCGTACTATTGGTCAATTCTGATGATGATGATGGATCAACCAATATGATATCTCCTGGCATTCCTGTAATTCTCTTACACACACGATGCTCTGGATCACTTGGCTTTATTGCTACAATGCAATCTCCTATTTCCAAGTCTCTTCCCAATCTATGCTTCTTTAAAGCATGAACATAATCATGGTGTGATTGTAGTGTTGGAAGCATTGATTCTCCTCTAGTTTCTGTAAATTCATAGACATATTCATGTATCAAGTGAGCAACACATCCTGCCTTTAAGGTCCATGATAAAGTGGAGCCTACAAACTTGAGTGACTCGGGAAATGGCATATTTTCATTAGTAACTATAGTCTATATAATATTGCAATACAAATTCACTAAAATGTGTCTAAGAATTTACTTACACAAAATACCCTACTATAATACAGAAGTCTAAAATTCAAATGAAATTAATTAACTATATCGTACAGAAGTATATACCCTAATAAACAAAACCCAAGATCTTACCAGCAACGTGCTTTCTTCTAGCTTCTTCGTGGTCCATAATACCAGCAGAAGTAGTTAAAATAACGTAACCAAATTGTCTGGCTGGTAATAAGTTGTCAGTCCATCTTTCCATGTCACCGACCTTGACGTTAAATCTTGGGGAAATAACACCACACTTGTTTAATCTACCGTTCAATTGAACGACAATCTTACCAGATCTGTGGTCATCGATGTATTCGAATTCACCAATGTAACCTAGTTTTTGTTAGTAAGTTGTTTTGTCTCAAGAATAAAACACAACACATTAGAATAGAGGAGGGTAAAATGTCGAGGAAAAAACAAACGATTGAGATAATAGGCACCTTATAAATAAGGTGATACCAAAACCAAAATGTTTCTTCAGACTTTTGCTTTTCCGAATACTTAAAAGACAGAAAGGGACTGAACACCGATCAATCCATCCAGTTATCAATCCGGGGCTAGAGATATAAAGGTTTTAATGTGTTGTTGTTCCAATAAAAGCATTCAAAACATACCATGTTTTTGCATAACAGTCAAGAACTTAATAATGACCTTGGAGGATGGTCTGATTAAGACTTGACGCTTACCGGTCTTTTCGGCGTTGTTAATGGAGTTTAAAGCATCAGCTAAGACAGAAGTTCTGGTCATTTTATCTAAAAAAGTACGTTAGTATATGATTTCACAATCAAACAAATAATAAAGCCACATGAGTGTCCAATATTAAAAATGGATTCATGAGCCATAACTAAAAATAGTATATCTTGATACAAGGTATCTAATATCTCGAGGGTTATTATTCTAATAATGTTGAAAGAAGAATATGTACCCATCCTCCGTTAAGAAAAAAGAAAATCCTCAAAACCGGCCTTGTAAGGTATACAACTGCTAAGCTTTGGTAACATTCTTCAAGATAATTAGATTCTTATATCAATACTTGTGTGATTGGAAATATTTCAAGACCACTTGTTCCAAGTCTCGAAGTATTTTTGGGAGTTTCATGGTAGCTTTATGGATGGTATTCAAAAAGACATACCTTATATTGTATGTGTGGTTGTTAAACTTTAAAATTAGTATTAAACTAGATCAAGAAGTAGAAAGAAAAGAGAAGTAGGATTACTAGCATTCTACTCCCAGTAGTTGAAAATTTTTCACCAGTTTCCATAATGATATTATTTACGCTGAGTCTCAGTAATTTGTAGTATGATATTTTTATCACGTGAATTTAAAGAAAAATGGCAAAATGATAGTTAGTAGATAAGTCCTGCTAAATAGATTGTACCATATATGGGATTGTTACATATTAGAGTCAGTAGTACAGTTGGAGAGATTCACAATCAATGTCTGTTGATGAAGTGATAAATACGGTAGGGGGTAAGGAACAGGATGTACAACGAGCATTGTCACTGCTGCTATTTACTGCGATCAAACCATACTGTGTTGAATTAACGCAGTTAGCATTATTACCCAATCCAATCTTCAAATCAGATTCCCAAAAATTGGTTTCTGCATTGAACAATGTTAATAATACTCTAGAGGAACATTATCGGGAAAATTCGTCTTCTGGGCCTTATCGTTTGTCTGCTAATATAGCCGATTACGTATTTTTTCCTTTGTCTAACTTGTTGAAGCAGCCAACCCTAAGTGACGAGGTGATATCGATTTTACTCAAAATAATAGCATTTTTGATCAATCATTCATGGAGCCATAATGCGGACGCTAAATTGCTAGACCAATTGTATCCATTGATCTTGTTTCTTGTAGATAATAATGTTGGGGCCAAAGGCGTTACGGTAATCGAGACAAAGGAGTTTACATTCAAGCAATCGGCTGTCACCGTTATGAGTAGTTTGATCTCATGCTTACCGGTTGACTATTTTTCAAGCAACCCCAAAAATTTGACTATGTTGGGGTCTTCAACAACCATTTTACTTGATATATTTGCAAGTTTACAAGGCCCAACGACACAAGAACAAATATTTCTTGTAAATGAATGTTTAGATACTATTTCTTTGTTATACTCAAAAGTGTCAGCAGAACAGTTATCGCATATATTTCCTGGATCGGTATCTCATTTGGTTAATTTCTCAACAAATTCCAAATCATTACATTTTTCGATCATTTGTGGTATTTTGAAACTACTTAGACAATTGATAGTAAAAGTGTTCAATGATAAGGACTTGAAAATTAGCTTAGACTCTTCAGATTCACAACCAGATTTGGAAAAGTTGAACGAACTTTGGGAAGATCAGAATGACGAGGAGCTTACACATAGAATGGATATGTTGAATATAAAAATAGAGATACCAGCTACGGCGAATAAGCATAGAACCACTAGTTGGCTCTTCGCAACTTCAAAGCAATTGAAAATTTCGTTGACTATCTTATTCAGGACATTCTTATCATCTCAGAGCTATAAACTGAAGGTTCAAACAAAGACTCAAGTTTCAAATGAATTAATCTCATTTGTGAATGAAATACTTCAAAATTGTTTTGTATCTTTATTCAAAGACTTCTGTGCTATAGCATTGGATGTATTGTCAATGTTGATATCTATACTCACTTCCGACGAAAAGGCTTCTATTCAAAAAGCGACTGATGAAGAAATCAAAATTGATGATTATGCTTCATTAATAATTTCAAATATATCAGCAAATGATACTAGTGATAAAAACCAGAAATTACTTTACAATCATGTAAAATTAAAACTATCGGATTTTATTAATAACAAGTTATCATCAATTGTCTTCTCGACTGATGACGAGAAGATTAATTCCTACATTGTTTCGCTTAAATTTCAATTTAGCATTTTAAATAAACTATCGAATAGTTACTTCACTAATGAGGATGCTGTACAAGATTTGAAATTTAAACTAACACAACATTTGCAACTGCATTTTGTTAACTGCTTTCTTTTTAATAATCAACTTAAAAGTAAAGAAAGTTTTCCGTTGGCAATTAATGGTACCCCTTCTGACAATAAAAATGAATCAAACAATAAGCTAGACAATATTGAACTACCACCACATATTAATGCCAACAAGTTAACTCGAATCAATAATAATAATTACCTTACTAATCGTAGTGATAATATAAATGCGTATACGGATAACTTGTTAATATTATCTAAAAACTGGTCTGGAGGTGAGCCGTATCGTGATTCTTCTGAGTTGCTTTCAAATTACTTTAAAGGTATCTACTCACCGTTTATTGAAAACAGATTTGTTGGCCTTCTTAGTTTTATTGCATTACTAGGGAGCTCAAATGAGAGTAAATCTCTTCTGACTGTTGAAAATTTATTCATAAATAATGACGTTTCTGTTGTTGGTGATGCTTCGACTCAATACTTGGACAAAGCTGTGTCACTCTGGATGGCCAATAACTTAATGAGTGCCTATAATTCTAAAGGTAATAAACAGGTTCAGAATTCATCTAACATAGATTCATTCGACATAAATGAGTTCTTAGTATTTGAACAGAAGGAGACCATGACTGATTCAGGAATACCTAGCGAAAATAATATAGAAGAAATATCATATTTAATAATGGACAAAGCCCAGGAATTAATAGACGAGGTTTCATCTCTAATGAATTCTCCAGAAAATATCACAAGCAAGAACAAGATGCAATTGTATAAGATATATGAATTTGCCTATTCTGTTGCCATAGACTCCATAGGGCAGCTTGCTAATCATTTATCTTTAGCGGATTTTCAGACTGATTTTCTTATTGATTATTTGTATCCATTACTAGAGGCATTAACTTACCAATCGAACTCGTTGATACAAACACACGCTGTATCATCATTGGACTCAATTGTAAAAAATTATTATAACGGGTCTCTAGAGTTACTATTGATGGATAACCTGGATTATCTAATTGATTGTTTAAGTCTAAAGCTATCCGTTGTCAGTACTTTAACTCCGGCATTACCTGGTATTTTATTAATTGTTTTAAAGATTGCTGGAATTAAACTTCTATTAACTAATCAATTGCTGGATATTCTAACCAAAATGTTCATACTTATCGATTCATATCACGGTTATTCAGCTTTAGTGCAAGGATTTTTCATTGTTTTTGAGGAGTTGATACAGCAGATTAAAGTTGAGTATTTAAAGGAAACGATCTTGCATGAAGAAGAATCATCTTTAAGTATAAACGATTCTTTATACAAGCCGTGGGGTTTATCGAACTGTGCGCAATTATTAGCTTTAATAGATGACTCAAATAGACTCATTGATCCTATGAATGATTATGATTCAAATACAGAATATTTTAAAAGGAAACCTGATACAGCATTTGGTGATCAATTGGCAGATTCGGATGATGAAGATGAAAAAATAAGCCAGAGCGATGAAAGTGATCAAGAGGTATGGAATTCATGTATTCCAAAAAATATATATCTAATAGTCCAAAAGATATTCAATTATGGCTTTAGATTATTATCACATCCATCGACAAACTTGAGAGTGCAAATTATAAAAACATTAATTAATATTTATCCAATACTAAGTGAGAACTATCAGTTACTATTACCGATTATTTCGCAACATTGGCCGGTTTTACTAACCTTAGTTTCAGGATCTTCAACACTTTCAACATTTTCAGAAATCGATTCATATGATTACGCGTCTGACAATATTATAATCCTTGGTCTTGAATTTCTTATCGAAATTATTGAAGAAGATAAAAAGAAGGGTGAAAAATTTTTGGCCAAAAGATTCATAGAAATTTGGCAGCATCTCTCGAATAATTCTAAAATTTCAGGTTACATCAAAAGGAGTAACCTGAACAAGCAATCAGGTCGAGTGCAAAAGCAGGTATCTACTTTAAGAGATACAACAGCCCCATCTGCGCTAAACCCTAAAATGATACAACTATATGTGAAACTTATCATTACTGGATTAAACACATATGAAAGAACTGTTTCTGATTTAACTGCTTATGATATGGTCAAATTTTGCTATTCAATGGGCCTATCAAAGGATCAATATATGGTCAAAGAAATAAAAAATATTTTATGGGTTATAGAACATGAGGTAGTTCTTTGAATAAACTGAAAACTCTTGTATATATATGTACATATAGCATTCAATATTATGCATCTAATATATCTATAATAGGTTATGTATCTAGAATCAGTTGATCATTATCACATCTTGATCTTCAGCATCTACAGTAGCTTCCTTACTGGTAACCTCAGTCTCATTATCAGATGTGACAATATCACTTATCACTGATTTCTTGATAGGCATTGGATTTGTATTTTCAGTCGTTGTGTTCATGTTAGAAAAATTCAAAGTTTGTTGACCCTTTGCTAAAGGCTTGGACTTTTTCATGTCGTGATTTGCTTCATCTACCTCTATTTCTTCTGTTTCTGTATTTGCAGTTTCACGTATTTCGTTGCTCTTATGACTGTCCACGTTAACTTTCTTGTTATTTATTAATTCCCCGATCGGTTGGGTCTTTGGTACTGTATCACTCAAGAAATTTAATGAATCTTGACTCGCCACTGCGTTACTAAAATCCTTATATTGAAGCTTCTTTCTTTTATCCATCTTAGCTAGCACTAAGGCCTGTTCTGTGAAGTATTGAATGAATAACTCAGTAGCCAATCCGGTGGCATAAACAGCACTCAGTGATGCAGCCAAATAATCAGAGTCCATCTTAAATATTCTTTTAATTTTAGACAATGGAAGAGACAAGCTTTCTTCTTCCTCTTCTTCATCTTCTTCGTCATCGACTTCGTGTCCTTCTTGAATTTTTTCTGCATCTGTTGTATTACCTGTTATGCCATTATTATCTTGAGGCGCGTTGGCGTCTTCCATCTCAACCTCTGGTACAGGTGTAGCAGTATTTGATATCATTGGAGGGGTAGTACTTGGAGTTTCATTACTTTCATCAACTATATTAGCCACTTGCGAGTTGTTCAAACTCGACGGAGGTATTGGTGAAGACATTGGTACTTCTATGGTACTAAATATATAGTATGAGACGTGGTTCAATAATTAAGTACTCACTCAATTGCAAGTCTCGTGATTTTATATATCATTATACTAATTACTTTCAAACCCCAGAACAAGATCAACAGCGACTAGTAACTAGTAGCTAATCTATGAAATACAAATAGACGTTTCTGATTTCATCTGTTATAAATGAATCTTCAAAAAAAATTAAGTTCTTTTAAAATCATCATATCCAGTAGATTTACAGGGAATCTTAACAAAGTATTAAATACATTAAATATATACAGATTTAGTTTAGCATTGCATTCACCAACAGTTGGAATATTTGGTTACAAAGCAGTTGTTTTAAGCAATGAAGCTCGAGGTAATATACGTAGTTTCAAAGATTTCGAGATAGCCCCAGTAGTTACAAGATTTGTTTCTATCATTGTACACTACGCATTTGTATGCGTTCCTTTGACATGGCACTAGTCATCTATTGTGTGGCTTCAACGTTTTCTGCCTGTTCGGCCGTTTGGATGTCATGGTTTACGAACTCTTCCAAATACTGGCTTTCTTCCAAATCTTGTTCATTGTAGTTTTCACCGTATTCAACGAAATCGACTATGTTTTTCCATGCTAACTCAGGGCTCTTCATTCCATCTGAATACCCAGTGAATTTCTGGTATATCTGAGGAACATTTGGTGAAACCAAAGGCTTTAACTCGGTAGTGTGCAAGTCTGCTGGAACAACGTATGTTCTAACTTTTTCCCAGTTGACTATGTATACACCTGACTTGTTTAACTTACCATAACCTGAAGATCCCGTACCTTTATAGTAATGCTTGTTTCCTTGTTTCGTAGTTAATGGGTGTCTCTTAGACCCCCTAGTAGTCATACCATACCAAATTTGACCATCTTTGAATGTTTGCCATGGTCTTCTTAAGTTTGCCACAGCTGTCTGCTGGAAGTTAAGCACACTAGAAGCTCTCATCCTTATTTATTCTGGCGTTAACACTATCTTCTAAAGTAGTTGATTTTATTTCTCACTTCAATGAAAGGTTGAAAAATTTCGTGGTATTACATAATCATCATATTTAGTACTACAAGGACAGCAGCAACTGTAACTACCCAATTTATATCCTATTGACCATAAAGAAGACGTATATAGGGTATTCTAGTCAATATTATTATGGGTCTTCCAGATAAACCGTCTACTACTGGATATTTTACTCCTCAACATGGTTATACTGATTTAAAAATTAAAACCCATAACTATTCCGGGGCACCAACACCATTCGTTGGCAAACAGATGTCCCCAAAAGAGTTCTTTGAAGATCCTAGAAATAGAGAGCATCAAAAAGAATTTGTTAAGAAAGGAGGTAAAAAGTTATTTCACATGGTCAAAAATAGATTTAGCAATTAAGTCGTTGGTAGAGTACATTCCATTTAAAGGATAGCTATGTTTGAAAAATGAACTTTAATTATGTAAAATACATTCATTTAGAGTCGTATCTAAGGTCTGTAATATGAAGTATATTAGTGTATTTCTTAAAACTATTGAGGAGTGTGAAGGGTTGATTATCGTGAATTACAATTTGCTAGACACTTTTCTTTTTAGGGATTGCTTGGCTAGCGAGACTACAGTAGAGCTGAATCCGTGACTACCTTGGTATCCACCGCCACCAGCACCATAATTGTGGATTAACCAATGGTTATCACCATCTCTTTCAACTCTAACTCCTCCGTCTCTAAAAGGCCTTAATCCTACATTTACTCGGATCACGTCTAATTCAGTAGGATTATTCTTATATCCAGGGTCAAACATTTCAGGAGAGTATTTTTTGGCTCTCTCAACTAGCCTTTGAGTCAATCCTTCGTCTTCTTCTGTATTCTTGTAATCCTGGACAAAACAACCACCAATAATTGACCCACCCTCTTTACGGGGCATAATATAAAGCATTTCGTTGTCAAATTCAGGACCGAATGACTGTACCTCGATCTGTCTTGCAGCGTTATTCCTTACATGTAAAGTTTGGCCTCGGATCCCGTATGTACGATTAGGATCGTTGTAACCCGATAATTTAGATGCAATCAACCCCGAACAATTAATAACTAAATCGGCCTTCCCTCCAGACGAATGAAGATTCCGGGCTTCCTCGACATTGCCAATGGCTTTAACTCTCTTGATTGTGATTCCAGTTTCAAGTGCCTTAGAAAGCAAAAAATTCAAATATATTGGAACTGATATAACGACCCCCTTAAACAGAAACCCAAACACAATTCCTTCAGGCAATTCTTTCTTCTCGATAATCTTGAATTCTTCTACAAAGTCTTTGAACCATGGAATTGCTTTACTAGTATCATGACTAATCTTGCTCATGTAATCCTCTGTAAAATACGAGTGACTCGTTTTAACCCAAATACCTGATCTAGGCTCATTTTGAGCTAGTTCCATAAATACCTTATAGGATGGCTTATCGAATTCTTGTAGAACTTTATCTTCAGAATCGGCAAATGAATACCAATTGGCCCCGGCATATGGGGAAACAAAATTCACATCATAATCTCCTGGTAAATGCTGTGCAACGATAGTCACATCATATTCCAAATTAGACTTCTTTAATTCTAACGCAGTAGTAAGTCCACTCACACCTGCGCCAATTACTACAATTTTGGACTCCATGGTCTTTGTTGCTGGGTTATTCTACCATTGGCTAGCATCAAAGCCTCTGTAGATGTTCACCGTACTCGAAAAATTGGTATGTACACTGCTTCCTACAAACCTAACCCCTCTTAATTTCCATACAAAATATACAGCCACTTACTATTCGAAAATAATACAATTTAACATACCATCCTACTGCTAGGTCTTCAAAGAATAAGTTTGCGATATAACTATCTGAAAACTGTGTATCCAAGAAAAAGAGAATTCTTGTTCGTATGCTTATGGGAGTTCGCGTAAAAATCCACCAAACGTTTTCTCCACATTCTGTATTAGCTCTTTGGCTAGATAATCCGACTGATCCAGCATGGATATACTGAAGTAATAAGTAGGCATTATATTAATTTGCTGGATCATTGTTATTATGCTAGTGTTCATACTGAAACATGTTTGTGAATCAATGTTGCGATTGATAAATGGCTGGCTATTGTTGATTTTTTTTTCGCAGCAAGATCGACGCACCTTCGCCAGCCATTTATGCATAGATCTTAAGATATTATTTGGATCGAGTTAATGGCATCGATTTAAAGAAATTATACTCATCAAACGCCTCGTTAAGCCTAAAATGCTGGTCTATTTATGCATAAAGTCTCGAAGTTGCTGTTGGTAGTAGTTTATTTAAAGGAAGAAAGTTTCCTCTTAGATCTCAGAGCAAACCTTATTTTTAACTAAGATTCTCCAAGCTAACTACACATTCGTTTAATCCTTTTGATATTAATCCAACTATAGTCAATCATTTTTAGTTAGAAAGTAAATTTATCAAGAAACAAAGAGTCTTGTATAATGAGTTTTAGAACGAGAATTCCAATTGCGTATTGGTTGGTTTTATTTCTTTCTTTTGTTCATCTTATTGCTTCAGAAGAAACGGTAACTTTCACCAAAACTAACTATATAACACCAGGTTGTTTCCAACAAGGAATCAATACTGTTTTAGCGAACAACCCACAAAGTTTAACAACCGGTATTCCTATCGTTTTCGTTTACGGAAACCAAGATGATAATGATGCTAAGCAGGGCAATGGTCTGCAAGCAGGTGATGTCCAACAAGGTAATGATGCTCAACAAAGTGCTGTTCAAAGCAATGGTCAAGTAAGTAATGCTGTCCATGTGCAACACGCCTCTTCTGGAAGTCAAGAGAGTCAAAAAGTTGTTGTTACTTCTTCTAAGTTGTCATATGCTGTCAGCACTGATTCCACTGAAACTGCAACCATTACCACTTGCTCAGATAACCTCTGCTCCATTTCTACTACTGTTAGAGTTGTTCCACACACTTACACGACTGATGCTGTTGTTACATACACAACCACGGGCTCTAAAGACAAGCAATCAAACGCCAGACTGTCTGCTGGCAAGGAACAAGCAAACTCTAGAAGTACTGAATATGATTTTGATACAGAAACAGACCAGGATACTGTTGAAGCAGTAATTAGCAAGGTTGCTAAGACTACAACTAGAACTATTTTCGAAGCTACTACAACTCCAACTACCACATATGAAGGTGATACTTCTTACGAATCTATTACCTCCACGAAAAAGAATCCATTAGTTACCAAGTCGGCAATTTCAAAGTCATTGACTAAAACAATTGATACTTCTAAATTTACAGACCTTACAATTAGTGATTCGGATCCAAAGTCCAATAGCTCTAAGCATGCTAATGGTACTCAAAGCATTCCAATGTCATCTACATTGAACTTGAGTGACGAATATTCTCAAGCTCAATCTACTCAAGCTCAATCTAGGTCTAAAGCACAAGCATCGCAATCCCCATACTATTCATACTATAATAGATCATCCAGTGTTGGATCATCTAGTATTGCTTCATCCAGTATTGCTTCAACTGCTATTCCAACTTCTTCTCAAGCGGCTATAAATGGATCCATTTCATCCAACTCCACCATCGCTATTACTTCCATTTTATCGAATGGTTCAAGCACAGTGATCTCCTTGACTTCAAGTCATGCTGATATCTCAAGTTCGAGCTCCTCATCATCAAGTACCTCCTCGTCCTCATCCAGTCTTCTTGGATCAAAGGCTTCCGTTAATGGCTACTCTGGTGATTTATTTGACGCTATATCGACCGAAAGTCCACTTTCAGTTTTCCCAAGAAAGGAATTACCATTATCTATTCCAAGTGGCGTGGATAATGATGGTGTTCCATATGAAACAAATAAATTCTATTCCAACTTATTCTTAGGAGATCAAACAGATATGATCTGGTCGTATCCATACGGTATGTTATGGAAGACTCAAGACTATTATGGTTTCGGTGTTCAACATTCAAATGCTTCCGACAGAGTTTTCGGATCCACTGATACCAATAACAAAGGAGTCTCATCTTATTACTTTAACCCAATCGGTAATGCTGAGTTAATCTTTTCTTCTACATCATTTTCGAACTCTTCAAATCATATGTCTGTTTCAAACATGAGAAGTATGTCTGCATTAGTTCAATTGTCTGAAAGCTCGACAGTTGGATCAGACTACGTTGATATTCCAATTGTGCAAGGTATGGGTTTAGTTACAGCAATTTATAACGGTGATTTGGTTCCAATGTTAAACTCTTTAATGGGTGTTGAAGAATTAACCGAAGAAAAATCATCGGCCTTGACTAAGAACATATCTAAATATCGTGCTACTTTGGTCAACGGTGTTGAATGGTTGATCTACGTAACGGTTCCAAGCGGTTCAAAAAATTTCAACTTAACTGCAGAAAGTCCATATAAGATTACAGGTTCGACTGCAATCGATGGCCTTATCATACAAATTGCTGTCGCTCCTGGTAGCTCTTCGGCTGAGGGATATTACGACGAAGCAGCTGGTATGTACGCAACAGATGCATCTGTCGAAGGTTCAGTCTCTGGAGGATCATCTGCGGAATACAAATTTGTTTACACAACAAAAGGTACTTCAAGCTCTGGTAAAACTATAGTCTTTGCCTTGCCACATCACGTTGAATCATTATCTAGCACAACTAAGGAAAGTTCTACTGGTATCAAGTTAACTTCGACTACTAAAGGTGATATGTACGGTTACCTAACTAATGAGTTAGTTATGTCTGAAACTTTAGAAACCGGAATCCAATTCTTACCTTGGGTCCAAAACATGGGCAGCGATTTGTCATATACCAGTGAGCAACTTACCTTATTAGCTAAAACTGCTAACGAAGAATTAAGTGTTGATATAAAAGAAACGGTTGATTCCATGGATTCCATGTATTATTCGGGTAAAGTGCTTGATAAGTATGCTTATATTTTATTGGTTGTTAGCGATATCCTTAAAGACGAAGATGTTACAAACTCTACGTTAGCAGACATGAAAGATGCATTCGAATCTTTTATCAAGAACGAAGAATACTACCCATTGATGTACGATACCAAATTTGGGGGTGTTACCTCAAGTGCCTCTCAAGGTGGTGATACAGGACTCGAATTTGGTGCTGCCTATTACAATGATCATCATTTCCATTATGGTTACTTCGTCCATGCCGCCGCCGTTGTCGGTTACGTTGATAAAAAATTAGGTGGTACTTGGGCTGAAGATAACAAGGAATGGGTCAACTCTTTAATTAGAGATGTTGCAAACCCAACTGAAGATGATTCCTACTTCCCTGTTTCTAGAATGTTTGACTGGTTTGCTGGTCATTCGTGGGCCAGTGGTTTATTTGCTAGCGGTGATGGTAACAACGAAGAATCCTCTTCCGAAGATTATAACTTCGCATACGGTATGAAGTTGTGGGGTCAGGTCTCTGGCGACAATTCAATGGAATCAAGAGGTGACTTGATGTTAGCTATCATGAGCAGAGCTATGAACAAATATTTCTATTACAAGGAAGACAACACCGTGGAACCATCTAAAATCCTTGCAAATAAGGTCTCGGGTATTTTCTTCGATAACAAAGTGGCCTATACCACTTATTTCGGCACACCAGCTGATCATCCAGAATACGTTCACGGTATCCACATGTTGCCTATCACTCCGGCTTCATCTTTAATAAGGACTCCCTCTTACGTCAAAGAAGAATGGGACGACCAAATCTCTACATTTATTGATGACGTTGATAGCGGCTGGACTGGTATTTTGCGTCTTAACGAAGCTTTGTATGATGCTTCTTCTTCTTATAAATTCTTCTCTTCCGACAATTGGTCCTCTACCTACTTAGACAATGGCCAAAGTAGAACTTGGGGATTAGCATTTTCTGGTGGTATCTCCAACGCCACATAATTTTCATAGGATATTCTATTTCCTCCTTATTATTGTATATTTATTGTATATTCTCAATACTAATCTTGTATTTTAGCGCTCATGTAATTTTTAAAAATAAAAATGAACGACTCAAAGAGTTTCTTTCACAATTATTTGTTGAAAGTACAGATATTAAACAATGTTTTCATTCGCAAAGAAGTTGGTGGATAGGTTAGAAGGGGGCTCTAATTCGAGTGACTCCAATGCATCAGATTCATACTTTAAAAGTGGATTACAATTGAATAATAAAGGATATGCCTTACGTGTTTTGAATGTTGCTCCACATTCAACTGCTCATCAAAAAGGGTTAGAATCGTGGTTTGATTACATTATCCGTATAAACTATCATGAATTGCCTATGATGTATCCCTCAATATCAACATATTCGTACAGTATAAATGATGATGGCTCTATTAATTATGGCGATAACACTACCCAGGAACAGGCTGGAATGATAAATTATGACATATTGCAGAAAGAAATCGTGAATATTGCTAAGAATGATAAGGCAAGCAAGGAGCTAGTGCTCGATGTTTGGAGTGCTAAAGGTGGTATTGTTAGACAAGTGATACTACCACTCGACAAATTTGAGCCATCGGCAACGAACGGTGCCGATGAATCTGAGTTATCTTTATTCAATGAAAGTTTTGCACAGGTTGGTTTGACATTGCAATCCCAACATTTAAATACCTCAACGTATGTTTGGAGAATATTGAACACCCACCACGGGTCCCCTGCATTCCAGGCTCAGTTAATTCCATATTCCGACTACATCATTGGATGTGATTCGGCATATCCACAAGATACAGAAGGAAAGGGACTTTTGGCTAAAGGAGGAGAATCTTTGTTGTCTAGGACCGTCATGAGTTATTACAATTTACATTATTCTACTTCTCAAGAGGATAATGTTCCAATTACCTTATATGTATACAATCACGATTACGACATTTTAAGACCAGTGACAGTCAATTTATCGAGATCTTGGGGAACAGGACAGAATAGAGGAATTTTAGGATGTGACGTGGGATATGGCTTACTTCACAGAATACCCGAAGTAATTGGCAAATTCGATAGCAATGACATTATCGATGATGTCTTATTTGAATCTAACCACAGCGTCGGCTACGGAATTCAAGACCAGCAGCAAGATCAACAATCAGCACTGCAAACTATTCCATCTCCACCACAAGCATCTACTATCAATACTTCACCAGGTGCAGTTTTTGTTCCACTGACATCAGCACCACCACCAAGAGCAGGTGCGGCTAGAAAGAAAAAGCATGCTCCTACTGGATCTAACTTAGGAGAACTTAACGAATATATGAATGAAGAGCTTGCAAAATCAAAAGAGATGGATACTCTCAGCAATGAGAATTTGGCGAATGAAAGCACAGTTCCCCCACCTCCACCTAAAGCAAACTAATTTCCGTATATCTGTCAGTGAAATATATTAAATTATTTATATAGTCCTTATCAATATAATAATACTGAATAACGTCACGCATATAGTATCTGGGAGCTTTATGAGTCAAATTTAACGACTCATGCTTAGGTTGAGAAGCCTAGCAAAAAAAATAAACACGTTGCCCCCTGCCGGAATCGAACCGGCGATCGCTCCATTACGAGTGGAGCGCCTTACCACTTGGCCAAAGGGGCACGAGTTCAGCTTTTCAAGCATAACATTTCACTATCAAATAACATGGATTTTCAATCTTTTTATATCAATTTAAAGATGCTGCTCCTCTGATATCTTGCAATTAACATATACTCTAAGTTTAAGGATGACTAAAAATGATCCCATATTTACTTCAATGGGGATGTTTATAATTGATGAGAACCAATATCCTGCATCATCAAAGAAGGAGCCAGTGTATAATATTATAGGTGGTGGTGGTACATATGCTATCGTTGGTTCGAGAATTATAGCTGGTGCTGAAAAATCTAAATTAATATGTGGAATTATTGATAAAGGATCTGATTTCCCGGATATTGTTGAAGAAGAAATATTGAGTTGGAATTCAGGAATTGTTTGGCAAGAAGATCCTTCTAGACTTACTACTAGAGGTCTTAATATATATGACGAAGACGATATTAGACATTTCCAATACAAAACTGATAAAAAAAGAATTGAAGCTCAAGATATACTCAATCATCCTCATTTGATTAGGTCTCGTACGATTCACATCATTAGTTCAATCGAAAGATGTGAATCTATAATTGATACAATTTCATCCAATGTACCAAATGATGTTAATCCAATATTCATATATGAACCTTTACCTGATATCTGTATTGCATCAAATTATACAAAACTAATCTCCTTATTGCCGAAGATAGACGTATTTACACCGAATTTGAATGAAATGTCGAAATTTGCAAATTTAGATAAGTTACCTGAGACTATGGATGATATAAAATCATTATGTTTAAATTTTAGTCCTTATTTAACAAAGCCAAATTCTGGTTCAGTTGTTAGATGTGGACATTTAGGATGCTTTATCAAAACACCCAAAGTGGAAATTTCATTGCCGGCATATCATACGAACCAAAGTAAGGTTGTAGACGTAACTGGAGGTGGTAATCTGTTTTGTGGTGGGTTCGTTACAGGTTTGTTATTATCGAAAGGGGATTGGATTATCGGTGGCATTTGTGGTAATGTAGCAAGTGGATGTGTCATCGAACGACTTGGAATGCCGCAAGTAAGTCTGGGTAATTCAAATGAAGAATGGAATGATTTATCTTCCATTAAAAGAATAGAGCATTATGCAAACATAAATAAGCATATTGTAGAAGGAAAGTTTGATATTACAAAAGTAGATTGGCTTACCTAGTATGCCATCAGAGTTCATGATTTCTACAATTTTAATAAGTCATAAATAGCTAATGTACATTTTAATAAGTTTTAAGTATAATTGAAATGAATAATGATCAATTAATTTGTAGTATTTGGTGAAGATTCATTATCATCCTTATTCCCGTCTTGGGTAGAGTAGCGATGCAAAGACTCATCACCATTATCATTTACACCAGCAGGTATGTTGTCAGCGTGGTATAAGTACTTTAATATTTCCTTGTCGTCCGTCCAACTTCTAACTTTCTTTCCATAAATGTATAAAGGTATACCAAATAAACTTACGAATATTTGGACGGCACCGTAAACAACGAAAGTTGTACGTCCCCCTTTGGCATCAAAAAAGCCATTATTAAATAAGGAAAAAATAAAACCCAATAAATTCTTTGAAAAATTTAATGAAACCAAAGCTTCGGATGCAAACATTTTATAGGAATCGACAACAAATGTTATTGCTGTAGTGCTGGCCATTGAACTTCCAAAACTCAAACAACCAAATAATATGACGGGGCCAACCCACTTATCTTTTTCATAAGATGACCAGCCAAAACCCATCAATCCAAGGGACGTAAAAAAAGTTGATGGTATGAGCATCAATAATCTGAATTCTGGCTCATAAACTCCATCATTCCGCGCAATCAAATATCTACTTAGTCTATCACTAATTAAACCAGCAGATAATGAACCAAGGATTCCACCCACAAAAGGTGAAATGTAAAATAGACCAATTGTTTGTTGATTATATTCGTAACCCTCACTTTGAAAGATGCCTGTAATAGTTTCCGAAATCACAATCAACCATACGACAGCCAACGAATAAATGAGTGACCCAAACAAGATTGAAGGATACAGGTATAAGAAAAAAGGCCTTAAGGCCACCATCCACCAACTATCTATGGTATGTCTTCCGGAAAACAATGCTAATTTTTCTTTATATGATGTTGGTTCTGCCTGGTTAGCTTCTATGTTTGATGGAACTTCATTCGTCTCAATACCGATTGGAACATCAGAAGGATGAGCATTAGACGCAGTAACGGTTGAGGGCAAGCTTGCAGTGGTAAACAAATCTGTGGTTGTTTGTCTTCTCATTGCAAACGCATTTGGTCTTTCGCTTGGTGGATGATAATCAGACGCCGCTTGCGCTGCCTTGGTTTCTTCTAATGACCGTTTATTTGGGATAGGTGACCTATCCCAGAAAGTTTCAGGTACTAAAAAGTAAGTCAAAACTAAGTTCATTCCAAGAAACATACTCAAAATCCAGAAAAGCCAATGCCTATCCAAACTTTGAAATACTAAAGCAGATAACAATGGCACAATGTTCTTACCCCCCAACATCAACATGGTATAAATACCTACTCTATAGGCTCTCTCATGAGCAAAGTATATCTCAGCGATTGTGGCACTGGGCAAAGATTCCGTCGGCGAGGCCCCAAACCCAGTTAGAATTCTACCACCCATGAGGTTACCAAAATCCGGCGCCGCCCCAGCCCAAATCGACCCCATTAAGAAAATGAAGATCCCCAAAAGATACACCATTCTTTTACCATACAAAATGGCCGTGGGACTAGCAAAAACTGACCCCGTACCTAACGCCAACATAAACCCCCCTACCAAGTACGATATAGTAGTGATCGGACGGTCAAATTCCACCGCCAAATCATGCATCCCTGCCGCAAGAAGTGGCGACTGTCCTCCCCCTAAAAATGTTTGAAATCCCACTACCAACAAACATAAATCTCTTTTCCATATGGGCCAATTCAACGGATCGTTAGGGTTATCATGAGGCTGTGGAAACAATATGATCCCATTCGAAGTCGTCTTCAACCCTGAATCGGCCACCGATTGGTCGTTTTTTGACAACTCTTCCTCATGGGAATTCATCATGGAAATTGTACCCGTAACATTTTCTCTATCCGGTTGTACTATTCCCAATCTTTTTACCATAGTAATAGATGTGTGTTTGCGCTTTATCTAGTAATCGCCCAACAGATAACTCTATCTTTCATTAATATTTTGCTACTTTCTTTCAAAAATGCAAAACCGGCTACTAATATACTCTCTTAGTAGTACTTCAAAAAAACTCTTATTTATAAACAATTATACGCTACTATGTTGGTTAACTATAGAAGTCATCTGTTATCATTTCGTAAAAGGAGCTTTTTCTTCGCTCCCTGCATATTACATAACCACTATTTACTATTTTACTATGACTATTGTTCTACAAGATACTGATTCACTACCTAGGACAAGATTGGCGTTGAGGGGGAAATCATGTCTCGTGGTATAGTTTTCCGTTCCCAGCTTTATAAATGATTACATGCTCAGTTTAATAAAAGAAGTAAACAAGTATTTAGCAATTCAGTAATTGACGAGGTGGAAGATTGATATAACTATGTAATTTGGTACTAGCTAGCAGAAACCAGTACTTGTGGGGGTTCCTAGACACGTGTAGAGGTAGGGGACAGAATCAGTAGGATTTTGATTGTCACAATAACCTAATGAAACGTAACAGGGAAAGAGTCATGAGTGCGAGCCGTGACTGGAACAGTTTGCCCCACATACATATAAGTTTCAAATTACCTATCTCTATATTGATGGGAGGGGGGACTTGAATATGATAAATGGCGTAGAAGGGAACTGAAACGTGAGTTGAGGACAAAGACTAAAATTTAACTTTACTCCAATTTAACGGATCACGTACCTTAGCATATAGGTCTTAATGAAACACTACGTGCGAATGAATATGAGAGATAAGCGTTTCATGCAGAAGATCGAACGATAAGTGGGTGATATCAGTATATCTAACAATGCTGGTAATTCACTCTGATGAAACTGTTTTGTCTTATCAGCGATTCCCAATACGGAAATCGATGCAGCGCAATGTCGCTTCTCAATTAACGTCATATTAAGCAGTAGCTATATAAATAAGGGAATGGAAGGCATGCTTTGTGAAGCTGATAAGAGGTAACATAAGGTGGTTGAAGTACAGTATGACCATTTCAGAGATAAACGAAGAAGATAGACAATGGGAAGGCCCATGTTCTCAATTGATGCAAAATTCTTTCATATTCCAGGCAAAGATTGCCGAACAGGTACCAAAGGTGATAAATGGGAATGGAATTAGAATCACAGTGGAAAACCCTGAAAATGGCAAAATTACTGACGTCATTGATGGTATGACTGGGGCTGCGGTTGGGTCTTTGGGATGGGGCGATCCAGAAGTGGTTGAAATAATCAACAGAGCAGCCCGTAACACGTTTTATTCTTACCCTGCCATTTTGGGAAATGAATACTCCGAAGAATTGGCTAAGTTTTATATATCCAACTCTCCTCCGAATGCATTTGCAGCTGCTTTGTGGACTCTGTCAGGATCTGAAGCAAATGAAAATGAATTGAAGATTATACGGCAATACCATGTTGAAAAGGGAAATTTCAACAAAACCAAATTCATATCACGAAAGACTTCATATCATGGGTTCACATTAGGTGCATTATCTATAAGCTCGAATGCTAGAGCTGAAATGTTCCAGGAAATTTTGTTGCCCCAAAATCAGTGCTTGAAAATGGAGGCCTGCTATCCATATCGTAACAAAGCCGATAATGAAACATTAGTACAATACTCTGATCGCTTATTATTAGAACTAGAAATGATGATATTGAAGGAGGACCCAAAAACTATAGGTGCTGTCATATTAGAAACATTACCTGGTACGTCATTGGGTACTTCTCCCCCTACCCCAGGGTACTTACTGGGAATTAGAAAACTTTGCACCAAATATGATATCTTATTCATGTTGGACGAGGTTATGTGTGGAACAGGTAGAGCAAATCCTAATGGGGGTCTCAACTGCTGGGAAAATTATCTATCTCCAGAAGAAGGACCAGATATTCAGAGCGTGGGAAAAACTCTAGGCTCGGGTTATGTCACCATTGCTGGTGTTTTGTTAAGCCCAAAAGTAAGAAATGTTTTCATCGAAGGGTCAGGGAGTATTCTTGGTTCTCATACTTACTCTTGTCATGCCTTCAATTGCTTTGTTGCGTTGGAAATACAAAAGAGAGTCAAGAAGCTTAAATTAACAGAGAATATTTTCAAGATGGGTAACTACATGGGTGAGTTATTAATAGAAAAATTAGTGGATACTGCGATAGTTGGTGACATTAGAGGTCTCGGGGGGTTCTGGAGTCTAGAACTTGTCAAAAATTCTCAAACAAAGGAAATTTTTCCTCTATCATCAAATATGGCATATCGTTTGCAGGATAAATGTTTCGAAAATGGTCTAAACATTATGGGCACTCAGGGATGTGCCAACGGATCTGGCGATATTATTCTACTAGCACCCGCATTCATCGTAACAAAAGATGATATTGAGGCAATTGTTCATATTGTTTACATGTCTATAAAAGATCTTGAGCAAGAGTTAATGGATGAAGGCATTTTGTAAATCACCTGTTTAGAACTTGTATCTTTGATATTTTAATTTGATTCACTCTTAGTAATTTTTACATTTTTTTGCATCAATAATCAGAATTACGCGGTAAACTAACACCGAATGAAGACTAATATCAAATGCTCTACATAGCTATTAATACTACTTATTGACCCCAATGATTATACTATGCTTTATTAAAGGATCCAGTATAATGTTTTTTTCATTTGTTTTACGTAAAAACGCATTGCCAGGTGTTGGTGTATCTGTGGAATTTAAATTGATGGCCAAACAATCATTCACGTCTCAATACATGCTAAAAGCCTTCTGGCCACACCACAAACCGTAACCAATATTGACGGTTTTATGGCAATTGATACCACGACTCCCACAAAACAAAGACAATCAACGATATATCTATCGCAGACTCATATAGTGCTCATATAAAGTTTATTTCCTTCTCCAGAACAGCAGTGCATACGTTGCTGCAGATTTGCTACCTTATCTTAAGCCTCTCTCCCTCGCATAGTAAAGTACATTCCATTGTAATAGACAACTCAGCTCTATTTCATTCAGCATGTTACTCCCCGTACTGCTCCCCATATATCTGTGTGTGAACTGTCACGCAATATTCTCACATTGAATAATGTGGTCTACCTCTCCATTTTCAATTTTATTTCCTTTAAGCACCGATTTATTAAAAATTATTCCAAATATATATGCATCAGTATTGATATATTGGTGTCAGTCATCAGTCATCACTCGTTAGTCATCATTAAATTTAGGTTCGATCCCACCAGGAATACGAACTCAAAAGTATCTTTCTCTAAACCCTTCTTTCTTGCATTTCCCACACAATTTTAAAAACTATGTCCACCAAGGAGTGTCTATTACCTTTATTATCTACCAATGACCAATACTACTGGCTGCTAATGACTATTGTATCCTAGTAGTACTAATTCCGTAAATTCTAAGCAGCACCCTGTATATAGCTATCTATGGTTTACGCGTTAAAATTTAGGGCAAATTTGAATTGAAATTTAATCCTCTGGACTTAATTAAGAGGAATTCTTGCTAATAAGTCAATTATATTGTTTTTATTAAAGCATAGGTACCAGTTATATAATTTGCTATGTCACTTGAGGAACCGAAAGTGTACATTGCGACATATTCAAGTGTAAGTGTCTATTTTCAATAGGAAATAAAATTTTCATGATTAGTACCGCTGAACGGGCGGATTACGCGTCCAACATACTAACTAAGATAATTTCAACAGACAGATGTATATGAATGTACTATAAACAATTCTCCCATCATGAGGAGATGTAAAGACGACTGGGTCAATGCTACGCAAATTTTGAAGTGTTGTAACTTTCCGAAGGCTAAGAGAACGAAAATCTTGGAGAAGGGAGTGCAACAAGGATTGCATGAAAAGATCCAGGGAGGGTACGGTAGATTTCAAGGGACATGGATCCCGTTAGCAGATGCGCAGAGGTTAGCTGCTAGCTATGGTGTGACGCCAGATTTGGCTCCTGTGTTGTATCTTGACACCAGTGATCCAAATATGGTTATACCCAAAAAGGTGAAGCAGGTCAACAAGGACGGGACACCCGTCAAAAGAAAGTACACGAAAAAGGCCAAGAAACCAGAGGATACCCCATCGAAGAAGGTGAAGACTGATGGGCTCCAGGGCCATCCACAAGAGTTTAATCCACAAAATTCCTTTGAATCGCTCTCCCGAGCCCAACCGCATATGTCTCAAAATTCACAGCTTGGTGCATCATCACAACAATTGCAGTACCAAATGCCTCCAGGTGGTCAACAGATGCCTCCTACATTCACCCAAACTGACTTTATGAATATGGGAAATGGTATGCCGACATTCACAGCTCACAACCAAGCAATTCAAAACGAATTCCAGAATTATCAAATGCAATTTCAAAGGTTTCAGCATCAACAGCAACAACCTCAGACTCAAGCACAACAAAAGTTTTATCGTGCAGGTGCTCCATATACAGTTCCTGGTATGCCACCTCAAGCACAGATGGTCGGAGGCTTTCATCACGCAAAATTGCCCCTGTCCCAATCTACCAATGAGACCAATTTATCACAAGACGAGCATCAGAAAGATTCGGATACTTCTCTATCATCCAACGAAGAACAATTCAGTGGTGACGTTAAATCCAATATGTACACGATGAAACTGGGGAGTCACTTAACTGGAGAGATTGAAAGCCCTAAAGATCATGAAGAATACAATTCCTATTCAGCACAACTATTGAAATTTTTTAGTGAAGATAATTCCAATATTCCGTACTTCCTTCATAATCCACCCTATGATTTTAATATAAACGAAGCCATCGATGACGAAGGTCACACTCCTTTACATTGGGCAGCTTCTATAGGAAACTACGTTTTGATTCATTTGCTTATTTCAAAAGGTGCCAATCCTTTGGTTGTAAATAGTTTTGGATTAAACCCTTTATCTAAATTGATATCATTTAACAACTGTTTCGAGTTGAAGAACTTTCCTAAGGTTTTAGACGATCTTGAACTATGTTTAATAAATACGGATATTAATGGAAGAACTCCATTACATTATTTGTGTCAATTTTCAAAAGTTAAATCGAAATATGAAAGCTTAAGGTACTACTTGGGTATCATATTAGCCAAGTTAACCTCATTATCCAAGAATGCAAACAACAAGTCAGTAAATTTATTGAAAAATGTTGTGGATCACCAAGATGTCAATGGTGATACTTGTTTACATTTGGCTGCTAAATTCGGGTCCAATAAAATTTTCAAATTCTTAATAGGATATGGCGCAAGAGATGATTTAGTCAATGTAAACAACGAAACACCAAGATATTTGAATATGCAATATAATCTTTTAAGCAATGGAAATGAATTTGATCAACAGCAATATCAACAGTTATCAGGCTCACAGCGTGATTCGCAAGAAATACAGCATGAAAATCAACACTCAACCACACAACCCGTACAAAATCAAATATTGGCAACTCCTATTCAACATAATTACCGCAGCAATGCTATTGAAACTCCAGACACACAACGAACAACTGTTCAAGATGACGATATAGATGATGAAGAGGATTCAATCAATGCTAGAGTTAACAAGGAACAATTAGACCAGTTGATGAAACAATCACAATCTAGCAATGTCGAAGACAACAAAGAGAATATATTCATCGATGATTCTTTGAAGTCCTATAACCAGATGTCAACCCCAGTGCGAAATCCAAAGACTAGTTCTAACTTATCTACCTCATCATCTCATCAACCATTGGCCGTTATTTCCGAAAGAACTGTAGAGAATACTCCTATAAAGAATGAGGACAAGAAGTTTGTTTTAGGATCATCTATTATGCAAACTCACAAGCCTCACCCTCCAAAATTAGACGATGAAGGTAGAATTATAGAAGATTCGAAAGAAGTCGAGGAATCCGGAGATATTGATCTGAAAACACTTCTGATGACTGATTTATCATCCATGGTTACTGGAATGATCAATTCGTTATCAGACTCATATAGTCAAGAATTAACTCATTTAAAAGCAACTTACAAGAAACTTCAAGCAGACTTGGCAGAAAAGGAAAAATCCAATGATAAATCACTTCATAAATTTGAGGCCTTATTGAAAAAAGGTGGAATCGATAACTTCGAGAGCATTGAGCAAGGCAAGGCTGTATTACAAGACGAAATCAAACTTCATGAACAAGAGTTAAATGGTAAAGAAGTTGCTTTGCTTCAAGCATTGGAGAAGACTCAAGCTTATCACCTAGCCAACTTAGTTGAAAAGCACGAACTGAACGCCGAGAACGATGATGGGGATGATACTGGGGACGAGTTTAAAGACGAGGAAAGATTGAGTTTTGCAATCGAATTGACGAATCTCCAATTGCAAAGAAATAAAGTAATCAACGAACTTACCAATAAAATAAAGAATTACGGGATTGATTCTAAGATGTACAAGTATAGAAAGTTGATTAGTTTGAGTTGTGGCTTGAAAGTAGAAGATATTGATGGCTTAATTGATGGCATTGAAGAATCCTTGATGGAAACTTCAATGACTTAATTACAGTGGGTGCAAGAACGTTCCTTTACATATAAACATTATTTTTAAACATTGTAATTTAGTTCTTTAATACAATAGAATAACTTTATTATAGCTAGATTATTACTATATTGACCTGTAAGTCGTTAACGTATTGGCCTAAGACCTTGAAATCAAAAATCGTGCACGAACCGCGAATTTTCATGAAATAAAATCTCTACTATTTTGGTTGAATAACAATAGTAGATAACTTAATCCTTTCATATCTAAGTATATCTTTATAATAATGACCAAAAATACTTTCAAAAGACAAAAGCTAGCACTGCAGCCGGCTAATATCCCATCAGTGCCTGCTACTGTATATGAGACACCTAAAGAATCATTGATCAACTTTCCTTCTTCGATCATGAATGGTATAACGAAAGAAGGTGGATTGGTCTCATTGACATTCAAATCAATAACGTGTGCTAATTTTGTTGAAAACTTGGATTGGATGCGTGGTGCATTAATAAGGAAAGATGAAGAATTTGAACCTACTAGAATAAACGAGGATGTGTTTAATGGAGAGAAGATGATAACAGAACTTAAGCAAGATATTCAAGCCTTAAAAGAAAAACCACAACAAGTAAATACGATAGATGAAATAAAGGTTCTACAATCCAAGTTGACAAATAGTTTAAAAGATGAAGAAAGTTTCCGTAATTTTGGCATCAACTTGGTTAAGCAGTACGAAATTGAAAATCCAACGAAGAGTATCAATTTCAATAATGAAAGTTATTCCACAATAACAAAAGCGGAAATTCCAGGTGTTAAGGTAAGTAAGTTTGAAGATGTGGAAAATCCCGATCTTTCAGCTTATGAGAGAAAACCGGTTGTAGAACCACCAAAAGAACTAACACCAGAACCGGTGGCGGCACCAATACAGGAACAGACACCTAGTACAGTGCCAATGGTTTTGAATAATAGCAACAATTCGACACCAGAAATGACACTGCAAAACTTTCAAAATACAGCCGTTCAACAACTGTCTAACAACCAGGTCTCAGCGTCGCCTTCGGTACAAGATAATAATGTTAATTCTACTTACCCCAATCAAACATTTCACAACTCGCCACCACAAGAAAATTACTATTAATCTATCTATATAGAAGTGATCTAAACAATAATTCGAATGGAACATACTAGTTTGTATTGTTTAGTATTTTATATATTATTTGTATAAATAGAGTCAGGAATTTGATCATATTTTAATTTAAACCACCCAATACAACACTCTTGATAATAGTGTAATCATTAACACCGTACTTCGATCCTTCTCTTCCAAATCCAGATTCTTTAACACCACCAAATGGTAAAGCTGATTCAGAGATTGCACCAGTATTTGCACCAATCATTCCAACTTGCAACTCTTCTGCAACATTGAAAATCCTATTGATATTAGTTGAGTAGAAATAACCAGCTAACCCAACGTCGGTGTCGTTTGCTAAGTTGAGAACTTCTTCATCAGACTTAAATTTAATCAATGGTGCTACAGGACCAAAAGTTTCTTCGTTGAAAATATCCATTTCTCGTGTAACATCACCAAGGACGGTCAAATCATGGAAATTTGCTCCAAGGTCCTCACGTTTATTGCCTCCAAGTAGAATTTTAGCACCTTTAGATGTTGCATCTTCAATATGAGACCTTACTTTATCCATAGATTTACCATGTATGAGTGGCCCATGTGTTACTCCATCAGCTAATCCATTTCCTAGTTTAACTGTTTCTGATAATTTCTTAGTAAGCTTTGAAACAAATTCATCATATATAGATTCATGAACAAAAAGTCTATTGGCACAAACACATGTTTGACCTGATGAACGGAATTTAGAGGCAATTGCTCCATCAACAGCCTTATCGATATCAGCATCATTAAAAACAATGAAGGGTGCATTACCACCTAGCTCCATTGATAATTTTTTTAAAGTAGAAGACGATTGAGACATTAAAAGCTTCCCAACATTGGTCGAACCAGTGAATGAAACCTTCTTTACGATAGGATTCTCGCACATTAATTTACCCACCCCTGCAGCATCAGATGATGGTAAAACATTCACGGAACCTTTAGGAAACCCTGCTTGTTCTGATAAGTAAGCTAAAGCTAAAGCGGATAACGGTGTTTCAGAAGCTGGCTTGATAATAGTGGTACAACCAGAAGCAGCTGCAGCACCTAATTTTCTAGTAATCATTGCAGCCGGGAAATTCCAAGGAGTTAATATTCCACATACACCAATAGGTTGCTTCAATGCTAAGATTTTAGTGCCAGCTAATGCAGAAGGGATAATATCGCCATATATTCTTGGTGCTTCTTCTGCAAACCATTGGAAAAATGAGCTTGCATAAGCTACTTCTCCAAATGCATCAGCATAGGGTTTCCCATTTTCAAGGACAATAATCTTTGCCAAATCATCTTGATTCTCTTGCATCAATCTATACAAATTCATAAGCAAATCGCTTCTGTAGCGTCCTGTGGTCTTCTTGAAATCACTAAATGCATCATGAGCAGAATTGATAGCCCTTTCATAATCTTCTGTAGTCATGGATGATACGTCAGCGATCTTTGCATCCGCGCATGGTCTTAGTGCTGGGTTATTGACTTCAAATGTGGAATTATCACTACTATCTACCCATTGACCATTAATATACCCTTGAGTTCTGATGAGATCAGGGTTCCTTAAACTGGATAAAATTTTGGAAGAAGAGTCATACGTTGAGTACAATCTTCTTCTATAATTTGCCTTAGCAATGTTAGATATAGAATTTCTTAACATACTTTTAAAATTCGGATTAGATTATATATATGCGGTTGTTGGAGTATATTGCAGCATTGCTATTTGATAAGTAGAACAGAATCTACTTTATTTAAATGGAACAAAACTATGTCTTGTCGCGCTACTGCACAATCGCTGGTAAGGTATTCTAGAAGAGATATTAGACAGCATTGAAGGAAGGACATGTTTTCACGGAGTTAAATTGTAGATAGTTCACGATTTAAAATCCACTGGTCTATATAAGAGCACTTAATAATAATTCGATTCCGATAGTTCTACAGAAGTGTTTTAAGTCCATGATATATACTAGCATATAAAAATCATACGACAACTTGAGCATATATATAGAAACTAATACAACATAGAAGGAGCCTGCCCTTTATGCACAATAATGGCTATTCGTATTTTGGGATCATTATGCAAGACTCTTGTTCTGATCAAGTTTTTCTTCAAGATGTGTAACAGATACACCTCCCTTGTTTTCTTCATCTAGACCATATTCAAGAGCACGATCACCAGCTTTGTATCCCACGGTCACATCTTCTCCAAACACTTGAGCAACTTCTTCCAAACCAAGACCCTTAGTTTCTGGGAATATCCAATATACAATATTCATTTGAACAACTAACCATATACACCATACAATGTAGTATTTCCAAGTTATTGCAACCATTGCAATATTGTTCACATAATTATTGAAGAAACCGACCACATTTCCAGATAGTTGATAGAGAGTCGCCCCTTGAGCTCTCAAATGGAATGGACACACTTCCATAACATAAGTCATAGATACAGGTGATACAATGTGATAAAATCCCAGGAAAAGATAGATCATAGCAACGACGCCTCTTCCTAAGCCCTTATTTTTGAAATCATGCTCCTGATTAATTGCAGATAATATGGTCCAAATTACATAAGTAATACACATAAGGATGTAGCCTCCGATAAAAGTTTTCTTACGTTTGAACTTATCAACAAATGTTGCGCAACCAACGGACCAGACTAAACCATAGACAGTCATACCAATATTGATTTTAAGCTGGTCGTTCGTCTCGGTGATGCCAATATTGGTCAAGACTATTTGTAAGTAATATGAGATAAGTGCGTTTCCACAAAGTTGTGCCATAGCTGGGACAGCTAGAACAATAAATAACCTACGAAGACGTTGCTTAGACCTGAACCATTCACTCCATTTACTCCTCTTTTGCATTTCCTCTTGTTCGATAATTGCCTTGATTTCAGCCATCTCGAAATTGACTAATGGACTGCTTGCATCCCCGCCAGCATGGTACTTGATGAAAAACTTCTCTGCTTCATCACTTCTACCCTTGCTAATCAACCATCTTGGCGACTCTGGCCCAAAAAACGCAAGAACTAATTCAAGAGCAGGAAAAGCACACTGTAAGATGGATGGAATTCTCCAAGACCAGTTATTATATTTCATGCTTGAATGATATGGACCCCAAGTCACTAATGCAGCAACAAAAGAACCAAGAGGCCATGATGCCAACAATAAGGCTGTCACAACTGGCCTCTGGGATGGAAATGAAGTCTCTGCCAACAAAGGTGAAGCTGCTGCCGATGCAAAGCATGACCCAACACCAAGTAGGACTCTTGAGGCAGTAAACATTCCAAAATTCACTGCACCACCTTGTAATGCGGCACCTATAATGACAACAACACAACCGAACATAACAGTCAACCTTCTTCCCAAGTAGTCGCATACAAACCAAGTAAACGGAATCGAGATCAATGTACCAATTGCAACTCCATTAGCCATGGTACTCAATCGACTCCCGGTAGGCTGATCAAAGTACTCTCTCCAGCTTGGAAGTGTCTGCAAATTATTCATCATACTACCATCGTATCCCGACGTAACTTGAGCCAAAATTCCTCCCAAGAGAAAAATATTTAATTGCAACAACCACGGGTACCGAAACCATATTTTTTCCAATTTGGGTGTGACATCAGCTAGAGTATAAATTTGATCTGGAGCTTCAATTGAACTATTCCTTGAGTTTTCTGGAGAAATATTTTTTTTATCCATATTCATGGTTTACCTTGTAATCTTTCTCTTTCTTATGCTAGTATCATCTATGAAATCTCTCTGTTTTATATACTTTTCACAGTGAGGTTTAATTAATCAACTGGTATTTGATTCCCCAGACCTAATTCTATAAATTATTCGTTCTAATATCGAACCGAAACATGAAAATAGGATTAACGTATATCATACAGTGAAGAGGTGGGGTCCTTCATTCCCCATTCGTGTCAGTTTTGGTGTTATTCTCAAATTGTCAACTATTGGATACTGAACTACAGCAGGAGTAAACGCATAACACAGCGGAGTAAAATCGCAACTATGTAACGTCACATTATATTAGTTGTCGGACTTCTATAATAAGATTAATGTGCGACTAAACTCATATACGTCACCCAGACCCCACTAGATTCTATCTGAATAAGGGAATATTAAATTGGAACGTGCTAACAAAATTACATATATTGATCATTGACTAGTATTTTTGATAGTAAAGGAAAGTTGTACAAAACTGTCATACGATTGTTATATAATATGCAACAAAAAGAGTTGAATTTGAATCAGAAGAGTAAATTTCTATTCCCCCAGCAGGTAATTTAAAAATGAATGTCATTCAATTTCCATACATACAAGTATTAAATCTATATATTACATCGAACTCTCTTTGAATTTCCCTTTAAGTTCTCTAATTCAGTTTTATTTGGAACAGTTAAATTTTCTATCCATTCCAGTTTAGAAAACTTGACTGTTTTGGGTTGGGAATAGACAGCGCATGCACAAGTCGCAGTGGAATTCGGTTTAATAGAGCCTATCAATTGTGGCAACATCACTTTGGACGCCATTATATTGGCATTAGGTTCAACCTTAGACACATTAGGTTTTCTTAGACCGAAAAGGTCGACTATAAAGCCGCAATCTTCTTCTGTCGATATTTCCGCATAATTGTTGGAACCAGTTTCCACAGATGTTTTCTTATCTCTATCATTTTTAAATGCAATAGCAAATCCGCCCTCTCTAGTATGAACTTCCTTATTAGATTTATTTGTGATTTCATGTATTCTTACGTGATAAGTACCCTTTTGCAATAACCAAGATTTAACCTCAATCTCAGGGTTAGGTGACCATTCTGAGTACAAACCCCCTTCAAATATCCAGGACCTATGATCCTCCCTAACAAAGAATTCTCTCTTGTTGAAACTAAAACCGATCATATTGTCAATGCATGCGGATTCAAAATGCCCCGAGGTAGTTCTAACGCTAAAACCATATCTAGTACTATAGGCAAATTTACTATATTTCTCACATTGATACTCATCATTCCATGGTCCACTGACTAATGCAATTGTGTTTCCGGTGTTATGTGAAATATGCATTCCTGCTACGCTTAGAGTCGTATCTTCTAAGGATAATTCTGCAACATCTGTTGACCAAAATGGATGAGACGTAGGCAACATTAACGGAGCAAATGCCTTGAACGCCCAATATGGAGATTGAGGTGAATTGTACCTTTCAGACATAAACAAATTAGGATATGAAAATCCGACAGACAAAATTTCACTTCCAAATACAGATATTGGTTGCTTGGACCACCATTGCAAATTTCTCAAATAAATGCCTTTCATTACCCCCCATGGAATAAATGGATCTTCTTCAACATTTAGTACACTTGGTAGTATTCCCCAAAATGCAACTGCTGCAAATCTGTATGTCAAAGACCGACCGTATGGAAGTGACGCACCACTATCACTGAACCAATTTATGAACTGCTTCGCAAAGATCTTAGCTCTTTCTACATATTTTTTAGATCTTATCGGATCCTTATCGCGCATCACAATCGCATAAATTAAGCCATAGAAATGGAATGCATACGCGTTGTAGTAGTCAATTCGAAAGGATTTTCCATCACCATACCAACCATCTTCTAGATACATATTTTCAATGTCATCTAAATAATCTTCTGTCATACTTTTATTGAACTGAACCCCCACTTTAGTTAATCCCAAATCGATTATGACTCTAAAGAATTTCCAATTATTATGACAAAACTCACAATCTCTTACTTTAAGCAAATACTTGGACAAGTTCCTTTTACCTTCAAGGGTCAATGGATCCCATGCGAACTCAGGAACAAAGCATAAAGCAAAACCAATTGCTGCGATATCTACTAATGTTTGATCGCAGCTCTTTGGCTCACCCCAATATTCGGAATGATTTATATTCGTTCCATTCGTAAATCCTCTTTGATACAATTCCCAATACTTGAAGTGACCACCCCCATAGACGTAGGGAACTATTCCCCATAGAGGCCTAGCAAACCCTTCCAATTCTGCAGAATCAAAAACAAACGACGCACCAGCTGCTCCTAGACTTACCCTTGCTCCACCTTCCGAGAAGGCTTGAACCAATGGCTCAAATAATTGAAACATGCCATCAACTACATCAGTTTTTGTTTGATATGGGTTTAAAGACCACGCATTAAAGCTTGATTTAGTTTGGTCCATTTTTATTACATACAAGATATTGATACATTAGAAAATTTGGCAAACAGTAGATATATATGCGTTGGGTTAGGATGTTTATATTTCCATCCACCAAACGGTTACCTAAAATAGGAATACATCGCTTATTAGTTGATTTTACATTAACTCCCTATTAATTGATTAAAAATAGAATTCAACATGCTTGAAACAATTAAGCATTGTAGATGTTTATATTCCTCGGAAAGATAGAGAAGACTAAATTGCTCGAACTTTTGCACTCAGTAATAACATTGAGTGGTCGAGAGTAATACGTATTTTTCTATTTTCATAAATTTTATAGCCAAAGCTTTGTATATTAAAGAAAGTATCTAAATAAAATGTTACTGTCTAAAATTCTGCATTGGATGATTCGTGATTTGCTTACTGAATTAAGCCTAGTTGCAACAATTTATTACCAATGGTTAGAAAATAGTAATCTGCATAGACAAGCCCATGACTTACCAATCTTTCATAAGTATCTGGATTATTGTTAATAGTCGCTTCTGCCAAAATTGTATCCCTAGCCCCAATATCTACAGTTCCATCTTTCCTGAAAGAAGATTCATTAGTGTACGCAAAATTAATGGTGTCGTTCACAAGTCTCAATCCGCTGATTAGATACCCAGTTTCATTAGTTGCTTCATAAATCTTAATTAACCCAAGGGCACAAATCATAGCAGCAGAAGTATCTTTGATTTCTTTATCTGGAGCACCAAAATCCCAAGCTGGAACCCCATCATCTGGCAATTTAGAAAGAAAGTATTCAGCCAATCCGATCGATGCGTCCAAGAACTTTTTCTGTTTGGTCCACAGGTACGTTTCAACGAACCCTAAAACAGCCCATGATTGACCCCTAGACCAAGTCGTATCATCTGCATAGCCCTGGTTAGTAAATTTGGCCTTAACAGAACCATCATTCAAGTCATAATTTACAACATGGAAGCTTGACCATTCAGAGTTCCTGAAATGATTCTTTAGTGTAACTTCAGCATGTTTTGTAGCAATTGTAGATAATCGTAAATCGCCAGTCTTACTTGCCACATAATATAACATATCCAAATTACACATATTATCAATGATGACAATAAAATCTTCATTTTTATTAGTAAAGTTGTATCTCTTGTTAACAGCAGTATCCCAACTTCTAATACAACCAACAGTTTCATCAAATCTAGAGGCTAGAGCATTTGCAGCTGTCACCAAGCAGTCTAAAGATCGTGAGCTTTTGCTATATTCGTATTCTCTTTGGAAAGCTGGCTGAATTATAAAGCCTAAATCGTGTGTATCCGTTCTAGGTGCTTGTTCAAACAAACCTTCTGCCCACCATCTCGCAGCATATTCTAGCTTTATTTGATTCACGTTATCTGTTGGAAAGTGAGAAGAGAAGTTCTTGCATCTTTCCAACAAACAGTATAGAGACCCAGGAAAAAATCCTGCTGTCCAATGGTCAATGTCTCTAAATTCGTATCTCCCGAATGAATATTCTGGGGTCTTTATTGGAGGGTTAGGCTGATCTAAGTATTTAATTGCCACACCCCAAATTTTAGCGATGGTTGAATCTCCATATAAGTTAGGCTCGATCCGTTCCAATAACGTTTTGGCTTCAGTCAAGGTCATAATATCGGGTCGCTTGTAACTTGTTTAAAATCAATGATTAAATATTGCATATTTCATAATTATCTCTCAATAATCTTGTTCGAAGCTATTTATAGCCTCAGTACACCATCTACTAGTGATTGAAGAAGTATTATTCATACGAGAAGCCTCAGAATTCTAAATCGTCTTCAATATAAAATAGAGTTACCGTAATCAGGCTTATATTTGGTGGGGGAGGGGAGTAGCAAAAATATCAAGCTCCACTTGGTATAAAGTGCATATTTTATGGCTCCATGCTACAAAAAGATTAGAGGTGGGTTATTCTTAATAAGCTTGATTATTTAATATGTGTAGTGTAAAGAGCATGGAATTAGGGACCGATCCCAATGGCTGGAGGATCAATTGTTGTTCTTTTCAACAAGATGCTATTATCACTTTTGGAATATACCAATATGTATCTTTATATATGCCAAGCGATCAAAACGATCCTAATGGCAGCAGGTTGACAACAATTGGAAGAAGACGGATGCCAGATGGCCAATGGAAATTTTTATCTTTCAAGGATTATTATCAGACAAAAGATGATGGCCATAATATTATATCTATGGGCATTAGTGGTGATGGGATCATACATATGGCCTGGGATATGCACGGTGATGGTATACATTATAGACAGTCTAAGCATGGGTTAGCCTTATCGGAAGATGAAGACAATTGGTGTATATCTTCATTTGGAAAAGTATTGGATTCACTTGATGGTGATGGTAAAAAGTACGTGTTCGATGAAATCACATATCCAAGGTTTTTGACCTTACCATCTGGTGATATGCTTCTAGAATTTAGGATTGGTAGATGTGGACTCGGGGATGAATATATTTACCGTTTCTCAAGCACGACTCATATCTGGTATGAAGTTTCTACTCCGGTCATCCAAGGTGTTGGAAATAACGCTTATATTCATGGATTTGACTACAGTATTGACAAAAAACTACATATCAGCTGGACTTATCGTGATTTTGTTGAAGACAGAACAGAACAAACTGATAATAAAGTAACTTCTCAAGCTGGACCGAATGGACCTGAAAACAACCACGATCTACACTACGTGTACTCGCCAGATGAAGGCTATACTTGGTATAACGGTGAACACGAGAGGTTGGCTCTTCCAATTAACATGAATTCACCATCATTAGCCGTTAGTATTCCAAAATTTTCTGGAATAATGAACCAAGAAGGACAATGCGTTGATGGTAACGGAGGAGTTCATGTACTTGGACGAGAAAGTGGTTATTATTATCATTATTATCGTAACCCTATTGACGGATTATGGCAGAGAAGAAAAATTAACAATTATGTAGGAAGGTTATTTGGTGCAAGAGGGAAGATATTTTGTCAAGATTCGAATCCTAACATTATATATGGTCTTATACCATTAAATGCTGAGAAATTTGTCATTGTGAGGTCTCAAATCCAAGATAAAAAAAACCTAACTTATAATCAAAGTGACTTCGATTGGAAGGTTTTACATACTTTTGAGGGTTTGGATGGAGAACCAGTATATGATAGATATCGTAAGGATAATACTGTTTCCATATTACAAAGGGTAGGAAACTTAGGCGTAGATGATTCAGCTAATCCTTTTTATGATAACAAAGGATTAAGAAAAGTAATTTTAATAGATGTAAATTTCACCCCCATATAGTTCATAGTTTATGAATGCGATTTTTGCTTATTGACAATGTCTAATTTCTGAGTTAATAAATAGGTAAAAAGATTCGGTCAATCGAAAGTTTGCTAACAACACAATTTTACTTCATTCTCGCTTGAACAGTAATGGACAACTGAAAGCATTACAGCATAGTCTTTTATGATGCCAAAAATCTCAAATCAATTTAAATCAATATACAAAGTGAAAATTTTCGCGTAGATTTCCTCTCTCGAAATTTGCAGCTATATTATGCCGCAAGTACAAATATAGAAGTAAGATTCTCTTACATTCAAGAGAGGTCAACGTAATCCTTGCTGGAAAGATGTCCAAAAATGGTCTAAGAGGTTTTCAGAAATAGATAAAAGAACTTACGAGTAAAATTTATTGCGAAGGGATAACCTAACCTGATAGATATTTCGTTTGATATGCTTCTCAAGATCAAAAACTACATATTTTGTTTATAATATATTGCTACACTTGTTAAATTAAATTCTGTTACAAGTCAATATTTTCATTCAATTACTTCCTATCATCGGAACTGCAAGTTTAAAAAGTTCACCATTTCAAACCGAATTTTTAATTTTTTGAAAAAATTGCAAAAAGCTGTTAAAATGTGGGATTTTTTACATATGTCAAATATTCTCGGACTTTCTTTGTGTATCGAATTGAGATTCTTATATTTATGTCATAGTTTTATAGAACTATCTTATAGTTGGCAAAATGTCGAAGCAGAATATGTTACTAAATATATCGGAACCAATCCAATCTGATCTGTCACATGTACGCCACCAATTTTCAATCGTTTTCAGCACGAATAATACAATCAAGCTTAGTGGGGTACGACAATAGAGACCTCCTCTTCTAGTTTGAGGTTGAGGTTGGGGAACATAATTTCTATTTATGGATGGGTTCTAGTGGCATTGATATTCATGTAAAATAGTGATTCTACTACTACAATAATTGACTTATAATTCATATTTAATGTCAACATATTTCGCATTGTGCCAAGATCTATGAAGTAATTGACCTATATATCGGCGACATACTCAACAATGAAATTTATAAATATTTTATCGGTTGCTTCTATTTTCGCAGCAAATGTTCTCACTTCCCCAGTAAAAAATAACCATAAAGGCAACAAAGTAAATATTGGGAATGTCACTTATGGAGGCTTATTTTACGACATTAATGGTGATATAATTCAAGCTCACTCTGGAGGTATTTATCATGATGACCATTCAGGGATCTTTTACTTATATGGTAACGATTTCACTCATGCGAATACGAGTGATCCATTTGAGGCAGTAAATTTATATAAATCAAAAGATTTAGTTAATTGGAAATTTGTTAATGCATTGGTTACACCTGATAGTTATGGTTGGAATGATTCTAATGGGGGTGTTGAAACAGGATGTTCGGAATTTGTAGTTTTAGAACGACCAAAAATTTATTTCAACAAACATACTAACAAATACATCATGTATTCACACGTCACTGATAGTGCGTACAATAATAGCATGGTTGGTGTTGCTACTTCTGACAGCCTTGAAAATGATGTTTGCTAAGTGCTACAAGGCAGGTGGCTTAAAATCTTGGGATATGGGACTTTATGTTGACGATGATGAAGATAGTTCAGTCTATTTAATCTATTCTTCTAATGCCAATGGAAAAGGTACAAATGGTGCTTTGAGAATTTCCAAGTTAACAAATGATGGTTTAGACATTGAAATAGAAAATGTGGCAACAGGTAGAGGTCAGTTAGAATCTCCTGTTATTTTCAAGCAAGATAACAAGTACACCTTGATGGTGTCTCACACTAGTGGCTGGGCAAGCAATGATAACGTGTATGTGCAAGCCGACAGTATAGCAGAATTAATGAACGGATCATTTTCACTTTTTCTTGCTCCCGAGGGTACCCATACTTTTGATTCCCAGTGTCACTATGCTTTCCCATTGTCAGGTGTATCTGGAAACTATTCAAATTTCGTTTACATGGGAGACAGGTACATTAATCCAGGTTTAAACAATTCTGAATATTGTTGGACACCGATCAATGTGACCAATTCTGGCGTTTCTTTGATGGATGCCCATACGTGGACATTTAAGAATAAAGAATTTGTTACTCAGGGAAGCTGGAATCAGGAAATCTAGGCTTGTTGATACACTTAAACAAAATTCAGAAATTTCAAATATTTGCTCAAGATGACTTGACTTTTCTCTTATGTACCGTGTTTACAATGCAAATACAAACATATGCTTTAAACTTTCTAACCAACGCTAGTCATTTTAACATTAATATGGTATAATGCTAACGATTCAATAATTATTTCGTTCAGTCATTTGTAGAATATTCTCTGTACAAGTGCTTAATTAAACGTTTGAAATTAGTATATTAACTATCAGGAAAATATTGTCTACAATCAATATTGTAAAGTAAGAAAAATATTTATTCAAACTAATTTTCAATATGTTCCACTTTCATGTCACTTTTAGACAAATTATAATCTGTTCCATATTCAATAGCTTTACCACCAGCTGTAAAACCACGAGTAACATCCTCGCCGAAAACTTGGGCAACTTCTTCTAAACCAAGACCCTTTGTTTCCGGAAATATCCAGTATACAATGTTCATTTGGACAACTAACCAAATACACCAGACAATGTAATATTTCCAGTCTATAGCCTCCATAGCAATGGGATTCACATAATTGTTAAAGAAGCCAATTACGTTCCCCGAAAGCTGATAAAGCGTTGCACCTTGACCCCTCAATTGAAAAGGGCATACTTCCATAACGTAAGTCATGGAAACCGGTGCAACAATGTTGTTGAAGCCCATGAAAAGGTAAATCATCGCAACAATCCCTATGCCTAATCCCTTATTTTTGAAGTCAGACTGTTGGTTAACTGCAGATAATATAGTCCACACAGTATAGGTAATACACATAAGAATATAACCCCCTATAAACGTCGTCTTACGCTTAAATTTATCTACATTTAGTGCACATAACACTGACCAGAATAATGCGTAGACTGTCATTCCAATATTGATTTTAAGTTGATCATTACTGTTTGTAATTCCAATGTTTCTTAAAACGATTTCCAAATAATAAGAAATAAGGGCATTTCCACAAAGCTGAGCCATCGCAGGAACAGCCAAAACTATGAATAACCTTCTCAAGTTTTGCTTAGATTGAAACCATTCCGTCCATTTACTATTACGTTGTTCTTTCTCCTGCTCTATAATTGCCTTAATTTCAGCCATCTCAAAGCTGACCAATGGGCTGCTTGCATCACCACCAGCATGATATTTGATGAAGAACTTCTCTGCTTCATCACATCTACCCTTGCTAATCAACCATCTTGGCGATTCTGGACCAAAAAAGGCGAGTATTAACTGAACTGCAGGGAAGAAGCATTGTAGAATAGACGGAATCCTCCAGGACCAATTATTATATTTCATACTAGAGTGGTAGGGACCCCATGTCACTACTGCCGCAACAAATGAACCAAAGGGCCAGGAAGCTAAAACCATAGCTGTCATCATAGCTCTCTGCGCAGGATAGGCCGTTTCTGCCAAGAGTGGAGATGCTGCAGCAGATGCTAGGCATGAGCCAATTCCAAGCAAGATTCTTGCACCAATGAACATCCCAAAGTTCGTAGCGCCTCCTTGCAAGGCGGCTCCAATGATTATAATAACACAACCTAAAATAATAGTATATCTTCTACCAAGAAAGTCACAAAAGATCCAGGTTAATGGAATAGAAATTAATGTGCCTATAGAGACACCATTCGTCATTGTACCTAAGCGACTTCCTGCAGGATTGTCGAAGTATTCTCTCCAACTCGGAAGAGTCTGCAAATTATTCATCATACTACCGTCATATCCTGATGTAACTTGGGCTAAAATACCACCAAGGAGCAAAATGTTTAATTGAAGCAACCATGGATATTTAAACCATATTTTTTCAAGCTTCGGCGTAACATCTGCTAAAGTGTGCAGTGGCACGGCCACTTCATCAACTGACTCCCTTGACTCAACTTTGTAAACAGATTTGGTCTCCGACTTCATTTTAATTTAAGACCTTACCTTACGTGAAATATCCACTGAATTTATGTGGTAAAATGAGATATTTATCCTTTCAAAAGGTCTATTCATTTTGGGGTAAATGCTAGATATATGTATGGGGTTTTGAACCGGATCAATTAAAAACTTTCGCAGTTTGACATTCGCGAAAATAAATCCATATTGGTCACATTTTGGTGGGGGTAAATGGTTGCAAAAAAGGTTATTACACCGAAAATATTAGAGATTCTACATATAGAATGTGTAGATCTCAGTCAAGAAGAAATGACGTCATTAAACTACTTCTAATATACCAATCTCCCCGCGCATCTTTTTTCCCTACATAATTGTTCACGAAAAGGCAATGTGGGAGGGTCCCCCATAAAAATGATCACTAATACGGAAAGAGTAGTGAGAAATTGATATGAGATGTGGAAATAAGACTTCTGGCCGGATATTGTACCGCGAAAATCCCATTAGCCTGTATAGCTGGTATAAAAGATAGCAGTTTTAATAGAAATTCGTATGCTATTAAAACCAGTTTTTGATAATAATACTTTTAGAAGTACCTATATATTTGTAATGACATATAACGCGAAAAGTCTTGAATCGGTTCTTTCAAATCCAAAAATTGTCGAGATCAACAGACTAGATTCTAGAGCTTACTATTTACCATGTGACTCAACTTTAAGTCTTAATGGGAATTGGGATTTTAATTACTCACAGTCTCCCTTGGAGGCACCTTTACCACTCGACAAAAATGCAGAATTCCCGAACAAATTGACTGTTCCAGGTCATTGGCAGCTTCAAGGACATGGAAAACCACACTATACCAATGTTGTATTCCCATTTGCAGTTGATCCTCCAAATCCTCCATCGCAGAACCCAACAGGTACCTACCGTCGGACGTTTGTCGTTCCAGACGAGTGGAAATCAAAACCATTCTCATTCAGGCTTCGGTTCGAAGGTGTTGATAATTCCTTCCATATATTTCTTAATGGAAAGTTAATTGGTTACAATGAAGGTAGTAGGAATGCATCGGAATTTGACGTTGCAGAACATATTTTATTGGATGACGTTAATGAAATATGGGTTAGAGTTTATCAATGGTCTTCCTCTTCATATATTGAAGATCAAGATCAGTGGTGGTTAAGTGGAATTTTCAGAGATGTATACTTATTAGGATTCAACAAAAGAGGATTCATTGAGGATTTTAATATTGTGACTGATTTGGATAAAGACTACCTTGACTCAAAATTGACGATCAATCTAAAAATAAGTGCTGCTGCTCTCAATTACAAATTGCAGGTATTATTGAGGCGTGAAGGTAATGAAGTAATCAATGAGTTTTTCAATTTAGAAGGGTCTAATGTTAGTAAGTCATTTCAAGTGCGAAATCCGCTTAAGTGGACAGCAGAATCTCCAAATCTTTATAAGCTTGAATTATTAGTGTTAGTAAACAATGAAATAACTAATAGGGTAGAACAAGACGTGGGTTTCCGTAAAATTGAAATAAAAAATGGAACACTAAGGGTTAATGGAAAGTCGATATTACTTAGGGGGGTTAATAGACACGACCATCATCCCATGTTCGGTAGAGCTGTTCCATTAGAATATATCAAACGAGATTTGTATATCATGAAGAAACATAATATCAATGCTATTCGTACGTCTCATTATCCGAATCATCCTAATTTTTATGAATTAGCTAACCGTTTGGGATTTTGGATTCTTGATGAAGCAGATCTTGAATGTCATGGGTTCTTTGAAGCAGTCAGAAGGGCCGTAGGCGGCAACGATGATGCTGAATATGACGAAGAAAAGCTAAGATTATTCAAATTGGCAAACAAATTTACCTCGGATAATAAAGATTGGGAAACAGCCTATGTAGATAGGGCATATCAGTTGGTAAAGAGAGATTTCAACCAGCCTTGTGTAGTTTTATGGTCACTTGGAAACGAAGCATTCTATGGCTGTAACCATAAATCAATGGTTGCAAAAATCAGGGAACTAGACACTTCACGCCCAATTCATTACGAAGGAGACCTCGAAGCAGAATCTGCAGATTTGTATAGCAGAATGTACCCACTGTTGCAGACTCTTGAAAAATTTGCAAACCAGTCAGAAAAGCCATTAATTCTATGTGAGTATGGCCATGCAATGGGCAATAGTCCTGGACTTTTAAGGCAGTATCAAAATTATTTTTACAAATATGATCTGCTCCAAGGGGGGTTTATATGGGAATGGGCTAATCATGGCTTGTACGTAAATAAAAATGGCATTGACATTTATTGTTACGGAGGAGACTTCGGCGAATATCCTCATGATGGAGTTTTTATCATGGATGGTCTTTTAGATTCTCAACACAATCCAACTCCAGGATTAATTGAATATGCCAAAGTTATCGAGCCTATCGTGATTAAAATAGATAAAACCAAAATAAAAATCACGAATAAGTTTGATTTTATTGACTTAGATGATTACATTGCAACATACCAGGTAATTAATTTTTCAGATTTAGATAAAAAATTAATCAAATCGGGTGAATTAAGTTTACCGAAAATTAGTGCACAAGAAACGATTGAATTACCTTTACCAGAATATCCACAGACAGTTCTGTGTGGTACAAATTACCTTGAAGTTCATTTCAGAACAAGAAATCAGACCGAGGCAGTTGACTGTGGACATGTTGTGTCTTGGTCACAGTATGAACTAGAGAGGTTTCCAAAGAAGCTTGCCCATCAAACTTATAATAAAAATTTTATTGAATTCATTGAAGACAACCGTACGTTTCAAATTAAGAGCTCGTATACAAATTTTTCTTTTGATAAGATATCTGGTTGCATTTTAAATTGGGAAAGCGATAACAAGAATTTGATTACGAATGGCATCAACAATTTAACCTTCTGGAGACCAAGCATTAATAACGATGCACCTGTTGATGAGCCTTACTGGAGAAAATTTGGTCTCGACCATATGCAATATAATATTAGAAGCATCCAAATCAGTAAGTATCCTGATTCGGAAAGGCTTGCTTTAATCAGAGTCGAATCTTTAATTTCACCGCCAATTTTATCTTGGGGATTTAAAACTATTCAAGAGTATTCAATTTTTACGAACGAGATAAAAATTTATACAAAGTTAACTCCTGAAGGGTTTGAGGATGTATGTATTCCGAAAACTATTCCAAGATTGGGATATGAATTCGGAATTAAAGATGGCTTAGGGGATTATGTTAAATGGTTTGGAAGGGGACCTGGTGAAAGCTATAGTGACAAGAAAGAGTCACAAAAGATAGGTGTTTATAGATTACCATTTAATGAACTTGATTATTCATACGAATTTCCCCAAGAAAATGGTAATCATGAAGATACAGAATGGCTATTGTTAGAAAATGATGATGAATCGGGACTTTATGTTACAATGGAAGATAAAAGCTTTGGGTTCAAAGCATCAGATGAGTACGATGTCCAGGAAGCCAAACATCCTCACGAAGTAAAGCATGCATCGAAGTATGTTAGGATTGATTACAAGCAACATGGAATCGGTACAGGAGCATGCGGTCCAAGGGTCTTAGATGAATTTGAGTTCAAAATTTCCAAAGAGTCACCAATTATCTTTACTGTTAGTTTAAAAAAATTGAAGTAGTTAATGTAATATTGGAGTAGTATAGTCTGTGTAATATCATAATTATAAATCCATTACGCTAAATTCCGTACAAGCATTCTACTTCTTTTTAAAATATAATTCATTAAATAATTACTGTAGATGTTAAAGATATTGGAAAAGTCAGTTTTAAACAGACGGCGTATATTTTATCAAACAGTAGATTTAATAAGGAAAATTTAAAGAAGAGATAGCAGTTAAAAGAGAACTTTGTCTTGTTGCAATTATGCTGTTCAGAGAATATCTTTTTTTGCTTGCAATGGGTAAGCAAATTCTAGATCTGAAGGAAGTACTACGGAGATGGAACGAATAAATAAGTAGACGGAAGGGATATTAGACATTGCATAATTAATACTGATCCATGTTTATAATGTAGCTATTTTGAAGGACATAATGAATGATATGAAAACCTTCAAAGAAGAATAAATGGATATCCGAAATGCGGAGATAGGATAATATGTACTAAGACAATGCCACGAGAAATAGCTGAACATATAGATTGAACAGGAGTGTGCTATCAGTACATATTATACTTTTAAACCTAAGGAGCCGTTATGTAGGGGCATTAGATGCTGAAAAACATATTTCTATATATTTATATAAGCCTAATTAATAGCTTCTATGAATCGCATTACGGACATATGCTAACAACCACAGATAAATGTGATTGATTAACAGATAAGAACAAAAAGTCACCACACTCAACACAATCTCTCGAATAAAATAACCCAGTTACACTATTCCAGATAAAATAAAAAAGCTACAACTCGAATTCACCGGCAATCCCATTATGGTGGTCTTCATCGTCACTTGATAAGCTCCCAACATCACTCAACTCGCCGTCATCATCATCAGTATCATTATTATCGTCATTATCTTCGTCGTCGTTGGAAACATTCTTTGCATATCGAATCACATATTCCTTGACGGTTTCGTTATACTTTTTCTCATCCTTAGTCATTAATGTAGATGCTTCGGTGTTCAATGGATCACTTGGATTGGCATATCTCAAGAGATGTGGCAAGAAGTTTTCAAAAATATTCAACAATCCGAACATCGGCGACCAAGTTTGGTTAATTACATCAAGACAAACCGATCCCGACGTTTCATCAATATTGGGATGATAGATCTTATTGATAAATCCGATCGATGGCGACTTTATGGGGTATTGATCTGGTAGCTCAACTCTGATCTTCCATGTACCACCCGCATATGGTGTATCCGATGGCCCATGGAAAATAACATGAAATTGTTGAATGGAGTCATCAATGAGAGCAACGTCATGGTCACTCATCATTAGATCCATTACGTCTTTCTCTATACGTCTCTTCGGAGAACTCATTTTTTCCTAATTCTTTTTAACTTTGATTAATATCTACTATTCCTAAACTTAAAATAACAGCTAAACCAGCAAAAACGCTTTATTCGAAATAAAAACTTACAATAAATGTATATTTCTTAATAAGTCTCCTGAGGTCTTGCTATTTGCGTGCTTAAATGTTGCAAGGAAAGCTGAGGAGATAATCACGTGCAGTATACACTAATTATGGTCCAGTCATAGATCAAGACCAAGACTACAAACGTATAAAACATGCCTTAAGGGTATATTCAAGTTATAAACGGTCTATATTAGGTAAAATGCCACCAGTGCATACGATCCTCTAAACTGATATGTAAAATTAAGCATTTTGACAATCAGAAGGGGTTAAATAACCTAGGTTCGAGAATCGACGTAACGTAGACTGCTCTATGCCTTAATAGATGGAGTAACACCCTTCTTAACGATTGCCAAGCTGAATGGACAGGTGATGATTTCCTTGCCATCTTCGTAAAAGGTTGAAGTGGCAGGGTAAGTACCTCTGAGTAACATACCACCTGGAATCTTGTCAGGAGGGAAGGTGACAGTTTGGAACTCTTCGGTAGGCTGAGCTTCTTCGGAGACGAATTGCTTACGGGTCTTGAGTGGGATACCCCCCTTCTTAACGACTTCATAGTAATTTAACTTTTTGATCGGAGCATTCTTGACTCTGTATTGAATGGTGACGGTGTATGTCGAGTATTCTGGGATAGAGAAGTGGAGTTCTTGAGGCATGTTTTCCATATCTTGGGAAAACCTGAGACCTTCGTCAAAACCTTCGACTTTGATTTCCAAGGAATAAAGTTCGAAATTTTCAGTTTGGTATTGGGCAATGAGTTCTTCTCTGGATTTGGACATATTGAATAATCTGTATGAAATAAATATTAAGTATGGCTGATATACAAATGTATTAGAATTCTACTTTCATTCCATTCGTTTCATGGAAATTGGCGATATTTATATTGTTCTCTACAAAATCGAATATATCTTCATGTGATGATTGCGGTGCATGGTGGAGGCTCGTGTGAAAAAGGCATATGCTAGATACAGTTACTTAGCCACTACGATCCCTACATCAAAGATTCTTTCTGAACTTGTAAGCAGCATAGTCATCAATAATTATTCTTGGATAGTATTGATGAATGCTTCGTCATATTGTAGCAATTGCAGTGAATGTGAAGGTATTCCAAAATGTCTTACCGAGTATTTTTCATCTATTTTTCTGGTTGCGCTACAAAACTTTTAAATTAAATTAATGCATATGCCTAACGGTCAGCATATGCATATGAAATAGGCTGACCGTTGTATTGCTAGAGCGAGGTCTGAACGTACCCAAAAAAATGGCGGATTTAGAGCAAAAAGCATAAGGCAAAAAACAATGTTCTGTGGGGTCATATGGAGAATGTGAAAATTGTTGCTATGAAAGATGTGAAAGAATGAAACAAACTTAACTTATTA